TTCTCCTGGCGCAAGATATCAAAAGAAAAAAAAAAAGTCGCTTAATAAAGGTTTCCGTTTTGTCCCTTCACTGAATCCCGATTTTGAGGGATTTCCAACATTTTATCACCGATGCAAGTGTGATTGTACTTTTTGCCCAAGATGGATTCTGTCTTTTGCATGCGACTGAATGATGATCAAAGTGAGAATTCGACATGAATAGGAGAGAGAGAGAGAGGAGTTTTTTTCACGAAGAGCACCATAAAAATGACATAAAACGTAGCGATAAAACAGCAAAACAGAAACACGTGTAATTTGTCACCCCCTATCGCGTTCAGCGCCAGTAGCGCGCGGCAAAACAAAGCGAGAGGGAAAGAAAAAGCACCAACGAAATAAGATTAAAACGAAAGCGAGGCAAAAGTCTAATAAAATCATGATGATTAAAACGCTCCTTCGGGTCGCGCGGGCGCCATGCGATGGGCCATCGGTAGCGTACATACCTCTAGCACTCCTCGCGCGCATGTGCACATTGAACAATTTATCCAGGCCTTTTAAAAGCCACGCAAAATGTATTTTTCCGACGCCCAACGAGCCTCAACTTCAGCTGGATATTAATTTTTGACGGAGCAAAGCTCTACGCACACATTGGGAAACCATATGCGTTAATGGGGTAAAACTGCGGCGGACGGGCTCGATTTGAATTCGTTTCTCGATCGCTAATGGTCTGAGGGTTGAATATATATACGTATACGGATCGACGTTATTTATGGGCGACGTTCAATTTCACGCATTGTATAGGAGCGAGCCGTGGCTTAAACGGCTCGCTTGCTCCTGTAACAGGTTTTCTGCTCTTTTGTGTGATTTGCGCTGCTGCTGCTGCTACTGCTGCTACCTATTTGCCCTGATATGGATGAAAAGGAGTCTTATGGGGATCATGAATATCAATATTCGGCATACTATGAATGCTATAATTCAATTACTTTGATAATGTGTTTGGTTGGTTTTTAGAAAATGTCAAATAATTTATAATTGTATGAAAGTTGAAGCTTACTACTAAATCTTTCGCATTATCCGTGCGTTTAAATTCTCTCGGATCCTATTATTCATCGGGTTCTCGTTAATGGTTTCTTTGTTTCTCTAAAATTACAAAATCATTCATTCGCGAATAAGAGAATAATTGATTTTGTTGATTCAGTTACTGGCGAACCGAACAAATGTTGAATCAAGCTTTCAACGAACTTTGAACCTTTTCCCTTTGAATTTTTCATACACACGCAGTCCTGACTATCTCCACTCTTACAAAGTCAAAAAGCACGAATTATTCAAATTGTACTGTCAATACCACTTAAGAGAAAGGAAGAAAAGGCGAAAAAAAATCTAAAGAAGATTGGTTAGCACAATATCAGTCCGGAACAAAGCGTGGAACGCTGAGATGAGAAGAACGAAAAAAAAGGCGATTTAAACGAATAAAGCGTAGAAGCGAGTAAGAGGCTGGTAGTACAGTCGAGATACGAAAAAAATATTGCGAAAAATAAAAAAGGGTGGACGAGTAAAAAGCTAGAAGGACGAGATATATACTTGGGGGCTTGGTAATACTTGCCACGACGACGACGACGCGCGCAGGAAAGCACAAAGGAGTGACAAAGGGCTCCAGCTACGTTGGCAAAATAGCATGCGAGAAGCTCCGTTTTTTCAGGCGCGGAGGCGTGCCGACAGCCTTCCTCTTCCTTTTCTTCTGCGCGAGCTTCCCTCCACCCACTTTCTAACAGATAAATATTTCGAGTAAAGCTTTATTCGCGCGCTGCACGGATAGTTTATCAGCCGCGCAATTTTGCCGAAGCTACGCCGCGCCGAAAATTAGTTTTGGAAAAATTAATGCCGTTTATTTTTACGGGGCTGCGATTTATTGTGCGCGCTAACCGTAGCACTGCTACTGCGACGTTGACGTTGATTTGTGCTGTTTAGTTGGAATTGCGCTTTAAAGTTGGAAAACTTATGGTTCTACTTCTCCGGCTTGAATATACCAACGGAGCTTCCCTTTTTTCTGCGAACGTTTGCTCTGCAATTTTAATATTTTCCGAATTTCGTGAAAAGTAATCTCTCTTTTCTCGTGAGCTCAACCGCATCGTGGATCTCGTTAATGGTTGCATTTTTATCAATGATAATTGGACAATCCGTGTACATATAAAATCAGCGATGACTGGCAAACACCTGTATTAATTGCTTATTTGACGAACGAGCTTGTACTGAATAAACGCCAACGTTTAACGATTTTATCAAATAAAACCGTTAAACAGTAAGCCACAAATCAGCTCGCAGTTGCCGCAGCGACCCTGCGAGTAAAGTCGTAAAAAGCTTTGAGGAGTAGTGGAATGGCGTCGCGACGAAGAAAAGGGGAAATATTGTTGGTGGGCGCGCAGAGCAATGATAGCGAACGCGCACGGCTGAGATTATAAAATGGCGTCGTCAGCCTTCGTCCGTGAATTTTCAATATCCGCTCGCGAGCTTCAATTTTTCTTTCTTCGCCGTTTCGTTATTTCAAAACCCATCTTCCCTCTCGCATTCGCGAGAGATACGTTGCTATCCCTCATAGCATGACCGAGATTCTTCCGGCTCTGTACTTTTTCATATAGCGCGAACGAAAGAGAAAAAAAAAATAGTGACTTAGGAATTGCCGTCGGATATTGCGCGCTCGTCGACGATGCATCAAACATTTTTCGAAGTTATGAATTCATTTTTCGATGTTACTTCGCGCGCTCGCAACCAAAAAAATATCCGTTGCTTTGCCAGAGACAATCTTTTTGTTCATTCCAATGAACGACGAAAGAAGGAATAATAGCGGCGACACCTTGCACCGTAACTCGACGCGCGCCAATGGTTCCAGTACACTCGATACGCGTGAACTTGAATAAAGCCAGGCGCACAAGTGCCATGGCGCGACGATTGATAAAAGAAAATTCTTATCGATCGTGCCGGGCCACTTGGCAATCGACGCAAAGTCGATGGGAAACCGCGCAACGTCGCGCGCTGGAGGAGTCGCAAGAAAAGGGTGCGTTTCGGCGATACTCCTGCGTATCGCGTGCGCGCGCGCGCTCGACAGAGGATGCGCGCCATGTTGATGCTGCGCGGCTGTGTGCCTAGGGAGAGGGCGGCCTGAGTTGCTTGGGCGCTGCGCCGCCCAAGCGCGAGCCGGGGTGAGGCGGCCGGCCAATCGCGGGTTCGGCGCCCCCCGCCGCGATATCGACACGTGCGCGCCACGACGCGGCGGCCGCGAGGGCGCAGCCAGCTCGGTTGCCGACAGTCGAGCACGCGCTCTCGTACGCTCAGGGGTGCGACTGCCACGCGCGCGCACACGCACCCGCCGCCTACGCTCGGCAAGCTGTCGCTCGAGGATCGGGTACGAGTGGTGGCGAGAGACGGCGTGGCAACGCGCGGTACGCCGCGATCGGCGGCGAGTCGGCAAACGAATAAGATGTCAAAGCGCTGGGTCAAAGCAAGGCACTTGTCGTCCGACGGGCCACGAGGCTGGCGCTTATCGCGTCGATAAGCTCCGCGAATAAAGCCGGCACTCGCCCGCGATAGCCGGGCAGTAAGTAAGTGGGTGCAGTCGGCGTGTCGTAGTGTGCTTTTCGGTGTGCGTCTTGTGTGTCCGCCGTCGAATGATGAACAATAAGCCATCGACAAGATGATCGGCTGCGAAGTGTTGTCGTTGGATAGTGCTTATCGCGCGAGGGCCGAAGTGCTGACTCCACCCCAGAGCAGCCCCGAGTCTCACGGTCACTCGAGCAGCAGTAGCACTGGCTCTATGATAGGTTGCGACTCCAGGACTATGCATCCACTGGAGCATCGGCACACGGCTGCGGAGCTTGGATTGCCACCTAATCTTCCAGATATTCTTTATTGTAAGTTCTCATCGAGGATGCATTTAGTTTCAGCGCAGGCTTTCTTCCGCGTCACCTTACCCAACGACTTGCCTTCGTCGACCTTTCGACGCGCGAAACTGAAATCAATTATGCACGCAAAGCCGTAGTTTCACGTGCATTAAATTACCCTATTATTGCTTTTGAATCAATCTGTCAGCCTAATATTCCGACCGATGTGACAATGATTTGATTGACGTTCCCAAAATCATTTGCGCCTCGCTCGACAGTTATAGATTCCTAGCTTGCACATCGATAACAATACAATTTTTGACGTTGCACTTCGTTCTGAGCTCTCTCATCACATTTCGCACAAAAAAGTCTGTACCACATGTGTAATTAAAAAAGTGCATTTATCAGAGTACTTAAAGTGTTATGCATCAATTATACAATTGCTATTTTGAAGTATTCGTTCACTTTATGTCGTATTGGCACGATAAAATAAATTTCAAGCAATCCAACGGTCCGAGCTGTATGCAGAACAGCAGAGCGATATACTGTTATTAGCGCATACCAGCTAGCCATAAATTTTATAACTATGCTGAATTGCGAGTTCCAGCATTGATACATTTTTGTGAAGTGATAAGGCGTTATCAATGAAGCAGGTGAAGCGATAATTCTGGGCGATTGAAATCGCCGTCGAGTATGTATTTTCGACAAGTCGTTAAACTGCAAAAAGCCATGAAGGCGCACATCATCGCGAAATAAATGCGAAGATTCCATGATTTGATCGTTTTGTAAGAGGCTTTTCGCCTTATCGATTAATAAACAGGTATATTTAGCGCGATATAATGACTTTATCGGATTGCGATGATCGGGTGCTTTGATTCGCAGATTGCGCTTCAAAGCTTGAAATTTTCGGACGAGTCAAGTGTGTATCGTATATCCTAGCGACAGATGAGAGATAAATGACGTAAGGAACTGTATAGTTTTGGGAGACATGTAGTCATTGACCTAGCGGTATTTTTCCGTGACGGGCTCTGCGAGTCATATCAGAAAGCAGACGCAATGTTTGTCCGAAATTGAAAGACGACGATACATGTAGGGCTGTTAATGCGAGACGAGTCAAAGTAACGTCGCGAACGAACATTTGTGTTGCAGCATCCATACCAAAGTGCGGCGGATGTCAGGAAGTGATCCTCGACAGGTACGTGCTGAGGGTAATGGACAGGTGTTGGCACGCCGGCTGTCTCACTTGCCGTGACTGCGGTGTAAGACTGGCGGACAAGTGTTACGCTCGCAACGGACACGTGTTCTGCAAGGACGACTTTTTCAAGTAAGTATCAATTTTTACTTTGTACTCGGCAGCTTGCGCGCGTCGCGTCGAAGCCTCTCATCACTACTTGCTGCAGCGGGCAATAAATGTATGAATGTAATATGAAATTGTTGCTTGCCGTTGGTGTGGCAGGCGTTTCGGTACAAAGTGCGCTGGCTGCGGCCAGGGCCTGGCGCCCTCTCAAGTGGTGCGTCGCGCCCAGGATCTGGTCTACCATCTGACGTGCTTCCTCTGCGCGATGTGCTCCAGGCAGCTCGACACGGGCGATGAGTTTTACCTCATGGAGGATGCCAAGCTCATTTGCAAGCCCGACTACGAGCAGGCCAAAGCCAAAGGTACGCAACTTGGTAGGCACAAACAAATTTTTTACTTCTTCCCTCTCTCTCTCCAATCGACTTGAAGCCCTGCGATACGGCCTCGATGCTTTCGCTCGTGCAATTGTTTACCACCGCTTCGATGTTGTGTTGGTGTAAGCAGAATTAGCCGACGGCGGCAGTTTGGACGGTGATCAACCGAACAAAAGACCAAGAACAACAATTACGGCCAAACAATTGGAAACGTTGAAGCTTGCCTACAACAACAGTCCGAAACCGGCGAGGCATGTACGGGAACAGCTATCGCAGGATACCGGACTTGACATGCGCGTTGTTCAAGTTTGGTTTCAAAATAGGTAAGTTGTTATCCTTCACCGCCACTTCTGCTTGATTTCGCAAGAAAGAAGCTTCGTAAATATCAACGAGAATGATTTTACGCGCAGGAGAGCGAAAGAGAAGAGGTTGAAAAAGGACGCAGGCAGAACGAGATGGTCGCAATATTTCCGTAGTATGAAAGGAGGCAGCGGCGGCCACTCGCCACGCCACGACAAACTGCTTGACAAAGACGAACTGAAGGTCGATCTTGATTCGTCGTTCGGCCATCACGGTAAGATACTTGTTTGTCATATTCACTGTGTTGCGATAATTATCGTATATACGTAGCTCGTACACCCGAAATCCGCATACTTGTCGTAGCGTCGTCGATAAAAGAAAAAAAAAAATGACGCGCGAGAAGAAAAAAACTTTTAATCAGCGAAAGAAAAAGTATACGGCCATGAATTTTCGGTGGAAATCTGCAAAAGCAGCAGAAAGTTTTTCATTAAAGAGGAAGGAAGGGAGGAGGAGAAAAATACGCTATGCGACTACGCTCAAGAGAAAACTCTCGAAGGATAGACTTCGTCAAATATTCAGGAGATTGCTACGGCTAACTATGGCTGCTGCTGCCGCTGCTGCGTCCGAGATTTCAAAAAGATTGCGCAGCGTTATACGCTTTTTGCGGATTCTACCGGCATTCGTTATATACATATACATACGTATATATATATTCGGGATTTATTAGTGCGATATTTTAATGAATTTTTTTGTTGCGTTTCATCGATGTAAATATTGTATTGAAAGACTGATAAGCTAACGAAATCATAATAAAACCGTGGTAAAGCGCGTTATAAAAATAAACAGAGCTGTAAAAAGAACACGAGTCATATGTTACAAAGTGCATACACACACACACACACACACGACATATAGAAGATTCGTGAGCAGGTAAGCGATCGCGTGTGGAAGACGCATTAGTGAATTGGCATGGACAAGCCACTTGCGCACGCGCGCTTAATTATTTCCAGGCGATGCGGCGGCCTATATCGAGCAGTTCGATCAAGTAACAGCCCCCGGGCAGATGACTCCCGTCGGTCAATGATAATTCTCGCACGCGCATTAACGCGTGGTGATGTGCGTGTCACTCAAATTTATGGTCCCTGCGTGCGGCGATGTTTCTCGTGGAATGTTGTGTTTTTTTCCATGGTACTTCGTTAGCTTTAAGGGTTGATCGAGAGATATATTTCATTGAGCGATGAATTTTTGATTGAACAGATCTGAGCAACGACAGTTACGGCACGGTGAACATGGGTTTGGACGGCGAAGGCGCAAGTCCCGGAGGAGGTGGGGGCGGTGGTGGTGGTCCACCGCGTGGTTACCTTGGTGCAGCGACGCCTCCTTACCTGTCCACGTCTAGATCGCCGTCCTTGCCACCACAATTCCCATATCCACCGGATGCTGGACTCTCCGTTTACACGACGCTTGGTAAGATTAAACTCATTGTTCAATAATCTGGAGCATGCTTGGGTGGATTTATTACTAGCGATACATTGCAACGACTATGAATATGTGATTGAGGAACGGCTCCGAAAGTCAAGACTTTTAAAAAATTCACCTAGCAACCCATGAGTAAAAAGAAAAGAAAGAGGTAAAAAGCATGAGCTGCAATCAGTAACGCTGTTTATGTGACTTTGTCAGGTGGCCCCGGTGGAATGGTAGCCGGGCCAGCCTCGGATCTGAGCAACGAATCGAGCGGTGGCGGCGGCGGAACGGGTGGTGGCAACAGTGGCGGTGGTGGCGGGGGTGCTTCCAACGCTGGCGGTGGGGCAAACAGCGGGGGCGCGGCCGCCGCTTACCCCGACTTTCCGCCCTCGCCGGACTCGTGGCTTGGCGAGCCACCGCATCATCCTCACCACCCGCACTACGCTACATAGCCCCCAGGCAGGAGGTTACAACTCTGGCACTGACTCGCTGCTGCTGCTGCTGCTGTACATTATCACGACAAAGACCTGTCGCTTCCGTAAAAAAACAACAGTGAAAGCTTCGACGTTCTCTGCGACGCGAACGACACATGAACTTTATTATATATATATATATATATATATATATATATATATATATATATATATATATATAACCTCTTCGGCGAGTACGAGTATATAGGTATAGTCTTTGTCGATCGCAGTATAGACAGATACTCTTCTTTTCAGCTGTGGTGTAATGGAAGCACGTGCGATATAAAAAAGCTCAATACCTGTAAATATACTTTGCGCAACTATGTTAGCGCAAAGACGAGAACTTTGAATTCCGCTATTTGAAGTAGTCGAATAAACAAGAATCGTTTCTTCGTGTATGATAAATGAGCAAAAAAACTGAATGTTACAATGCGACAAAAGTATATATATATATAAATATAAATATATAAATATAAATATAAATATAAATATAAATATAGTTTTCAAAAACAACGTACTAGTGAGGATCGTAAAAAGACAAGGAAGTCTTGTGCTGACAATTATCTCTCATAACGAACAAAAAAAAGTAACGCACACCCGAATCGTCGTATCTTTGAGTGTCCATAGCGCGATTGCGAATGATATACATATAAATATATATTTTATTTTTATTTTTTCCGCTGACGAAAATCGCCGACAGCGAAAAGAAAAAACAAATAGCTAGTTATCCTAAGGCCAATCTTTAATCTCGATTGCGTGAATTGATATTAAAAGGCGCGTCGTGATTAATTATGCTGCAAAACTTGCGTACGAATAGTTTTTCGCTCTCAATAAAAAATGAGTCTTAGTCAATGTCAATTTACCCACCCTCTTCCAAGCTCAAACCACGCATTTCACAAGTGCGCGAACGAAGAGAAGTTTGCAAGTCTGTCGAGGCCGTCCCTTTATCCACAATTGCTATATGCTAATCTTGCGCACCCTTCTTAGTAATGTACAGTTTGTTTTATTTTACGAGCGTGATTTGAAACGACGCACAACACGCAGAGCACAATCGAGAGAATATTATGATGCAACTTGTCTGAAAATGTCTAATGAACGTATATAATGCACAAATACATTCGTGCGTTTGTTATGTGTATTATATTTGTGTATTTAGTTCCTTGTTCATTTATCTGTAATTAAAAAATATTACGTGTAAAGAAGAAAAATTCAATACAAAAATTTAGATTATAATTTGTGATTACAAAGCTTTAAGGAAGAATTATCTTCTTTCCGGAAATTTAAATACGTACTTATTTCTAATTTTACGAACAAAGTGTGCAATTCATTTTACAAAAAAAGATCGGCATGAGAATTGATTTTCAAGTGATCAAATTACCATAAAATTGAAATTGTGTCTTGCAGAACATTCTTCATTGAAGATACTTTCAGAAAAAAAAATGATATTGTATCAAATTACGTAACGAGTATGTAAATGAAGATGTTGATTGAAGATTTTCAATGAAATGAAAAAAGTCATCGGAAAATGTACAAATCATCCAATTGTAGTTATTAATGAAAATAACAAAGAAAATTGAAGAGCAAGAATTAATACGTGATTCTCGAATAAAAAAATTCTTTGCATTTCGTATAAGCTCATGATTAAGTAATCGCGAACATTATTCGTATCTTTATCGAAATCAGTTATTACGAATCTTTATATTATCTAGTCAACAAGTGATAATAAAGATTTATCATAATCAAAATAATTTTATTTCTTAATCCTCTTAGTCTTCCAAACTTACTTATTTTCTTTTAAAATCTTCAGTTGTAATAATCTGTTAATATACCTATTTAGATTATTATTTTTCAAATCAAATAGAGAAAAGTGTTCTTTTTTTCCAAGACAGATCGTTTATAAATTTTACTAAACTACAGTATTTATGATGTTACGCTTTATGCTTTCGGGCACTACAAACATTAGTTATTGTCAATAGAAAAGACGCTTGCAGAGAAAGAATGGAGAAACACGTAGTTTAATACAGAATGGCACTTTATTAATGATTTATTTACAGATGAATTTCTGTGACTTGTAAATTATATACAATCTTAAAGAGTTTGTATAAAGTGCTTTATAAATCAAACACGTACGCAAAACAGGCTAATTGACATACGTGAAATATCGCACGTAAGTTACGCCTGAATAATGTAAAAAATAATTTGAAAGACATTATTGAAAAAGTACAATAACAATCTATATTTTGTAAATGTATATACAAATCTCTTAATATACATTTTTCACATCTGTCCATATATTATAACAATATTAATTTAAATTTCTTTTCGTTTTTTCAGACAAAATTTCGTTCATTTTTGTAAAAATAAGTTTTTTATATATCATTATAAGAGTTGTACGTGTAAGAAGTTCATCTTAAGGCTATGTCAATAGACATAGAACAATAATGATATATCTAAGAGAGCAAACTTTAAAGACTATATAATCGAGCAAATACAGTAAGTAATAATACCCATCGGTAACTCTTTGCAACGCCTAATACGTTTTCAAGATACTTACTTTCTCATCAATATAAGTAACAACCATTTCCTTCATAAACATTTAATTTTCATACTGTGCTTCTTCATAGTTTCTAGTTTTCTTAAGTATACTTTTAGTAATCAGTAATTGTTTTATGATTGCTTTTTCAACATTCTTCTTATTCTTATTTGAAGTTGACAAATGCTCAAATGTATCTTCAAGTGCTCTTCGTGTTTTCATCAGTCTCGTTTTTAATGCTACATTTTCTTGCTTTAATGACTGGATCTCGTCGAGACCTATAAAAACAAAGTAAATTTTATTAGACTGTAATATAAAAACATCATTCAGTTTCCAAAAATGATACAATGCTTAATTTGTAACATAAGTGTAGCATAATAAATATTGATATTTATAAATTATTTAAAAATTTATCGTATCATTTTTATATAATATGAAATATTTATTTGTTATATTGTCAAGCAATAGGCTAATCTAAAAGATATTCAGCTGTATAATACACATAGTGGCACATTAAATTTTTAAGATGCTTTATGCACAATGTTATGTTTTTACACAAAATGAATGATTTAAAAATATGATGTTAAGTTATCAGACGCAAATAAAAAGGCAATCAGTAAAAACTTGTTCAATGTAAAATGTATTGCCTTTTTAAATACATCACTTATATGAATAGTTGAGACACTATACACATAAATATTATAATCTATAACAGGTTTTTTAATAGTAGAATATGAAGATGAAAGTGCATTGTAATATTATTAGTTTACTGATGAGAAATAATAAGTTTATGATTGATAATTATATTTTCAGTAATTCAATATTGATTTTTCAATACACAATTTATTATGAAAAAAAAATTGTTCAACACTGAATATAAATATTTACGATATCCATGCAACAGTGCACGACAATTTTGTAGCACGAATGAAATAGTACATTGAAAGACATTTATTAAATAGAGCAAGTGAATAAATGCTTTACTAATTTACAAGCATTATTTGCCACAAGCTTTAAAAATTATCAATTGACTCTGATACATACTATAGTATAATAGCCCACCTATGAAAGAAATAAAATTACAGAAGATTTTATTTTAATATTCCTTTGTCGATTCTAATATTGGCTATTAAATTTTTCAGAAAACAATAATACATTAACTTACCTTCAATAGGTAGCGGGCTATCGACGTTCTCGTCTCGGAGTACTTGGTTGTTATAATTGTCATCATCACTGAGTAAGTTGTTCATTGATTCAGTAATTTTTAAAGTATCCTTCAATGGCCTTGTAGATGAACCAGCCGCATCACTTTCGATGCCCAGGTCGGGAGAGCAACTTGATTTACTACGTCCGCTCGATGCAGGATAAGTTACCGGCGGCCAATACTGAGTTCCCTACAAGTATCAAATTCATATTTTTATTAATAAAATTTCCAATAATAAAAAGTTTTTTAGCGCATATGACTCTTTTACGTTAGAAACATAATATTCGTTCATGAAATCATCACATGGTGGTTTCGATGCAACATCTAGTGGAATAGAAGAAATACCACTGGAACTTGGAGCTGAGTCACTAGCATCGCATACTGCGACATGCCTTCGAAGTTCTTTGTTTGTAGCCTCTAACTCGAGTAATCTTGCTTTGTGTGAATCATTGATTTGATTTAAGTCGGATACCTAATTAATATTCACTCAAAATTGTAATAATTCATTTAGTAAAATACGATATTATCAATTTACAAACCTCTTTCTGGAATTTATCTTGAAGAGTTCGCACAGTTACATCGTATCGGCTCTCGAATTTTCTTAATTCTTGTTCTAGTCTTAATTTATCATTGGTTAATTTGGTATTTTCTACCAATATTTGACTGTGCGTCAACGTGAGATGGTCCAGCTCTCTTGTAAGTCGCAAGATCATTGCCTTTGCTTCCTCGCTGTCGTTTTCCAATTTTTTAATTTTAGTACGCTGCTACAAATGAACAATAATAGAATTAATAATACGTTTAAATCTGACTATAAAAATTCGTTATTTAATTAACAAAATTTTCTTACTAATTCATTTTCCTTATTCAATGTAATTAATATTTCAGTAGTTTTCCTATCCGTACTTTCTTTATGCTGTAGTAACTCTGTTTTTTGTTTGGTAACTTCAAAAACCATATTTTCTACATCGAACATTTTTTTTTCCAATTGCAATTTGCGAATACTGTTCTGTTTGCTTTCTTTCTTCAAAATGTGACATTCGTGAATTTTTTTTTCTAACGTATTTTGTAACTTTTCACAATATGCTCGCGATTTATCTAGTTGACTCAAGAGTAGTTTTAACTTATTATTGATTGTCTGAAAATAATAAAAATAAATTTAATATGATAATTGATATAACGAATAATTTTGATTGAATAATGAATAGTCACCTCATCGACTACAGTTTTACTAATTTCATTTCTTAAAGCTATCAGTTCGGAATATAAAAAGCAGTTGATCTGTTTTAGTTCAAGAATTTGCCGATTTGCGTCGAAGTCGCCGACATCATTTTGGTAACTTTTGTGGCACGGTCGGTAATCAACTGAGTCTTCGGAGTCGCTAAATGTTTTAACAAATTTGGAAGACCTAGTTCTTGAAGAGCACTTATACCTTGTTTCAGTAAAACCCATCCTCTCTAGTGACACCATTCTGTCAGGTTCGGAAAAAGCTTCGGAGTCTGATGGATTTGATAATTGATTTCTTATGTCAATAAAATTGTCGGACTTGCTTTTCCTGACGGAACCGTCGATTCGATTACCTTTGTTGTTAATTGTCACATCATAGGATTCCTTTAGCTTAATCTCTTCCAGTGCATTTTTGAAATCGTCTGAAAGAATCTTTGAATTCATAAGTGCTTCGAATGCAATTGTTTTTTGTTTGTTTTGTGCAAAACTATTTGTTTGATCGCCATTCTTCAACATTTCCTTCATGAATTGAACCAACTCCTTTAAGTGACTTCTTAAAACTTCGCAGTACTGCTTATCCTTTTCAGTTGAATCACAAAAGCTTGTATCAGCATCGTTCGCTGGTTGTGCAACTAGTTTTATCCATTTCAGATAGTCAACTTCTTTTTCGAGTTCAATTTTCTGAGCAATCAGTTTATGAATGTACTTGGTCAATGTTGAAACGTCAACTGGTTTATCGCAATTAACATAATTGAGTTGTATAACGTCGTTTGTGAACGTCACTTGAATGCCGATATCATTCAGCTCTCGAACTAGAATTGTTAATTGAGAAGTTGCACTTTCTTCAGTGCATTCCGATTTGTTACGAGTCTTTTCTTGGCATTGATATGCTGTCATATGATTATGTAATTTGGCGATCTCCTTGTTTTTATTCCACAATTCAGTGTTCACGAGTTTTTGTAAGTTTTGCGTGCTCGTTTGAAGTTCTTTGTTTAGATGTTCGATCAATTGATTTTTCTGTTCAAGCTCTTGGTTCTTAGCATTGATTTCTTCCCGTAAGTTATCTACGTCGACGAGATATTGCGTGTTTTGCTTGTATGCATCTGTTCGATTACATGTTGCCTTGAATTGTTCTAGTTCTTCATTCTTAATTTGCAACTCATTCTTTATAGAATTTTTCTCACACTCCAGGCATTCAATTTTCAAATCTTTATCTAGCAGACGATCATTTAGATCCTGAAAATAGTTATAAAAATAAAATAATTGTTAGTATATCATTGTATTTATCATTAGTTAATTTGAAATAGCATTTAGTTTGATTATCTGTTATTTAATCAATATAATTTTTCATTATAAAGTAGATGACGCCACTTGTGTTCGTTTACCATATTATTAGTCTAAAACACGAGTGCATGTTGCAAATTAAACCCATTTAAAACGTGCCAGTCAACGCTCCCATCAGCGGAAGTTTTACATCAAGCTATTTATAAAATTTCTTGACAACGATACTTAGTTGAAATTAGAGAAAACTTGAATTCTTTTTTTTCCGTACCATTAACATTTACCACGTTATTTCCTTCATAAACATCAGTATAACCTTGTATTTGAAAATCTTACCTCAGTTTCAATTTTTATTTGCTTTTCTAAAATTATTTTCTCAGCCTTTATTGCGTCGATTTGGTCTCGTAGTTCATTAATTTTGCTTTCCATTTCCTCAAATCGTTGCTGCATACAAATTATTTTCCAATTATCAGTAAAATGCAAACACAAGATTCGAAGAAAAATGTATTTTATTTGGTAAATACTAGTAATTCACAAAAGTATACAATATCAAAGCTTAAAATATGCCACAGCCAGAAAAAGCAGGAAAGCAAACTATTAGAGGCTACAAAATGGTTTATAAAATAAATTTGTACAAAATGTTAAAAAGATGTAAATCGAATAAAACGGCAAAACACGATTTTCACATATCATTTTGGCCATTGAAATTTTGGTTTCTCTTCCCAACTTCTCGGGGATACAAAAGTAACTATGATTGGCTCCTAGAAAAGATAAACTAGCTGAATATCTTAAAGTTTGCCAAAAATAAAATGCGCTACTGGTTTTAAAGTCTAACAATTTAATTAACGTCAATATTTTTTCCTACAACTGAAAGTATTTCAAACACAGAACTTTACAACTTTAAATATATCCATAATTGCATTATATAGAAATATTAATAACTGTCACGATTTTCATAATTTTATGTAAAATTAAAAACATCGATAGAATTTCGATAATACGATAAGTTTGTACTTAATCGTCTTCCCAATAGTAAAAAAATTAAAACTAAAAAAGTGTCAAGCTAGTAATCTCAAAAAAATGCTCACATGTCAACAGCAATGCAATCACAGACTCATGTATTAATGTATTAAACTCAAGAGGTCAAAGCCCGGAAAGTTAAGCACGTTGTGAATGTAGATAGTAATAAATTACACTGAAGTTACATTATAGGCAACTTCCTACGTACCTCCATTCGCTTTGAAGCACACAAACAGGAAAACGCCGTCATAGCTTTTATTTTATATTTATATAAAACTTTATTGAATGAAAGTTACTCCGAACAAACGACTCTTCGTTGGATTAGCGTACACAAATTAATGTATCAACTTTTAACACTAGATTCAAAAGTAAATTGTGCAAAAATAAAGGTCCAATGCGATCGAAAACTTATCGTGTTACGTATTATTTTGCATAAATCGAACGTGCTCGATAAATATATTAGCGTCCGTCGATTTCGTCGTTTGAATCGTATATATCGACAGTGAAACACAGTAAATCGGAAGCTGTTTCGTTTCGATTAAAAAATAAAAGAAAGAAAGAGACAAAAAGTTCGATGTCGATTCTCGCGCGAACGCGTCGTTTGTCGATGCGAGCTTGCGCTGCTCGTTGAAGTGAATGCACGTACAGAAGCTAACTCGCAACGCGACGCCTGGGACTATTTATAGCCGACAGAGAGAAAGAGAATCTTTTTCCTCTTTGCTTCGGTTGCTAGCAACGATTTATAAGCTTGAAGAACTGATGTGGATTACATTTTTATGAAGCATAAGATACTTAAATGCATGTGTACTCGAGTTAATTTAAATATGATTTAATAAATAATAATCTATTTTAGTAAACGTTTGCTATTGGCGAGTCGAAATGAGGAGATAATAAAAAGAGGATGAAGAGAGAATGAAGAGAAAGAGGGAGAGAGAGAGAAAGAGAGAGACTTAAAAATTTGCTAATGGAGGTACGCGTGATTTTGGTTGACCAGGCTACTATGTGTGTATTTATAACGTGACTTCCTTCGTTATTTAAAGCGTCAGCGTCAGTGTGAATGAGAATAATTTGGCATCAAAGCGGTTATTTTAATGACTAGGCTTTCTTTTTCCATTGTGTTATTTCGATCGATTTTGGATTGATCGGTCGAGGATCAATTGGAATTTGTTTGTGGTTAGAAGTAACAATTAGCTTGTGTAAAATAAATCATTTATTTTTGCATTGCTAAAAAATTATTCATTGCGATAAAAGCATTACTCATTATGTAATACTACAATAATAAAAAAAATAAATATAAAAAGAAATATAAAATAAAATATATCCCACTAACAGCAATAGTAAATTTATAAGCGCAAGCGTGCATTAAATAAATCAGTGCGGAAAGTAAAATGCACAGGAAAAAAAATTCAGTTTTTCTCTCAAGATGCGAATGAGAATGTGTAAATTGCGCTATTGCCCTTAATTTCTCGTGTAACAGGGAAACAGTTGTAAGCCTAAAGTAAGATAACATATATGTTTTGTCAAATTAATCTATGCTCTATCATACAGCAAGTGCGTCAAAAAATACATGCAGTTTAAATGTTACTATCAAGTACCTGTCGATTGTTATCACGTTCTGGACTATCGATTAGTTCATTGCTAATATTTTTCCTCGAAGAAGTGTTAATGCTGTTTCTAGAAGCCTTTGTGTTTTCATTGCGTAGTCTGCTTAACTCAACCTCTAATTCCATAATCCTCCGATCTTTTTTTGTTTGTTTGTCTTCGAGCTGTTCATGACGTTTCATAAAGCCTTGAAGCATTTGGATAGCCTTTTTATGATCAACTTCTAATTTCTTCAACTTTTGCTCTTTATCTTCCGCGATTTGCTGCGCACTATAAAGCTTGAGTGTCAATTGCTTTTTTATTTCTTCTTGCTTTTTGATTTCTTTTTCTTTGTCTTCGAGCTCCTAAAGATTAAAAATTATGAGATATTTTTGATAATAATGTTTTTGGGCTCACAAATAACCTACTTTATTAACGTTCACCATTGAACTAATACCAACTTTTCTTAAATCTGGAGAACTCATTTTTTCTGCAGTTGTATTTAAGTCATAAGCTAGTCTCGATCTTTCGGTAGTGGGTTCCAGATCTATTGAACCATTCATACTTTTCGATGGACTGCTAAGATTGAAAGTTTTTCGGATGTTTTGAGATTCTTCAATAAATATAGAAGGACTTTGAGGAGAAACGCAACTTTTCGTGAAATTACTTTCAAACTGTAAGATAAAAATACAAATGTTAAGCTTACAACACTTGATCAACATCAAAAGACGCTAATTACCTGCTGGAGAAGTGAGCGATTCTTATTGTTGAGATCAGTGAGAGCATCATCTCTTGATTTTACTGATAATCTCAATTGATCAACTTGTTTCTTCCTTTTTTCCGCGACCGTTGTAACTTCTTCATAAGCTCTACACTTTTCTTCCAATAAGTCACACTTCTCACTCAAGATCTTATCCTTTTCTGTAATTTCTTTTCTAAGTTGTTGCAACGTACCGTTTTTATTGAAAATATCAACCTCTAATTCCTTAATCTTTTCATTTAGGGCTTCAATTTCATTATCCTTCTTCAATGATAATTTATCTTTTAAAGCGATCTCAGTCTCCAAACGTTTTTTCAATTCGTTATTTTCGTTTTCGAGTTCTTGAGCCCAATTTCTTTCTTCCTCCAAACTAGCCGCCGTTTGTTTCAACTATAAGAAGAAAATATGATTCAATAACAATATATTAATTTGATTTTCATATGAAGTACTCATATATTATTATTGAATCATATTTTCTAACAAGAAAATAATGTAATCATCTACAGTCACACACCTCCGATTCTAAAGATGCTTTGAACTCTTCCATCTTCTCTTTCAGCTCTACAGCCTTCTGAGGTGTAATGCCATATGTGTCTTCGTAATACGTAGCATCATTCAATCGTTCTTTGCATTCATCGAGTTCTGTAAAAGAAAACGAAATTGTTTAGTTCAATAAAGAGCCAATTGAACAACACTATAACTATAATTTTGCACACCTTTTTCGAGTCTATCTGCTCTTTCTCGCTCTTGTTCAAAGGCTTGCTGAAATTGAGTTTGATTTCTTGCATACTCTTGCTTTTGTTCTTCAGTAAATTGCATTGCCTTTGCCGCTTGACTAAGAAGTTCCTGCTTCTCTATTAATTCTTTCCTCAATGACTCATTCTCAACCTAAAAACAATGTAAATTAATTTCGAACTGTTTACAAGGCGTGGCTATGAAAACAAATAAGTTTTTTCAAACTTCATTCATTTAGAACTTTAGAAAATATGCTTGTGTATACGATGACTGAAAATTCACTGACTGAAAAGTCACTGAAAATATAAATAAATTTGCAAAATACGATTAGTAAAGTTTCCGAACGAAAAATGACAAACAACGCATATTTTCTAGCAAAATAAATAAAACTGCACATTCTATAAAAAGAGAAATTTACTTTGAGCTCAATGTTTTTCTTGATAGCATCTTCATCGGCAGACGTAATGCCCATGCGTTCCTCTAGGAAATAGATACGCAATTTAAGATTGAAGTTTTCCTTCCTAAGAGCTCCCAGTTGATCCTCGCACTCTTTCATTGTCCTGCCGGCTCCTACGATACCTTGACCGCCACCCATACCTCCGCCTATTGGGGACGATTTCCCCGGCGACTTAGCACTGATACCTGCAATTTTTACGTATGATGTTTTAATAAAATAAGCAAGTTAACCTTTCATAAAAAAAAAAGAAAGATTATCTGTCAGTGATGTGTGCACCATTGAATTTTTCCAATGAATTGCATAGAATCTTGAGCCATGTTATTTAACCGCGATCGTAAACAAAAAAATATGTGGCTAGATTGGCTTACATTAGTTCATTTACAACTGAGATCGCAATGTGTCATTGTTACTGAAAATTTATGCAACTTCAGATCGTAATGAGATATTCGATTTTTTTATGTGTCGCTTATGTTTTGATTCACTATTTTAAGAATATAGTTGAATATTTTTTTACAAATATCTTGTGGTTTATATGTAAAATATATGATTCAATTCAAAATACAATGTCGACGGAGACTATAACACAATTCGTGCCATCTCGAGTTACACACAACGATACTCTAAATTAAAAAAATCTATCATATTGCATACCATAACAGATTCCAATTTTGCCCAACTCAATAAAGCAATAAATATGTGTCGTTGGATAAGATACAATGAAAACGGAATTCTTTTTTCACTCGAGTTTTCATCTGAGTTTGAAAAGAAGAGAAATGTATAATGATTTGATATAGAAAATATCCAACACTCTCCTACTACCATTGGACCTTTTGACAGCGTTGGTTTCATGCCAGAAATGAGTCTATGATGAATAATATTTCAAAGCAACGACCCTGAATGCAGATTTTGCGAAGTTGGCACATGGAACTTGTACCAGCCAAAAGCACTCAAAGTAAAATCTATTCCCTTTTTCCACGAGATTGAATCTAAAGATTATGCATTCAAACGCAATAGACATTCTTGCATTCGCTGCTTACTCTTAACATTTTTTTTCATATACGTAAAGCAAAAACATCGAAATCTCGTCGATTGAAAAGTTAAGTTAACAAGTAAACTTCAGCCATTATGTAACAGAGCCTTAAACCAACACAAGAGGCATGCAGACGTTCATCAATAAATCACTGCGCGTCACAATTTTTCAGTGCGAAAGGCTCGTTAATATGTATACCGAAAATTCGCGCGAGCATCGAGACTTCCTCGTGACTGGAACTGCTGCATCCCATTCCACGGCCGGCGAAGCATTTTCAGGCCGAAAAGAAGAGGCGAGTCGAGGTGCGCGAAGTTTTAAATTGCAATAACACACCGCATTTCAAAGTACTGCGCGCGACTGACAGACTGCAGCTGCCGAACTACTATTGACACAGAATAGACTTGGCTACGTTGCGCGTCGCTTCACCTTACACCTTTATTCGTTCGTTTTCTATAAATGCGAGTAGAGCACACTCTTGGCGCTACGCATCTATGTATTTTTTTTCTTCTACCGAAGGAGTGTCTGCGCGTATTGGATTCTTTCCAGCTTTGCGGGTCAATTTCAATGTGACATTTTTAATAATAATTATCTGCTTTTTTACAGTGAGAAAAAGGAATTCCAAAATTCAATTTTCGTAAAAAAGAAACAATGCATGATAGAAAATGTTGAAAGTTATTTCGTAGTATTAAAGAAGCTACGTTCAGAGGACACAACATGCACTGAGTATATTTTACGAGCGAGTATTTTTAGCATAGACAGTCTAATTATATTATTTAAAACAAACTTACAATGAGTGACGGTTACTCACGATGATCATTGAATTGTAAATAAATGTTTTCCTTTGAGCAGCAGTACATAGACTTTGCTCTTGTATATTATGGATTGTATTGAGGAAGATCCAGCTTCGTTTTTAAATATAATGGTTCTAACGATTTATAAATTTTAAATATATTATTACTCGTTTTTCCATCTGCATGACACTATTCAAAATTTTGTTGTTATTTTCATTGACTTTACGGAAAAGGGAGAGTGCGCGAATATACTACTTTATTCTGCAAGTGTTACGAAACTACGAAACAGAAGAGGCGATCGCGAGCGTATAAAGGTTGTTATTCTTCTCTTCGCAGCACACACGCGGATAACATATCTCTTGATGAAGTAATAAAGACAGATCGAACGCCGTTCCGACGACGCTTGGATGTATATCTTGAATTTCAGTTGGCGCTACATTTATAGATGAATTTTTTTAAGTATTCAGTTCTTTGAAGCCGTCGTATATATAATAAATAATCCTTTGATAAACACCAACAAAACTAATTTTGAAAATGCTAAATACCGCAGAAGTACTGAAAGTGCCCAAGATAAACTTAAATATTAATAGACACATCTCGGTATACAGACGCGCGCACGTTCAACCGCATCTTCTTTTATTTTTGGTAGAGGTGCACGCATTTTACACATCTTGTGCCTTCTAATCTAGGCAGGCCGTTTTCCAAATAGTCATCTTTCCGCCAAACTAGGGAATAATAAACTGCGTTCTCGTTGCACGAACGCGTGATAAAATAAATCCGCGCGCTAAGTCTCGTAAAGACAACATTTTTATCTGACCGCGGAATGAAAAACTTTTTCGGCCATTTCACCATGCTTTCGTTACTACCTCGCGATGCAAAATTAAGCTTTATGCTCGAGTGTCGTAACATGAACCGGTGATAAATTTTGACTGCGTTGAAAATTGTCTCTGGCAATGTTTGCGAGTCACACGTTTCGTTTACTTGGCTGCGGTCAGCTGCTATCATTAATCATTCGAACTGCCTGTCCCAAGCGCTGCTCACCAGATAAATTCTAATTAAAGGTTCGCGCCAAAGTTCGCACTGATAGAATTATGAAAGCGACATACCAAAACTTAAATAACGCGGATTTAGTTCTCCTATATTATTTAAAACCTACGCCATTAACAAAGGTAAAACTTTCATTTTCAATCATTGTCAAAAAATAAGTAACGTTAGAAAATGCAGTGGCTGCATTTTTATGCCAATAAAAAGATGAAACGATCTAATTTGATCGGATTTCTCCAAGTCATTCGATAGATAGGTCTAGAATGTACGCTTCGGATTCTTTTAGTCTAGCAATTCGTGTCACGCCCGTGAGTCTACAATAGTAGACGCGCACAGGAGAAATAAAGAAAATGCAGTAGTATCTCCTGGCGCTAAGAAGAGCTTTGAACCGTGCTCTATAAAAGATTAGCAATTTGCAACATACTTTCAGTTGTAGACTGCGCTAACGTCAAATAAATTGATTCGAAGTCTATTTAGCAATACTGCGCTCAATGATAACCCCATCATTGGCACGTGGAGATTTGGAGCAATAGATAATATCGTTTCAGCGAATTCGCTTGTTCTGTCGGCGAGAAGATCGCCGTTCGGTAATGCTTGCCAGATCCAGAATATCGAACACATCTTCTGGCACTCTCGGTTGGACAAAATTCAAATATACTCTTTACTCGTGAGGACGGTTCATTCCAAATTAGTGCATATTCAATTAGATGCGCTGACGGTTCGATGCCCCCTTCCCCTTGTATCCATTGAAATACATATGAACGGTAATAGTTACGTCCACATGCGCGACTTGCTTGCTGAACGACTAAAGTAAAGTGAGAGGTCTAATAAAAACTGACTTTCGTTTCCGTTTTACCGCTCGTTAACATGGGCTTTTATTGCCACACGCTTGAGAAGCTGCGGGCACGCGTTGCTAATACAATTAGTGAGCGAATAATCTGCTTATCTTATTGAACTGTTTCATGTCTCATTGTTACTTACTTCAATAATAATATTTGTATAATATATCAACTACTCGTTTCGCTGTGCACCTTCCATGTTATCGTGGGACTGCTAACAATGTCAAAGTGTCAACGGTTATTCTTAATTTACCAGCAGACTTAATATTGAAAGAACAAAATTAAAACTAAACGCTCACCGACGAAGCCGCACAGCGTACACTATTGGGATCCGACATCTAGACTGCTGGTCGGGGTGACTCTCTCGTGGCACGAAATAGATATAATCAAGCTCACACTTTCACGCACTTCGCGTAGGGCAGTGAGCCGTTTTCGTCTAATATATTAATAGTAATGGAAGAATTTTGTAAATGGACATATTTCGACCTTAATACCAAATGATGCATCTTACATAAGCACATTTTTTCAACTTTTTTTCTACATTTCGTTTTATTCGCTTATTTTTAACAAATCATTTGTAGTTGGAGTATAATACTGAATTGTTTGCAAATTTCATCGATTACAATTAATTTATTAAATAAAAACAGTACTCTGTCCTATTCTGTCTGTGTTGCCGTAGTATCTCGCTAAGTGTACGAGCTTGTTTATTTCTATTTCGTGTCACGACGGGTCTCAAACTCTGCGTCAGACCTGCAATAGTTTGTTCTAGCTGATCAGAGGGCTCGAAATTTTCGTCCACACCTGAACTCGACTCTGATGGTCTTAAATCCCGGTCGAGCTGGATTCCTTAACGCAAGGCATGTTTTCATTTTTAGATGATGGACCCTCACTGTCGCTTTCCACTCTTGGTAGATTTCTGCTACGCAGAACTCTCTCTCTCTCTCTCTTTCTCTCCCACTCGCTCACTTACACTCCCTCTTGTACTCTAATACGCGTAGATATATTACTACAGTCTTATATCATTTATTATATACTGTGCAACTACTTATCGAATTTTTCGACAAAAAAGTAAGTATCATAAAAAAACCAACGCAATGAAAAATTATAATAAAAAATATTCGCTTCCCAAAATGTCTTCAATTAACTGCTAAGATCTACTTTTAAGCTAAAATAATCCTATTAACCGTCGTACTCTAACGACAACGACGATGCAGAGACAATCCCGCCTGCAGCCAACGATGATAATAATAACAGGCGTCGCGCCAACATGCTCGAGTTGATTCTCCGTCTTAGTCCAGTAGAATTAGCTTAAGAAGATTCAAGATTTGGATGTAAGAGCAGAGAGTTATTTTATTTTTGAAATCGCTCACAATTATCATCGGATATCTGTAGAATGCTGTACATCACGTGCATATTCGTGGATTATCCGCTGATTCAAGTATACTATATGCGCTAGTAAATCTAAGCGCTTGGAAGTGAGAGAAAAAAAGGGCGACGCGCGTGTAATTATTAACGGAAAGAAACGTCGTCAACTGATAATGGCAAGATAAATATATCATGGTGGCGATGAGAGGCCGCTCGCGGCTATTTTCGATCCGAAGTTCCACTGATGCTTGAAAGTTTGAGAGCCGCCGTCGCGAGAGAGCGAGATAAGCTTGCAACTCGCCCGATTGAATCAACCTTCAGTCTCTACTCGGATAAATTTATTAAACAATCATTTCGCTCATTTGCAGCGTAAATATACCGATCGGACAATGCGTTCGAGAGAGGAAAAATAGAAAGTCGTTAAACGGAAAATTACCGACACTTCCCGTCCGAGCTATATTGAAGGGGACTGACATATCGGTCTATTGATCTTGATAAGCTTCATTGAACGATCGGATTATATCCCTTCAAAAATGTTCCATATCGGAAAGGAAGAGAAAGAGAGAAAAAAAACATGTATGTATAAGACGATTCTATTGTTCTCGTTCGTGTACCATGACGTACCCAATGAAACGATGCATCCCGAGGCGACAAATTATACGTACACGATTTGATATCATTTTATAATTGTCCGGTCGATGAAAGAGAGAAAAGGAGAGGAAGTAATCTGTGATAATTGTACCCTTTGCGCGAGTAATTTGTTACAGTTGACGATTATGTAGGCCGATGCGTGTGATCGTTTGCATTGAAGAATCATATCTTGTATCGAACGTAAAAATGATACTCACCATTAACCACCGTTTGATCCATGGCTGGTAGTTTTGGAATTGGCGTATTGGTGCTGAAACAACAAGCAATTGAAATGATTGAAAATCATCGAAAGAATTATATATCGTATAAAACAGTCATCAACGCGAAAGAGCCGCATCAAAGCAACTGTTGAAATATTGTTTAGTTGATAGAGACGCTCGAATAATTCGCCTGCTGGCATGTTATGGTAAGGGATGAAAGTAACAAATGACACTATGTGCGTACTCCGAGTCGACAAATATGGAGTTCTGAGAATCTTTGTGTGGGCTTCATCTGATTAAAAAAAAAAAAGAAGAAGAAGAAGAAGAAGAAGAAGGAGGAGGAGGGGAGGAGGAGAAGAAGAAAAGGAAGAAGTGAAAATAATTGTCGTCTGCAAGTTGCGCAGAAGAGTAGTTTCGCATGCGCAAGTAGATAAAGCTTAGCCGCTATGTCGTATGAGCAAAGTGCCGCGGCTTTAAGGCAACTGAAATAGCCGTCGCGCAGAAATAGCCCTGCGAGTGGCATTTTAATGAGACGCAATTTGTCGGTACAGTATATGGAAAATCTCACTTTCGGAATCTCTAAAAAGGAGTTCATTTATCGAACGATAAGATAGCAGCATGACAAAGCGACGATTATCGTAATCGGCATCGCGTCCTCCGTTCGCGCCACTCGCATCCGCGCGCAGAGCTGCCCGTAGGCGCGCGCACTACATAAAAGCTTCCTGCGATAATGTACGCGAGCGGATATGCGTGCGCAACCGTGCGTGAGTGTGCGTGTGACGTTGAGAGCCCTTATTTTGCCCATATAACAGAAGGGGACTTTTAAAAATAGTCCCTCAGACATCTGACCGCGCGCTTCCTGCGTGAGCTTGCATACGTGCTCGGCTCTCCAGACGCGCGCGAGAGAGCTTTTTTTATACTGTGTAGTACTACTCTTGGATCCGAGGGTATACGCACGCAACCTTAATTTGGATGAATGACCGAGCTCGATGAGCTCTCCCGAGACGATTGTAAGCACGTACGTGCTTTCAATTCTGCGAGAGAGAGAGAGAGAGAGAGAGAGAGAGAGAGAGAAACAGAGAGAGAGAGAGATACCACGAGAATTATTGTTTGCACCTGAAGTCATGTGCAGTATCGTATTTGATAGACTGGATATTAAAGTAAGTTTGAGTCAAGGGTTATTGATTTGATTTCTTTTTGAATTGCATGTCACCACGAATGATGATTGGAAGTGCGAGTTTAATGGGCTATTGCGTGTTTGAGAACCCTCGAAGTATGTAGCAATCATTTTTACTGCGAGGCAACTGCAGTACTATCTGAAGCAGTATCTTTGGGCTCGAACAGTTTCATCGGTCGTAATATTCCTACTTTAATTTTCTCTACACTAGATTAATTTTTTTTGCATTTATTTTCATTTGACGATTCTTGAATTAAATTAGAAACTGTTTCATCTTCAACGATATTTGAACAATGTAATAATTGAATTCGTTCTGGATTTCGGAACAGATCCCATGACTTTGGGAACGTCGAAATTCTAATATTCAAGTCAAGACCAATTGACAATCAAGTGTAAAATAATTGATGATGCCAACGGTTAGCCCCTGCCGTGCAAAAACCTGCAACGCGGTCAATCGTACAAAAGACAAGTTGTCCTACTAGCAACTCTGACATTGTACTCTTTTGTCGACCTTGATAAACTCCTTCACAGCTCGCGAAATCCATACAGTCGCATGCTATTGAACTCGACACTTGCAAGCTCGAACTTGCCGCAGATGCAACGAAAGAGAAACACGTGCAACGCATGCGCAATCTGTCTTACTATCTCGCGTTGTTTGTGTCTATCCGACACCGTTGAAGTAGACGCAGCGCGCGAAAAGGCGCGGCGATGGGGACGAGAGCAGCCAAGTAATCGAAGCAATTGATCGATCGATCGTTCTTCGACGGCATATTGTCTTTGACGAATGTCGGATCAGCCCTGACGTCATCGTCAGTGCGAGAAAAAAAGCCAGGAAGAAGGAGAAGAAGAGGGGAGGCTGCGCATGTTAGTGATCAATATCCAACGAGGGCAGAGCAGCATAGCTTCATTGTGCGCGCTGGTCCAACTCTCGCGATGCTGCGGTAACGTGCGTGAGTGCGGACGCGCAATAGCAAATTTCCCGTAATTCTGCCTGTTTGCCTTTGAATTTTAAATAGACCTCGCCTTTAATACGACGCGTTATTGACGCCGAATGCGCGTTTGAGTTCTCCGTTTTTGGATTTCCACGGGCAGTTCCACGGCAATCGATGACGACTCGAGGATTACGCATTTATTAATGTAAGCTGAATGCAACGACACGCCTGTTAACAAAGTTGATTCCGAAATTAAAATGATTTAAATCGAAAAGTCGACGTCTTTGGTTACTTTGAAGATGAATCGACAGAAATAAATGTTATTACCTGCTTCATTCGCAGAATCTTACGTACACAACGTATATTATAGTTCCAGCCAAAATAATTCCTGTCGGTGGACACCGGACGAATTAAAAATTGGTGCAATGAATATCGGACGAATGATGCCAGTAGTTAGCATCTGTTAGCAGGTAGTGTAGAGCGCAAGCAGGCCGGTTAAACGTATTTCGACGTGCCGGACGAATAATTAAGCCTAATCGCAAAAATTACCGCTTTGTTTGACGGTTCGTCGAGATGACCGGCAAGCGAGCATCTCCTGCTCAGCTACACTACATCTCTGCACTCCAGTCCCTCCGAGTTACCTCCTATATATATGTCGCGTTGCACTTTGATGTAGCAGGCGTAGGTGTTTGCTTGTTTGCGCGCCAGTGGGGACAGTGAGAAAATCACCGCGGCGATATGGAAATCGACATGGCAGTAGTGACGCGCGCAAAGGCAATAAATCAAAGGTAATTTCCACTTCCGCGCGTCGATCGAGCTGATCAATCCAATTTTTAAACAGTGGTCTGGAATAATTATGAATGACTGCGAAAACTTATGCGGCTGGTTTATGATGCAACTTCAATGTGAAAGTAAATACAGGATGGACTTTAGAGTAAATTCAATCACATTTGATTTAGATTTCAAAATGAGTAATTTCCAAGGAACAGATGAAAAAAATATCATGAGCAGGTACTGCAACTCAATAGTAATTCTATTTCTATTGTTGTATATAAATTTCTATCACTATGTGATACATTTAACGCAAGAATAAAAGCTCAACAGTAATGAAAATCAAACCATGAGAAATATCCCATTTTTATCGTTACATTAGTTTCATAATCTATTCCGCATTGCCCATGACATAAAGAAAACATATTCGATCTGACTTTGCTTTAAAAATAGAACAATCAATGCTTGATAAAAACAGACTGAATCAGTATTTTCTGAGAAACCACGAAAACTTACTTTTTGAATGGACTATAAACACTGCCCCATAAACTTCCTTTGCCTGGTGAAGGAGGACTACTTGGAGCGCTATTGGAGTATCCAAACCCGCTAAAAAACATCTTGTCCAGTTGCGTTGTTTGTACAGAAGAGGAATCTAAGAGAATTCGCGAAAAGCGTGTACACGATATATCTAAGGTAAAAACAAGTCTTAAGATTTAATACTGCTGCAATGTAAATTTCCTTGTACTATTGCATAGGTATTTTTTCCGACAGGGAGAAATTTTTGGCGCCTTTAAAAGAAATAGCGTCCAAGACAGTCTTACGTAATTCACTTGTGAGCACGTGAAATGGGACGGATTTTTTTTATAATAAAAAAATATCGCACGCACACACAATCGACAACACTGTAGGAGTAGTGATACGCTGGGTATAAACAGTGAATCAACAACAGCAACGGTAGAGTGTGTACGAGATAGCAGAATCGTTCAACTTCCGTCGGAATTAACACTTCATGAAACTTGCACAGCGTCCAAAGTCAAAAATTGAAACAACAAATATATCGTTTTCTTTTCTTATACCGAGAGACTTTTTCACTACACGGCGAATTTGTCTCTCTTGATCGTCATCCACGAGTAAACAAGCTTCTTCTTAACGAACGGCCTCGTGCGTCCCATTGTCTGATAAAAATCCTGAATGCTCTCTCACAGCGACATATTTTATCTTGTCGAACAGCAGGAAGTCACAGCAAACAGATAAAAGTCGTGTACGTATCTGCCTCGGAGATGCGCTCTGCTGAGATAAAGAGTAAGAGATGATAAAAGAGAACTGTGAGAGCAAGATGCTGGCGAGACAACGTGATACGCGCGCCACAGGCCAGAAACGACTGCTGAACGCAAGGCGCGCGCGGGGCAAAGCACGCACACATGACCCGAGAGAATGAAAGTCGAAAGAGAGGGGGTGCAAGCTGCGCGACCCGACACTCTCTCGTACTGAGAATAAAGGAGCCTAGGTCTTTATCGAGGGATGCTGTCGCTGTGCACAGCTGCGAGGCTCTGCTGTGGGCCTTCCTTTCTTTTTCTTCTTTTCTTTCAGGATGCATTCACTTTTATATCTCGTATGATTCTATTTTCACGCGATTGTCGCCCATTCTTGATAAGGTTTTTCTTGTCGTAGGACTAAACGGACGCCTTTTAAGGATGTTGCAATCCATGAAAATATAGTTGAAGCTCAGTAGCTGTCAATTTTTTACTCGGCTGTATTATGGGATTTGTGCTTTTACTGTATTTTATTTCATATGATGACGATCGATTGGAAACAAAGTTTTATATGTGTACCATTGAAAACATGTAAATGAAATACAACGAAAAGTAAAAATAAAATTGAGAGTAAACGTATGGTAATTCTAATCTACTTCATAAATCATCTAAAATAATCTTCCGAGTATATTCTTAGCAGATGCATTATTGATGTTGTGTGAACTTAAAAAAATAGACGATTTTGGAGTCGGAACTACTTATAAGAAGAAAACATCTGTTTCCGGTGTACAGGGACATTTCCATATGAAGCATAAGCGATACGTCTCCACTCGGTTTCTTGAACACTGATTGAAAGTCACCGACGCCATGACCTTTGACCTCAACTTCATAGATATGGCTTTATTGCAATACGCAAAACAAATGGATGAATCGAACTAATCAATTCACCAACATTGAAAGTAAATTACACGCGATATAACTGTTGCATTGACTGCGCGATCGCATAAAACATTTTATACCGTAAATTCTGTTTAAATAGTTTTTTTTTTCATTTATTTGATTTTGTTATATTGGTAATAATGTCGAATTATTATATTTGTTTTTTTTTAATAAATTTTTTCTCGGATCCAATGACTTTGCCATACGAAGCAATTATAACTATTTTTTTATTATAATTTTATGTTTATACTTATTGACAGTATATCAATTATATGATAAATATTTTAGAATAGTTGAAACCTTGAAAAGTCAAAAATTTCATGTTCAACGAACTTACTTTTTCATAACAATACTTACCAAGTACGTCAAAACATTATTCGTGTAGTTAAGATTAGTATGATAAAAATTAAATAAATGTTTAGTTCACAGGGTAGTGGTTCCAATATTAAGGCTAACGTAAATTTTGAAGTCTGAATAATTTCAAAAATACAAAAAGTAAAAATCTCCGTTTCCATCAGAAGACTTATTTACCCAGGTAATATCGGTACTTTAATGACTGAAGAATTCGTCAATGCTTTCACGAATCATAAAAATAAATAAAGCAATGCAACTTCGTGACTCGTTATTGTAAATATCATCATCATTACTAAAATTACAAGTAGAAATTTTGCAAGAATACCATATCAAAATAGGATACCAGAAGAGAGATGCAACAAGCACGGTATCTCGAGAAATTTGAGAACAGTTGGAAAAGTGCATTTCATAACCGAATATATATCTCTCTCTTTCAGTCCCACGCGTCACAGTCGTTGGCCATTTCACCGGGTATAAAAATAACGGCTGCAGAACCGTGCCAAAGGAAGGGAAAAGAGAAAGAAAGAAAGAAAGAAAGAGAGAGAGAGAAAGAGAGAGAGATTGCTCCTACAGCGACCAAAGGGATACGTCGACTCTCCATGGCATCATATAATAGGTCTAACTATAACTATATAACAACCTACATATACCTAAAACTGAGATAAAACACTCACCAATCAAACACACTAGTCGAGGCGATTGTGTCGTCTGGAAAGTCAGTCATGGTTGCTACGACTTTGTTCACTTCGATTTTCCAACACTTTTGACACTAGTTACGCGTGCATAGCAATTATAAAACAATAATATAGCGTCGTTGCCAGCTACAACACGCTGTCTATGGCTCTTTCAACCGTCGTCCAATCGTCCAAGCCTGGGCAAAATTCAAAATAATACTTCCTGATTCACCCGCGTATCGTCATGTGGCGCTTCTACAATTGAAATGAGCTATCTTTTCATTGGTTGATTTTGTCATGATTAAAAGTAGTATCATTTTGCGGGCGATTTGAACGAATTATTTTCTGGACGTTCATTTATTTAAAAATTATGAATTTTTAAATTATTTCTTTTCAATAACTAATTACAATAATATTATAGTACTCAACATATCACGTATGGTTAGGAAACGTCTTTCGATATCTAATTGATAATCTTTTTTTTTTTCGTTAACCTTTTTCATTTCGTACTTGTTGTCAAACATGATAAATGTTTGTTTTTATTTCGACATAGTGTGAAAATTATTTGTAATAGCTGACAAAATGTCTCGTGAACATCTGGAAGTGGCAATAAAAATACTGTTAGTAATTTTGGTATTCATCCTGTGCAACGCTTTAGCCTGCAAATTAGTTTACGCGATAATGTGGATTCTGTTGATATTAGTCGGCTCAAAAGTATTGTTCAAGACAATACTGCCGTGATAAGAAAAAGCGAAATTTTTCCTTTCTTGTTAACCCGCGTGTGTGCTAGTAAATCGACCAACGACGTGTGTGGTATATGGTAGATGGACCTTGTCGACTGCAGGCGACAGCAACGACGCTACATACATATGTACTTTATGCACGTACACATGTGCAAAGGCGCCGCGAGTCAGTTTCACATGCACGTTGACGCTATGTACCTCGGTGAAAAAACACATACACACAATATGTAAGATTAGTGCAGAAAGCAGCGGCCTTATCCCGTCGATGACGATAAGCGGCAACGTTGTGGCTGATTGACACATTGTAATGGTTGTTACTCGATGTTCAAGCAAACGTTTTTTCAGTGGCTTAAAGGGCGCAACTGCTTAGTTCCTCCCGTGAGTCTGTCTGTTTTCTGTCTCTGTCTAGGACAGGTGTGTGTGACGTTGACAGGTGGTTGAATGCAGTCGACACTCCCTTTATCCTCTCCACCCAAAAAATAAGTTATCTATTTGCATCATGTTTGCTAATTTGAAGAATAAAATCAAAGAAGAAATTGGCAGTGACGTGTCCACTGTTGTCAGAAATGCTGGGACTGTTCGTACACTCAATAACAGACATTTCTCTAAGGTGTGTATAGTCTATGAACTAGTTTTGTTTCTGAAGAAATCAATATTTATTGTTTGGCTACTTAATACTGTGATAAGTTTGGTATCTTGGCAATAATAGATATTAAACTTGTTTTACATCTTTGCAGACTGGTTCAACTAGCAGTGTTAGTGGTTCCCAGGTTTCACTGGATGGATCCAGAGAAGACAACGCATCTCCCTCACCCTCTAGTCGTTTAAAGAGAGAAAACAGTTTTGAATTGAAGCTTGTTGATGGAACATCATTGAACTCAAAGGATATTAAACGATTGGAAAGCAGAGAAGATGAGTGGAGGAAAAGATTACAGAAAAAAGAAACTGAAATGCTTAAGAGAATGGAGAAAAAGGAAGAGGAGTTTAGAATAAAAATACTTGAGAAAGAAAAAGAATGGAAGAAACATGTTGAAAAACACGAGAAAGAAAAAGCCAAACTGGTTCAGGATAGATTGAAAGCTGAAAGTGTAATAAATTCCCTTGAAGTAGCTCTTAATGATGCTGGAGGTATTTAACGCTTTACTTGAAATGTCATTTTTTACTCTTAAAATAAATTTAATTTATTCACTAAATATTGCAATAATATACAAAATTGGTTTAATATTTCTTTTATAGAATACAAAAAAAAACTCTACAGTTTTCAAGAAAATGCAGAACAAATGGAAGGATTTCAAACACAAGAAATGGCCAAAATAAAGCATCTAGTGAGCATAGTTTATTTTTTCATGTTTTATCATAAACATTCATAATATAATGTTAAACATATTTTTCAGTTACTTGCAAAAGAACAGGAACTCAAAGATAAGTCTCAGCGTCTTAAAAATGCATGCAGAGAAATAGAAAATTTGAAAACTGAATTATCAAAGCTAAGGAGATACGAAGATGAACGAAATAGCGTACAAGTAAGTGTATGATATATGTGTGTGTGTGTGTGCGTGTGCGTGTGTGTGTGTGTGTCCATTCAGTTTTAACACTGCTGTATGCACTTGAACACAACTCTGAATGTTAGTTTATTGTAGCTCTTTTACCAGTAATTCTTTTTATGTATGTTCTTCTTTCTTAAAGAATTTTATTTTTTTGTTAAAAATTACTATACACACATGCATAATACATTACTAGGTTACAAATTTTAGCAAGGATTAGTACACTACACATAATAGTGTTTTTTCACATTTTTATGTTACACATTTATTTTATTCTAGTTTCTAAAAAAATTAATTTAAATGTTTTATTCATTTTTATTTGCTTTGTGTTTTGTCATAATGTTTTTTTGCACTTTTCCCCTTCCACCACGATCCCAATAAAAATATTCTTTCCTTCTAACACATCATATCACAGTCGGATTTTTTTTAAAGGTCACTTAAAGTGACTGAGGACACAAGTTCCATTGCTTAAAAATGTTTTTGTCGGAACGTGTCTCTACCTTTGAAGTACTTTGATTTGTACCACCAACGTTCTGATAAAAACGACTTTTAAAAGTTATGGTTTATACAAATTGGCCTTAGTGTGAAAAAATGAGCATGAAGATTTGGTACTGAAGATTTCTGGACAAAGAGAATATAGCGGAAAGTACCGTTTACTCATTGCTACTGCTTCCGTTCGAGGTATGTCTTTACAGCTTAGCTGCTACTTTGCTTAATTTCAATAAGTAACGATAAGCATAAGTTACGTCATGAACGCGTAGCATTTATAAACTTAATTTTTTTATTATACTTATCAGTAACTTAATTTTACTTATCAGTAACTTTATTGTGATGTTTGCAACAAATTTCTCCAATGCTTCTGGGTTTGTATTATTTTTCCGGCTTTTTTAAACTCTGCTTTAAAAATAAGAACTGTGAAAGTGAAAGTTACGGCAAACACTTGCTAGTGTTTGTTAGCATTTTTCCACTGACGCTACAACGTATATATAGAATAACATCTAATCCTGGAGTATTTCATACTGTAGCATTGATATTTTTAATTTCAGGATGAAATGGAATCGTTGAGGCATTCAACACAACGTGAACGAGCTCAAATGTCTAGTCAATTAGCTCAAACCGAGGAAGAAGTACGCCATCTCCGAGACAAAGTATTCGTCCTCGAGCAAAGAGCAATTGCGGCAGCTGATCAAGTAACAGTCGATGACCGAATAGCTGACTTGATGCGCGAGAGAATGCTTCTAGAGCGAAAACTCGAGGAGACTCACCTCCACCTGTCAGATATCAAGACCAGCTGGTCTGGTAAAATATCGAGTCTAGAGACTCAAGTAGGCAGATTGAGCAGGCAGGCAGGTGAAGAAGGTTTGGAAAGGAGACGAGTCGAGCAAGAAAATGATTCGTTGAAACAGAGAATCAAGGATCTCGAGGTCGAAATCGAGGTGAACAATGTCGTAATGGTAACGAAAGATGCTAAGCTTTTGCGTATGGCTGAGGACATTGACGAGATGGCAACAGAGTTAAAAGAGCTCAGAGCCAACGTAGATGATGAGGTCGAGGAGTTCAAACGACAAGTCGTGAGTTTCCCGTGAACACGATGATTCACAAGTGAACGTGTGCATGGATCCGTCCCCACCGCGAATTCTATATCAAATTTTATATACGTTTAACGTGTCTAGCATGGTCACCATACATGATAGACACCTACATATATATCTTTATTTGTGATCTACAGCACAGAACACAATTATTTGTTCATTTTTCATTCTAGGAATACAGATGTCTATTTTTTGCTCAGCGTGAAATTTACATTCCATCCCGCCTAAACCTAAAAAAGTGCCTTTATTGTTTTCTTTTCCAATGAATTTATTTTGTTGAGCACATTTCATATTATCAATTATGTTAAATATTTGTTTAGTTAAAAATATAAAATATTTTTACGAACGTTTTTTGTAAGTGCATGCGCTTAATCTGCTTTTTGCTTAGCAATCATCTTTGTATTGTTTTGTTATTTTCAAACCTTTTTGTGTACTTTTGTTCATGTCTATCGTAAACTACGACATGGAAAAAGTAAAGATGTTGCCTTTTTGAAAAAGAACTTTTACACGATAATTTTAATTTTGCTATTACCTCTTCATTACTATTAATTTAATGTAAGTCGTCATATTGTTATTCTACAATATGTGTAGTTCATTGTATCTATAATTTTTAAATAAAGAAAACTAAAGTAACTGTAAATGTTTCTTTCTTAGACCCTATTTATTTTATTTTTACTATCTGTAATTTTGTTTTTATATTTGCGTTTGTTTACTGCTAAATATAATATAGCTTTTTTAAATATAGTGCACGAAATTATTTCCTACATACAATTCTTATTAAGAAAATTTTTAGTACAAATTTGTTGACTTGTTAAAGTAGAAAACAACGTAAAAAAATAATATTTTTCATCATCAGGAAAACTCGTCTCAGGAAATCGAACAAACACAGTTACGTTTGGAAGAGGCTCAAAGCGCAATTACAACGAAAGAAACTGAATTATGCGAAATGAACTCGAAGTACGAAACGGAAAAATCAAAAAATTTACTTCTACAGTTAGAAAATGAGAGATTAAAAAGAGAATTAGAATCTGAAAAAGAAAACAAAACTAACATAAATATGAGTTTGGAAAAAGAGAGAACTGAGAAGGATTCTGCGTTACTTAGAACGGCGCAAATTTCTCAAGAAATTCAAATTGCAAAACAAGAAACTAAAACTCAAGAGTTGGAAAATATGGAATTACAAACGCAATTGGAGAATATGGAGGATATTTTGAGAAATAAGTGCAAAGATGTCGACGACATCACGAGAAAATTGGATGATGCTTTAAAAAGGATTGAAGATTTTGAGCAAATACAATCTGATACTGAAACTCTGCAAGGAAATGAAAAAGCGTTGAAAACAAACTTGTCGGATTTGGAAGAGCAGTTAAGTGAAAAAAATAAGGTAGATAACAATAGAGAATGATTTAATTTTGATAAACAATTGTAAGCTATAAATTATTTTTAATTAAATATGAAACAAATAATGTTTCAGACCATCAAGATACTTCAACAGCGATTAGCAGACATGAAAAAAACTCTTCAGAGAGAATTAAGAGTTCCTTCATCTTCGCTAGATAGCGATGCTGAGCAATCTGCGGCCATTCTTAATCCCAGTTCATCAAAAACAGTTTCTGCCAAGCAAAACAATGTGAAAGAAGAGGACGTCAATTTTAAATACCTCAAACATGTTCTTATTAAGTTTCTCACCAGTCGAGAATACGAGGTAATATTTGTTGCACATTATCCGATATGTTTACATAGAATACATTATAATTTATACTTGTATCGCTATCTAGGCATTACATTTGACGAGAGCAGTGGCGACGCTCCTACACTTTTCCCCAGAAGAGGAGAGACTACTGCAAGAAACGTTAGAATGGAAAATGTCTTGGTTTGGCACTAAACCCAATCTGGGCATTGGTCAAACAGCAAAAGCCATTCCTCCAAGCTGATAGTGGATCACCTCTTATATTTAGCTTAACGGCATTCTTCAATTGTTATCCACTCTTTCAAGTGAGAGAAAAGTAATCTCGTAATTGTGGCAAGAACATATCTCCGATTGATAGAGGTGATATGTTTGTGATTGGTTAAAAATTACAATTAAAATTTAGTAAACAGTTTAACGTGTTAAATTGTTATTTTTATAATAAGGAAAACCATTCCAATGAACAGTTTTCATCAGTCAATATTGAACGTCGGTTGTTGCTTACATAGCGTTTAGTATGATTTATACTTTGAGCTCGCGCGAATGATAAATATATAGTAAGTGTTTTCAGATCAGTGTGCAGATGTGTAACTTATTAATTAGTAAAGTTGATGCAGTGATATAATTTTTACTTATTAATTACTGTGAAAATTCCATGCCATAATTGTAAATATTTAATGAAAAATGCATGAAATGAATTATAATTTTACTTCATGGACATTATGTTAGCTAATGTTGAAAAAGAAAATTTTATGCTCGAAAATATCATAGTATTATAGATATATATAGGAAAATTTTTAGAAAAAATCTTTATAGAGGAAATTAACAATACAACTTATAGTTCTTTTTTCAGTAATGTGCAGTGTCGCATTTTCTTAGCTTTGATGATTGAAAACTAATCGAATATCCTTTGAAAAGTTCAAAAATAAGAAGAAATGTGATATCAATTATTACTATAATAAAGTAGCAAAACAAAATACTATAAAGGATTGTGTATCAAATAAATACACGGACATGATTTAAATCGATCTTTATTTACATACAACAAAAATGTCAACAAATCACTCACATTCAGTCTTACCTTACATACTGTGATTTTTCTAATGCCTCAAGTAATGACTTTAGTTAAATAAAAATTCCATACGTAAGATTTTTCTAATTACTCATTTCATTTATTCAGTTATAATCAAATTAATTAAGCAGATGAAAAGATTATGCGATAGTAAGTTTTTTTTCTAAATTCTATTCATTTTGTCCAGTATTTTACAACTATATAATTAAAAATGAAGGACTCGATCAAGTTTATTTATACTACAAAAAAAAAAGAATTTGTAAAACCAATAAATATTCAACTTTATCTATTGAAAATTATGATGAGTAATTATTTATTTTTCACCATTCACTTTTTTGAACGAGCAAAATTACAAATCACCTACAAAAGATTTTTTAAATCTCACTAATTGACATTAATTTCTAAAGCCTGTTCTTCTTGTTGATGTGACTTCTCGCTCGTTTTATTTTATACAAGTTCGCAATTCACATGTACATACCCCGTGTAATACCCGTATATTTATATACACGGGTCCGCCGTATAACGTGTATTGCCAGAAAGCAAAAATTTTTCAGCTCTTTTTCGTTTTTATTAATTACATTTTGTCCCTATTAAAAAGTAAATATGACTCTTAGTTTCTATATATGCTTAATAGTTAACTTGAAAAATCGAGTCAAGTACTCGATTCACCATAGAAGCTTTGTCACCGTATCTCAAGGATTCGGCGAATCGAAAGTCTACTATATATATATATATATATATAGTAGACTATATACTAGACTATATATATATATATATATATATATATATATATATATAGTATCGATACAAGGATGCGGTTCGAGATTAGTGTTGTTATTAACATCCTTTTGTGTCAGTTAAAAACTACCAATTTGTATTGATGCATTTTCCAAACTATTGTTACAATTTTTAATTAAAATTTTAACTAAACATTCAATATTATTTTGCAGAATGATTGTATGTTTTAAGATGTTATTGACGTGGAATGATTGGTAAATTTGTGAAAGGCATATCTAGCATAGTAAAAAAAATAAATTCCATTAAGTAATTCGATCTACTAGCTCCGAAAGCACTATCATTACTATAAAAAAATCCTTATTTTAAGTATGCAGTAAATTTAAAAACTTTATTCTTTTTCGTTTTTGCGGGATTATTTATAAATATTAGAACCAGTCTTATTGTATACATCTCTTTTTGACATTAGTAATAAAATTCATTTTCATAACATTTCTACACCTTAGTTGAAAAAAGTTATGTTCTTGAATTCGCTGCATACTTATTTTAAGAACAAACTTTTTCAATTCAAGAATTTCCTTGATAGCAATATTAGAAAGAACATAGGTGAATATTTGTTTGTCAGAATATATAGTATGAAGCGACGTAATTGCCTACATGGACGTATTTTCAGAAAGTATTTATAAAAGTAATACTTTCTATGAAAAACTTTAAAGCTTCAATGTTTTTCATGTACAACGTCATGAAATTTGAGTGACAACACAATGATGTCAATTTAAAATTATACAAAACAAACAAGTATTCTAATAGCATTTAATTGTTTTAACATAATAAAAAAAGATAATACCTAAATGAAGCAGTATACCACCGCTTTTATATTCACTAATACAACGATAAACACTTGAAACACAACATAGAAGTAAATAAAACCATACTACCAACAAATCAATTGCCGTTACGTAATTTGCCCATAGAAAAAAATGCGTTGTTGCTTCATCGATTTTAATTAAAAATTTCAAAAACAATCAATTTTCATTTTTCCTTTCAGTCAAAAATTTGCGACACCGTTGTGCATTTATAATTAATAGAAGTGCACTTTGCGCGCAAATCGAATGGCATATTATATCTCAAACGAAATAGGCACGCGCATTTAACGGTTATAGAATAGTAAGAGTATCTCTTCACATCGACATTCTCTTCGTACATTATTAGTACTATTAATTTTTTCAATTTGTTTTTTGTCCGTATTTTTCGAGAAACCTTCGAGTTATCATTCATACGTTTAGTGTCGATGAATAATTTTATTTTTAAGTATTTTTAATAAAAATTTGATAGCTCGATGAGTACAATATTCAAAATCAAAAGAAATAATTAGTTGAAACGACTAGCAGTATTGATAATTCCCTTGCTTATTTTTTTTCATTCCACACTCGACTAAGGCTCATCATCGAATATAATCATTGTATTATTCCTCCTAGTTCATTTTTCTCTTCTTCAACTTCGTTTTTTTAAGTAAAATATCACACGCAAAGGTGAATGCGCGTGCGTCATAAATACTTGTATTTTAACGACGCACAATATAGGCATACAAGTGTGTAACAAAGGCGCTATATTCTCATTTTTTTTTTGCATTTTCTGTGATTTTTTCAGTTTTACTTATCAAATTTCTCGTAGTATGGTGACGACGATAGAGATGAAAATGATGATCGATCAGTCGACCATTTTTTGGCGCCCGCGACATTAGGTAAAGTATATGTATACATATCGCGTTACGCAACCTATTTATACATAATATATTCGTACTGGTGACCGACCAACGCACAGCGAAGAAAATTCCATGGTAGATGTTTTCTTTAATCTACGTGTGAACAAAGATTGAAGATGGGTATGTCGTGTGTATTGAAAACGTGTCACGCTCTTTGTTTCTTTGTAAAAATGTTAGCCACACTACAGCTTTGCCGAACCGGAGATTATTTCCTCGTAGAGTTTTGGAGTGACCTCCACGTATTCCTTGTTTCCGGATCTGAAGTACACTTTATCTTGAATTTTATTTGGATCAAAACCCTCCTTTTGCAAATTGATTTTCTTCAGTTTGAACGTGCCAGTGAGTTCCAGCTCTTTGACGATTCGGAGGAATATCGGTCGGGCATAGGACGGTAAAGCTTTGTCAAGACCTTCGGCAAGTGCCTTGAAGTCCAGCAGGCTATCGGGATCGACGATCGCAGCCATTCCGGCTCGTCCTTCCATTCCCGGTACCTATATTTTCGAAGCGTTTGTGGTTGGATCAGCAAGAACCTCAATTTCATACGTTTTTGAATTTGACAAATTACCTGTACACCGTAGACTGTGGTGTCACGGTAGCCAGCTACGTTGCTAACCACACCCTCTACTTCGGCAGTTGCCACATTCTCACCCTTCCATCTAAAGGTATCGCCTGTTCTGTCTTTAAAGTAAAAGTAACCAAATTCGTCTTGTACGAGGATATCTCCTGAAATCATTCAGAACAATTTCTCATGACAAACACTCTTTACGAACTTTTGTCAGTAGGGGGAGATTACGCTTCATAAAGATATAACGTACCTGTTATAAATGCTTTATCGCCTTTACTAAACACATTTTCTATCGTTTTTTGCCTCGATGCTTCCTTATCTAAATAGCCGTTGAACTCTCTGGAGGCGTTACCCTGAGCTATCAAGCCAATAAACATTCCAGGCTCATCTGAAAACCACAAATGTAAAACGAATCATCAAGCAAAATCTTCGCCGTTACAATAAAAAAGGGAAAAAAACCCAATGCATACTTGGCTCGCAGCGTATGCAAAAGCCATCGGAGCCTCTAATGGGATCGTGAGTTTCTTGGTTAACGCGTATTACTGCAACTGGATGCAGTGATTTGGGTAGAATCGATGGCACGAAGCCAACTGCACCAACGGTATTGTCAACGTTTACTAAAAAATAGCAAAAATCAGTTATCGATTTCCATAATATTTTCTGATTCACGAATGTCTGAACTTACTGATGTTGGCGTTACCCTCGCTCGAACCGTATACCTCATTCACTTGCTTGATCTTGAATCTCTCGACAAAGTTCTTCCAGATTTGCGATCTCATGCCGTTACCAACCATTAATCTTACCGGATGAGTTGAATCTTCAGGTCGCGGTGGCGCAGACAACAAATATCTGCACATCTCGCCGATGTACTGAGATATCTGCAAATCATTGACAATTTTATCATTTACAGTTATAAAGCGTGCTATTTTTTATATTTTAACAGCATTCTACCGTGCAGTTGTACTTGATACAGTCTGTCCAATATGCAGTCACGGAGAACTTGGTTCTTAGAACGCTAGGTATTCCTTTGATTAATGCACAGCCAGTTCCCACGATTCCTCCAGACATGTGGTAAAGTGGAATCGGATTATATATTATATCTTTGTTCTGTCTTAATCCAAGCATATGATACGTTGCCGTTTGTACAAGCAAGTACCTGTGAAAGAAAAATTCCGTAAACGTCAACAAAGAGAAATCCCTTAAAAATATTTAACGAATTTGGAACAAAATGAAAATCTGATTTGCAAAATATAACGCCACTCGATATAAAAGGCGATACGATCGATATCCGCGTGCACGTATGTATACATGCAGCGTACAATGGACACAAGCAGCTATATTCCACCGTAATCTCATTCCCTTAAAGTTGTGAGGTCTCCCTGACAAGATTATGGATCTTTCATTATCTTGAGCATCGCGTCGCCATTTTCATACCGGCTTCAAATGTCCGTGTGTTATGTAATTGAAAATGCTAATATAGTGATAAAATAAAAAATGAAGCCAGCATTCAGCAGTAACATTTATTTTCTAATTTTCACGGTCGATAAAGCAATGTAATTTTTAAATATGTTTTCTTTCATCATTACACTTTCGAAATACTAGTATTGATCAATATTTTCAATCGAGTTAAAATTTTAACAAGAATTATTTCATTAAACTCATTCTGACCATTAGTTTTCTTAATTATCTACAATCAATTAAATATGTAGTCAAGCGAAGAAAGTGAGTTTTTGAGTTTTCATCTTCCTGTTAATGACATTTGATCAGCACTGAAGTTCGACCTACATTCGTGTGTAATCGATAAACTGACAAAATCCAATGATTCTAAATAGGACATTTGGCTTGTTTCAAAATAACACCAGTACTGAAACTTTAGTATAGAAACGAACAAACCAGTCGATTATTAAAAAAATCCGTTTTATGTTTTAATTCTGTCTACAACTGCAATCAAATATTCAATAGATTACCTAGAATTTGGAAATAAAGCTGCCTTGGGTAGACCAGTAGTGCCGCTCGTGTAAATGTACAGGAGATTATCCTTGTAGCCAGGTTCTTCGTCGACAATTGGCTGTTCATCACTAGCTTTGGCCATGATTCCATTGAGATTGAGAGCACCATCCGTACAGGGAATATCGGTGCCCTGCCGGTACCTCGTCACTTCTGACAATGAGTCGCGAATTTCATCTACCGCTAAAAAAAAAACATTCTGTTCAGGGTTAAATTGACCAGTGTTTTTTTCTAATTTAGTTTATTATGCATTATGTAGACAATCATACGATTTGTTTTGAAATATTTTCATGACTGAACGAAGGTAATTTATTATTGGTTTATCTTACGCAGACACATGATACGAGAATCATTACAACTTATCACTTTTATTTAAATGAATATATTGCACTTGTGTAAATAACTATACTTGTATCTCTTACAATGACGTAAGCTTCCAAAGAAAGATAATCGAAAAATTTATTTTTGTAAATATATGTCAAGTTGCTTTAAATGTATTGACACGCGCAGTTGGCTATAAATATCCATGTTTGTTTCAATTATATTGCGTATTATTGCAGTAGTAGAAAATCAAAATGCAGGCAGAAGATCATAATGAATAAAACTATAGGAACAAGTATTTATATTCCTTACCACTGAGAAAGTTTTCTTTGAAAGAAAGCATAAATCTGTCTGCCAAAAAAAGCATTCATACACGTCACCAAAAGCAGAAAATTCACTTACCGAATGCCAACTCATCAGCATAAATGATCGCTTTGACTTTAGCGATGGACAAGCAATGCACCAGTGACTGCATTCGCAGATTGGTATTAATGAGAGCCGTGACAACGCCAATTTTACCGAGTCCCAGCCACGTGGCGATGTATTCAGGTTTATTGGGCATGAAAAGTGCGACAGCATCGCTCTTTACATAACCAGCTTTTTGGAATATATTTGCTATCCTATTGCTGTACTTGTCGATCTACAAAACAACAATCAAGATGGTATGGAGAATTCTGTTAACGGCCAAATTTAATAATGAATCTGCCTGGTGCTTATATGTACAGCTTTCCTATGTCAATTCCTTTCTGACGACAATTACAACAGGTGCATCAGCATCCGCGCGTGGGCTTACTTTGAACCTCCTACACGCTTTGATACTTCCATTATAAACACGTTTGCCCTCGCCAAGTATATGAGCCACCGCGTATTGACGTATATTTTTCCTGTTATTTATTTTTTTCTCTAGTTTTCTAGCTTGCATAGTAAATCATGTTTCATTCGATCGATCTTTTAACGTGCTAAGGCATTCATCCGATCGTGGGATTATTTGATTGGCGTTTTATTATAGCTCTTTTAGATATTAGTAAATTGATCACCTACGCGGTGTCTTGATTTCTTGTATTTTTTGCAAATTTTTTCATTCAAAATAAGTTTGTAGCAATTTTGTTACTCATAAATTTAAAAGAACCTTCAAACAATATATTATTCATAGTTCCGACCTACCTAAAACGATAGCTATTACATCTCGTGACAAATGAATAATTTACTGCGTCGAAAACTAATTATTATATAGTTTGCACGAGTAAGAGAAAGAGAGAGAGAGAGAGATGCAATATAGGGTAAAGTTGAATTAATTAATTAACTCACATCAGCATTAGTCCAAATTTGTCCCTCAAAGATGAAACAGGGCTTGTCCGGATACAGCCGCGCTTGCTCCCTGAAGAGCTTCATCACCGTGGAATTATTACGTAGAAATTGCTTTCTCTCTTTCTCAGCATTCACGTAGCGATAAAGAAATCTGCAAAAAAAATTCGAGTCTATAAAGTTGTCACATCAGACATGGATTGAAATAACTGTGAATCTATATAATAGACGATGACGTGGACGAAGGATTTAATACAGTTCGTGAACCTAATGTGTACATACGACACACAATTGAGGAAAATTACAATAAATTACCGTTCTGTGTGTTACACGGAATAGCGCGATTGAGTAGTTTACGATCTACTTCGGTGTTAGTTCCAAGTTTTTGTGAGTGCAATAAAATACTGTAACTAGAACATGTAGATAAGCAAGTTCGAATCAGAATGATAACAAAGAAATTTCGTTTTCTTCATTAAACAAGTTTATTAGACCAGAATTACCTACACTTTCTATATAAAGAGAAATGTTATCGATCAAAATTAAAAAGGAATAACGAATAATAAACCTATCAAGTAATTTAGATTCAATCACGCCAAACTCAATTTGATAGAATCTGAACGGTATATGCTAATGATTACCATTTGTTTGCTAGCGCTCTAGCTCACCCATGATATGCTTTGATAAATTCAGCGATCTATAAATTTGTCGCCGTCCAGAGGCTAGAGCATAGCAATTAGGTATAGATCGGTCAGACACGTGTTACGTGAATATATACTTAGGAAAGAAGTGGCCAGCTATCATAAAATATAAACACGAAGGACGATATACCTTTTTTTGATTATTCCAACGATGCTACTAAGAAAACCAACTACTTTTTCTCCAGATTTCGATAAAACAATGAATTATCAACGATGCACGGCAAGTGTAATCGGATTAATTAGACAAAATTTATTTAATACACACTTGATATGTTTGTAAGTTAAATATATTTATCAAAGCCAGTTTAATATTGCTTCATACATATGAAATGATCACATTTAGAAAATACTGTGAACATTGAATGTATCATTATACAAAAGAAAATCTGTTTCATGGTATAAATAAATAAACTGAATAAAATGAATAAATAAATGAATAGCATGAACCATCGATGTGAAAGTGATCAAAAGAACTGCAAAATGTACTTGGCGGTCGATGAGACAATGGGATCATCATTTATCGTCTTGTTTCGATAGTTATCGTCTACAAGTTCTATATAAAGAGGTCTTTTATGTAAATAAATAAAAAACAACAACTGATAACTGTTGATACTTCGTGTCTTAAGATAATTTTTAATGGACTTTGTACACGAACTAATGAACTTTTACGTATACTTTTTTGAAAGGATACATTAACGTTGAAACGTTAAAGACTAACCAAGTGTACTATTTCTGTAGTGTAATAATTTATAACATTTTTTATTGAAAGAAAGAAAAAAATAACATTAATTCGAAAGCAGTCGATTATTTACATCATGAAAGTGGAGGCTGAATCATAAGTAAAATTATCACAAACATTGTTTACATTGGAAAACTTACTGTTTGAATTATCGATTTGTTATTTGAGTTATGGACAAGGAAACCAGAAGAAATGTTTCATTTAAGAGTCAGTGATTTAAAAGCGTTTTAAAACATTACCACCCGCACAAATTGTTATCTCTATAAACAACGCATTTTTCTGCTCAATTTTTCAGAACGTCCTTATTTATAATACTACCTAATAAAATTAAATTAATAAGGTATTTCTCTAGAAATGGTTTTGATTTGAATGAATTATGAATAATGTTATTCGATTAAAGTTTCACATTAAAGACTATGAGCTTATAATGAAACGAGAAAAAACAATCACCGAAGATAAATAGAAGAAAAGAATTAAAAAAAAGAAACAATCGAGCCGAGAAACTCGTTAAAATTTATTATTTATTTATTTATTGTTCTTATTATTTATTACTCGTATAACTTTTTCAATCGATAATCTTCCAAGTTACCAGAATAAAGCATAACTAAGCTATTTATTACCCTATGAACAGTATACCAAAGGCTAAAGGTAAAGTTGGAAAAAGAAATTAAGTGCGAAACTCACTTGATGTCTCTGGGCAGTGTCCTCAAGATAACATAGATTTTGCGCTGATAGCTCGATACGATGGGTAAAACCGCGATAGCCAAGCCGAGTTGTACTATCCTGGCAATGAGGCCAAACCTCGAGCTAAGGCTCGCGGCCATGAGACTGCCCACTATCGCCATTATCAAGAAGGCGAATCTCACTTCCATGCCGGCGGCGGCTCACTCCACACCTGTGAATCAGAAAAGCCAGAAAAAATTTTGAAACGGACGATACGTCACACGATCGCTCCTCGACTTTCTATATGCAAGGGTAGAGAGCGGCGATATTACTCGTATCGCACCACCTGCTTTTTTGTCCAGTAGCAAGCGAAAACCCGTTTCTCCCTCATTCTACATACACCTCCCGCCCCATCCCTTTCCAACGGTTACGCGTTAACCGCACTTTACGATTTTCACGCTAAGCTTTTTGCTTATTGCACCAATGTATCGTCTTACACATCTCTCCCGTTTGTTGCCATCATCGATGCTAGGTATGCACGTGTACTTACTTGGCGCATTTCGAGAATCAGTGAAATAAGAATGTTGCAGTGATTGTTTCACGAAAAATGGGGACGAATCTATGAACAATGCAAATAACAACATCATTAACAAATCGAGAAGAGCGTCGCGACGAAAATAACGCAAGGTGCACTTGAAAAATTCAACAGCTTCAGCCTGGTTGTGCACTGGCTACGCCTGCGTACCCGAGCCTACTAAACCAAGTCTGAAAAAAGGAATGTGACGCGATAACACACACAAACACACTCTCGTGGTCATGCCTATACGTACGGTCGTTGCAACGAGCTGCGCACATTTTTATTTGTCTTTCTCTGGCTCTCAGTTTGACAGACGAGTAAGCCCGTGAAGTAGGGCTACTTATATACGTTGGCGGAATAGCTGCAGTTTCTATACATGTAGATTTTTAACGATTGGCGCGTGCGCCCTTGGGCTCGACTCGTTCGACTATTGCTGCTCCAGGCAGCGCCGGGCGCGATATGACGAAAACACACTGCCGCTCGCCGACCACTTGGCTCACCCCACGTCGCGATCTATGAAAATCAAACATCTAGACACGATTAATAAGCTCGACGGGTACACCACGCGAACGCGTGTGTTGGTTTAGACGATGGCCTGACTTTGACACGAGAGAGCAATGAATCGGATTTCGATAACTCGCCTAGCTCTTCAATCTCATTTTTAGCGAATCATCTGCGAATATTACAAGCGATAGACGAAGTTTGATTTATTAGTTTAGCAAGATAAATTCTTGTAGAGAACGAAAAGAAGCATGTTATGCATGAGTCTACATTTGCAATTTCATCATACGCTATAAAACAGTTGCAAGTAGAACAAAAAGTAGATCAAGTCAAAGATATAGTCAGCCGTTAAACGCAACGCGTACATTCTTGCCTATCGACTATTGCCATTCTTCGGAAATATATTTTCAATAGCAGTAATCACATCTAACAATAATTTCAAATAGAATCTAGCACATTAGACGATATCGACAGTACTCTAAGCGATAAAGCGAACGCAGTGTCATTTTATATGCACTTTATGCGCTAGTTGAGGGAGGACGTGCTTAATTAACCGAGGATTAATGTGATATAATACATTTTTTATAACATATCACGCGAATTTAAGATTATAAATAGCTTGGACTATTAAAAAAACCTGGAGGTTTACTCACGACAACACCCTTACGCGCGCAATATCTGCTTCCGATGTTAATTGCATCCAATATCCTTATTCTCTTCTGCAAAGAGGGGGGATATTGAACCCGCAGGAAGTACAGAATTTAGTGTATTTAATCGCGTTAAAATTCAGACTGCTTGCGCGTACATCGGCACACACAAAGTTTCATTGAACTCATAATTAATTTTTATTATTCCCGACACACGCTCCATATAATATTACATCACTACTCCCGTTAAAAAAAAACTATGCTAAGTTCATACTCGTGTTCACAACTGAAATAGTGAAATTAATTTTCATGGTTCACATCAATAAAAAATATAACCTAATTACACTTGGAGAGTAAAAATAATGATACGCACGATCACTCGAAGAAAATAGAAATGGCCAAAGTAACTCAATTACCTTTCAGCACGACAGTATAAAGTATTCATCGACGACAAAGTAATTATTGTTGAATGACGTTCATCGTAACGTATAAATACACATATTCACACGACACTGACAGAAAGGAAAAAAGCTCCCCCGAGAGACTTAGACACAACGACAAAACTATGGTGTTAGAGTAGTGAGTGACAATTTGTTACCTCAAGATACACAAGTATGGTATTTGTCGAATTATCACTGCGAATTTTGTCTGGCTAGAGAAAGCTGATCGATCGTTTAACCAAACGCGTACGCAGACTAACACACGCACGCGTATATATATACAAAACACCAATAGATAGCCTCCCCTTGAAAAATAACATTTCTTTCGTACACTCAATATTAATTAAATAATAAACCTTTGCGTTACGATTAACATGAAGCGCATCCAATGCAAGTAGAATACGAATCTCGTGGATAGGTTTCTTTTTTTCTCTTGCTGCCCCAAGTGCGTCACGACGAATCGATCCACCACCACTAGCACTACCACCACCGCACCACCAGTAGTAGTAGCAGCACAAGTCGCGCATTGTTTATAGGCAAGTTGCATTGGAATATAACCAAGAGACAGAATATACTTACGACTTTGAAGCCTGAGATCCGCACGGCTGAAACGGTTTTTCGCTCTGGCCGTTGCTTTTCCTTTGCGTAATTTTCTCTGACAACAGGCACGTGTAACGCAAAGCGCGATGAAAAAGAGAGAAAGAGAGAAAAAGGAGACGAGAGTCGTCTTTTTTTGAGTTACGACAACTACGACTGACGGTTAGTCACTGAGAGTGCCACCGACTAATGTAAGGAGACTTGCGCGATGCAAACCTATGTCGGTTTCATGCGAAAGAGACCTAAGGCTGGATTGAAGGATACCTATCAGACTGCAGAAGCAACCAGGGGTGGAATTCTAAGAGTTTACTCGTAAAATCGCAGCAGTAATACTATCCAAAGCAATAAACGTTGACTCCGTTCTAAAATTTAAAAACATTCATAAGTGAGCAAAATAAAATAGATACCGGTAAAATAAAAATTCTATTCATACTTAATAAAGTAGCGATACATTAATTATTCAATTAATATGAATATTTAATTTTCATAGTATTTTTTATTAGTATTTAATATAAACTAATTTTCGAGAGAAAAGTGCATATTTACATTTTGTGTGCAAGATATATCCTTATTCAATATTGATTATCATCATACATTTATATTATACATCATGTACGCAAAAATAAAATATAAGACTTAAGTTTTACATCCACATAGACAAGATAAAAAAAAGTCTATAAAATGTATTAACAATATATATAAATTACAAATGTTAATGTGATATTTTTATTTTAAAGAAAAATTGTACAACAAACTGTGGAATGAGCGACAATAAATTATTTATTATAAATCATAGTTGCTTATATTAAGCAATTTCCTCCCAGAAAAAAAGTCAATATCAGAACAAATAAGTTCGTCATTGTATTGTTTTATTTAAACTTAACATTTAATTTTTTTAATAATATAAAAGAACAGTAGATGGATAAAGATATAGTTTTTTATTTATCACAGAAATCGTAGTAGAAATATCATTAATAATACGTATCATTTTAAGTACAATAAAACAAATATACTATTTTATGTAATTGTATAACCAATTTCAATAAATTTTGAAAAATATGTGATTTATAGATGTTTTTGATTAAAAAATAATTAAAAATGTTTTTTTTAGCTATAAATATAATTCTTATTCATAATATTTTTATTGACTGTTGTTATTAATTGAATGTACTATATCGATATACTAATTAGAAATTCGATTGATGAACTTAAGAACGATAATTTCGTTTACATATAATCAGGGGAACATTTTTTTATTTATCTATGTTACAGTTACATGCAAGTATAAAAATTAAGGACTCATGATAATTATATAATTAATTTATTGCTATTTTATGGTGTAACAATAAAATATTTTTATTCTGCCAGTATCTATTGTATTTTCTTCGCTTTTGAATATATATTCTGCATTCAAAAATTCGGAATGGATTTGATGTTTTTTAGTTTGACATAGCTATGATTTTGCGCCTAAAGTCTGATCGAAGTTGTAACTTGGTCTGACTAGGTTGTCGTACATCCAAATGATTCCGCTTTAGTCCAGTGGTTTATTTTAATTAAACTTTTCACAATAAAGGTAAATCGAATATAATGAATCTATTTACTATCGATATTAATTACATTAGACTCAACTAGTTTTTACTTTAAAAGTATCTACTCAATATTGATGTAAACATTACCTATACAAGGTTATGTTTACATAAGAGAAAATACATTAGATTTGTTTTGTTTATTGATTAATTTTTTTGTAATAAATTTCGATCAGATGATTTTTTGTTATAATTATTGAGTCTAAAGAAAAGAATCTTTCAAAATATTTATGGCGTTGGGTAATTCCTTACTTAGCTTCAATTCTTGTTTTGAGATTTGATTACAAATCAATTTAGTTGTTAATCTAAAATGTGAGAGCATGGTTGAATCTTGATATAATTAATTGATGACATTGCTTTTTATACTACCAATTAATATTATCCAATTGAACTATTCCAACTTTCATTGAGTTTTCAAGTTTGATTTATCAGTACTTGTTATATTTTTGACTATTAATTGATTCAGTTGGTATATTAAACCAAATTTTGATGTATGATAGCTTAGTCGACTACCTCGATTGATTATTTTATAAAAATAAGATCAAAATTTCAATATTTATAATTTGACACAAGGTTGATTTTTGATAAATAAACATAGCTGTATTATTTTATTGAGAATTAAAAATGTAATATAGGTGTGCTTTAACCAAGCGTTAGATCTAGTAGTTCTATTATAACAATATCTATCCATAGATTTGATCTGATTAGTATAAGAGTAAGCAGGATTGCATTTCCATGAAAGGAGGAGCTAGATATTTTGAGTTTAACCCAGTCGACTTAAGATTGAAAGATCTATTGGAACTAACTGCAGAATGTATTCTTAGATTTTTTGTTTATTGCTTTTTATACCATAATTCATGTATTTTATATTATGTTCAAATTTAAGTTGTAGAAAAACAAATAAAGGAAACAGTTATATACAATGATACAATAATATGTTACAAGATATGTTTTCTGTACTTGAATATTTGGTTGCTCCATCCATGAGAATAGTCAATGAAATTTTAATCGGTTAGAGTAAATGTGAATGTTTTCTAAATTTATATTAATAATTTACAAATTTGAATTTGCAGTCAAATATGTTTATAAACTATTATATATTCATTCCTTGAAAATAATTAAAAAAATTTCCAATTGATTCTCATTATGTTAATTAAATTCACTGCCCTTGTATTCTTTTTGAATTTTATAAGGAATTGAGTTTTATTAAATAAGTTATATATATATATATATACACACACACACATACAGACACGTGCGCGCACATACACCATATGAAAATTTAAGGTTTTGTAAAAGCGTGCGTACGTGCAACTATTGCATAAATTATTATGGTTAAATTATTGTCACTAGTCTACGTAATGGTAGATGCTTCTTGATTTTAAAACTATGTAATTAATTAATAAACTATCTGAAGTGATATGTATGACACCAATTCGTACTAACTTTTCACCCCCCCCCCCCTCCTGCTCCTTAACGACGATGATGTTGCTGTGGCTCTATGTATTTGCTATGTACGGTTACCCATACACATTGATACTAGTGGTACGCTACATATATAATTTGCAACAAGCATAGTTACCTTTTTATCATTATCGCTTGCCTAGATTCAACAATTTTTTAATGACTCGATACGTATTATTTAGACTTTGTTTACACTTTTCGATTTTCTCATTTTAACTTTTATTTGTTTATTAAAGATTTCTATCAACTGAGAAGGTCCTTCATAAACTTATGTAATGCGTCTTCGCAAATAATGCATTAAAATACTTTATTTTTTATTTATTTGTTATAATTTACAAATTGTAATTTTTGTAACTAATTTTTGTAATTAATATATTATGAACCACCGCATCGAAGATTTTACAATCGTTCTAACACTATTATCAACGTTTCTGCTTATAATATTGGTTAATCTTTAGTTCCAATATTTTTATAAAGACATACTGTTATCCATTCTATAATAACTTTATGAATATATGAGTCTTTTAAATATTTTTCCAATGTTAGAAATTAGTGAATAGGTCTATAATTCACTACTTTATTTTTTGTTTACCTGTAGGAGTTGGTGTAAGTTCAGTTATTAATGTAAGAACCTGATGTTTGATCGTTAGATGATCTTGTTATATCCTTGAACCACTATTCAAAATTATGTTTAAAAATACAATTTCGAAAATTCCTACTTAATATATCGAATTTAAATATATGAATGTTGAAATCTTTCATTACCAAATGATTTTTCGCGCGCACAAAGCGATAGTGAGGGAGAACAAAGTCGCATGCGAAAACTCCGACGCGCGCGTTTGAACCTAAGAGCCAACTGATCCACGTCTTGCAACTCTGAAATAGAAGTCCTGCTTTTGCGAGCACCGAGTATTAAACTCCCCTTTCGCTTGTCGAACTTACCTTTACACGTACAACAAGGCAGCAGCGGGATATTTCCAGACGCCTCTTGCTACGTTAGTATACAGCCACATTCTTCCCATTACCGACTCAGCCCCGCTCTTGCACGCGCGGCTAAATCAAGGGGAAACGGAAATATCCGGTTATCTTGTGTGTACGCTGTTTGCCTGTTTAATTTCATTCGTTAGCGTTTTATGCGTCTTTACTTTGATTGTCATCACGTTCGTATCTATAGTATGCGCTACGTTTTCTCTCCCGGTCATGAGACGTAGTATTCAGCGATTGTCGAGTAAATAAAAAGTGCCAAACCGGAAAGACTGTTCGTTGTTAGTTTTTTTTATTTGATTCTATTTTTGATTATAATGCGCGTAAAATATCTTGTGCTAGTGAAAAAAACAGTTATTCGTTTTTCTTGAGGTCGTCGTAACGATTCTTTTCAATTTTGATTGTACACATGTCGTTTGATTCGGTATGAAATAATAACTTAAAGACGGCAATTAAAAAATATTAAAATTTTTTTTATTCTAAAAACATAACAAGCAACAATATATTTTAAATTATCGCAACGTTGAAACTGCGCATATACCCCACTTGTCATTAAATAAACATTAAATTAACACAATTCATTTGGAGACCGCCCTCGTAATATCACCGACATGCGCCTTTAAGCATTGCAATTTTTGGTTTCTCAACATCGTTGCTTGCAAATGATGAAATGAACGGAAATATTGTTGAGGTTCGTTGCAATAAATTATACATACATACATAGCTATTTTTACGTCTAATGCTGCAGTTTACATGTTGATTCAAAATTGCCTTTTTTCTTAAAATGGATGCAAAGTTTAGTTACAGCAGTTTTTAGTTTTGCTTTAGCTTCATAAACTCGGTAATATCGTTACGTATCGTTACATCGTTATATCATGAAACTAGTCTTCCCTAATCTATTTTGGTGTCATGGATGAACGGAATCTGTGAAAAATTTCTCATTGCAATTTTACAAATTATATTATATAGCGTTTCAGCTAAACTTTTTTACACTTCCGTCTTAACTCTCCTGTTATATTTGTGTTGTAAATTTTAATTGATATTTTTGTGAAGCATGTAAATTTTGTTTATAACTACATTCTATTATTATTAAAATTGCTTAAAGATGAAGGGCATGTAGTGTTCATTCAAATTGAAAAAAGTCGACTGTAAAACCTTGAAATAATATATCTATGAGAGTTCGATTTGTAAATAGTATAAATTGGACAATGGTAAAAGTAATTTTACTAATAAACACATTATTGTCTACGAAGCAAGATGCAGGCATATCACAGCTACTCAAAAGAGACACTGAAAAAACTTGGCGTTATAAAATATTATGCTACATTATTTCACAAGCTTACATCAATAGTTTCGTAGAAAATATATTTGTTCGTTTTGTTATTTTTCACATTAAAATATTGTGCAACACAACTTAAGTAAACAAATGGAAGCGTACAAAATTGGAAGAATTAAACGGCGAAATTATCGAGGTTCTCCGTAATGAAATAAATAAAGATATAAAAACGTATATATATTCGCATAAATATACATATTAATTCTTTTAAAGTTTCATTTCACTAACTTAGAAGAAAGTGATTAAACTTCAATAATAAAACAAAATAAAAATATTCTACGTGACTATTACCCTATAGACTTTCCATTATTCAAGGATAAGAATCGAAGCCGAAGCGTAACGATTTTATTTACTTACTTTTTTCTTCTAGAGGAAAACAATATTTTTGAGATTTTTTGTTCATCAATAACTTTGTTTTCATCTTTTATAGAAAATAACACGATAGTCATCAACGTGCTTCGAAATATTAAACTCTGACTGGAGTTTATTTTACTCGAAACAAATCTTGATTTTCAACCTCTCTCCGATAGGCGCGAACGTTTGTTATTTTTTATTTACAAAAGGAAAGTTCGCGACGAATGCTATAGATGTACTAAAGCTTTCTTGGTGTACGTTTTCTTTTTCGCGGTGCGCATTCATTTCATTTTGTGTCTGTATTTAGCTTTTGTGCTGCAAACTCAGTTTCCTTCTTTCCCTCATCGGAGTTGTTTTTACTTTTGTATTTTGTACAACATCCACTGACCCACGCTCATTCGTGTGCACCAATGTCGCCTCAAAAGCGAATTTTGCCATTTTTGATTTGGTCGTAAGCATCCGACGTAAGTGGCTCGTAACCAGTCTTCGGATCCATATAATAAAGTTTGTCCTTTATTCTTCTTGGATCATAGCCATCGATTTGTAGATCCTTCTTCTTCAACTTAAACGTACCTAAAATATTTTGTTGTTAAAAAAAACTGTATTTTGCATACTCTACAGATGTAGAAATATCTAAAATATCATTGCAAAGATTTACTTTGTTTGCTGTTATTTAATTTACTTTCGTTAACTTCAAATTTTTTAACTTTTTTATTTGAAAGAATTAACAATGTAGCCTAAAAATAATAAATTAGGATAGAATTCAACTATTATAATATTTTATAGTTGTTATGAGATATTGCGATCGATAGTTTTACAAACAAAAAAATTTTAAAAACGGTCTAAATGTATCTATCAACGATTATCAAAATCTCGTTTACAAATCTAGCTTATAATAATTTTTAAATAAGTCCAACATTTTCTCTGGCTATAAAAATTTAAGATGAATAAAATTATAAGTCAAGTCAAAGATAGAAAGAACATCATTCTATTCTGATTGATTACACCCTAATCTATTACAAATGGGAAAGACACATTGCTTTAAAAAAATTAGGGACTTTCTACGTAAGAGCCATTGGACATCGGGCATCGGACATCGGATGTTGAGGTAAAAAACCAATCGATTATTTATCATTATCTTACCAGTGATTTGTGCGTGATCAGAAAAGACCATGTGCCATATTTTTATTTTTATCTGACGTCTGGCTCTTATGTAGAAAGTTCCTTACTTTTGTCAAATTATCAAAACTCGAAATCCAAAAATAAAGTACATTGGAAACTCACCAGTGAGATCAATTTTGGTTAATATCCTAATAAATTGCGGCCTAGCGTAGCTAGGTAATTGCTCCCGTACGTCGGTAGCTAGTCGATCAATGTTCAAAGTACCGTCCGCATCGTAAATAGCTGCCATACCAGCTCTGCCCTCCGCTCCGTGAACCTAACATTATAATTAATTCACCAATAATAAACGACAACATTAAAGACAAGCAAAGTTATTTAAAAAATCAAATGATTTGCATACCTCGACACCATAGACCACACAATCCCTATAATTGATAAAATTACTGACAATAGCTTCAATCTCAGACGTCGAGACATTTTCACCTTTCCAGCGAAATGTGTCACCAGTTCTGTCCTTAAAGTATAAATAACCAAGCTCATCAGCTACTAGAATGTCACCTACCAAATTAAAAAAAACAAGTTATTGAGTGGTTTGTCTATTCTTAGTTTTTATTGAATAATCTATGAAAAAAGATCGTTTCTTACCTGATAAAAATGCTGAATCACCCTTGCTAAATACGTCATGAACGATTTTAGACTTGGATGCTTTTTTATCTACGTATCCTAAGAATGCCCTAGTTGGATTGTTTGGAATGATTTTGCCAATAAATACGCCAGGCTCGTCTGAAATTCATTTGCATCATTGAATTAATTGCAACGATAACGCAAAATTCTTCAAATATGTTTTCCAGGTTTTCAACATTTATCATACATGATTTAAGTATTTTTCATTTAATTGAAATTAAACTCAATCTTGAGTGCGCATTTCAATAATTCTGCCGAATATAAATATAATCAATTGATTAAACAATCTACGTACTTGGCTCGCAAACTTGACACAGTCCTTTCGAATTTCTGATTGGCTCCCCATCAGCATCGACTTTGATAATCGAAATAGGATAAACAGCAGGTAATATACGCGATACAAAGCCAATAGCTCCGACGGTATTATCAACGTTCACTAAATAATAAACAGTTATAATTTACATCTTAGTTACGGACAAAGGCAATATTTTTCGTTTTCGCTAGAAAATATTTACCTATATTAGCGTTGCCTTCAGTGGCGCCATAAAATTCGCACACCTGAGGAATGTCAAATCGTGCGACAAATTCTCGCCAAATTTGCGGTCTCAGGCCATTTCCAAATATAACACGTAATTTGTGCTTCTTATCCTCAGGTTTGGGTGGCACCGCCAATATGTAACGACACATCTCTCCAATATATTGCGCCACCTAAAAAAATGCACGTAATCTTTACTTTAGCTTTTGAAAGATTAATTCGTTGGTGCAAAGTCGATGTGAAAGTAACATAAAATAAATAAGAAAACAACAGCAAGTAAGTAAGTAAGTAAGTCGTTAGTATAAGACGCAAATTACCGTGCAATTGTACTTGATACAGTCGCCGAAGTATGCACTGGCAGAAAACTTTTTCCTAATGACGACTGTACCGCCGTGTAATAAACTTTGACCTATAGTCATCACTCCACCCGCCGTGTGGTAGAGCGGTAGAGGTGTGTAAAATCTATCGGAACTCTTGAAAGGCGCTAGGTAATGTATTCCACTAGCAATAAACATGAATCTGCAAAAGAATCAAGTAATCAGTAATAATAGTTTTTTTTTTCAATGCTCAATCAGCAAGAAAATAATGCTTCCGAGGTAATATCAAATAAAAAATCTTAAAAGTTTTATGATGACTTATAAACCGAAAGATTGTGGCTAGATAAAGAAAAGATCAAGCTATATCTAAATGTTATGGTAGCTCGCTAAATCACGAGTGTCATCATATCATGGATGTATACATATATAGGTCGACTATCGCAACATTTCGTAAAAAGGTAGCATTAATCGTATGCTATATCATAGTACGCGATGAATGGTCGACGAAATGAGAATAGTGAGATTGTTTGTTGTTAAAGTAAAGAGGCGAGCGGCGACCCTTGACACGCAGGCCCGTAACCCACTTGCAAAAGAGGATATCGATTGCTCTGAAAATCTCCAATTCAAAGTGTATATACCTGGAGTTGGTGATGACGGCAGCTTTGGGTAAGCCCGTGGTGCCGCTGGTATAGATGTACATGAGTTTGTCACCGTAGCAACCCTTTTCTTGGATTACCGGTGGCACACTTGGAGCATCTGCCAAAAAGTTGCCCAGCTCCTTCTCTTTTAGTCCGTTTGTTGGCAATTTCAGGTTGTCCGAAAAACGATACAGTGCCATCTTTGCATCCAGCGATGACGAAATATCTTTTACGGCTGGAATATCAATATTTTTTAATATAATGTTGAGAAGTTAATGCCTACGCTAAGTGAATTGTAATTGATTTTAATAAAATAATAGACGCAGCAAATGTTGATAGGAGTTTCCTGATTATTTAGTTTGTGAAGCTTCTACTCCGCCTCAAGTATTTTTCAATATAAAACAATAAGTTATTAATATGATCTTCAAATGTTAAAATTACTCGAGTGCACTTGAAAGAGACTCACAGAAAACGTGAAATTGAAAGAAACACGCGATCTTCTAATGAACTATTCGATCCACGTGAATTCTTTGTTATAATTATGAAAGTCGCGTGTCGCGACGTATTAATTATCCATTGTAGCTTCAATTGCATTACCTTCAGCCAAATCGGCTCCATAAATCAATGCCTGACATTCTGCAACTGTGACGCTATGCAGCAACGAACTTTTTCTTAAATTAGTATTGATAAGAGGCGTTATAATGCCAAGTTTGCTAAGGCCCAACCAAATAGCAACGTATTCCGGTCGATTTTCCAACAATAGCGCCACCGTATCGCCCTTCTTGTATCCATGGGCTTTGAACACCGATGCGACTTTATTGCTGTAATCTTCGACCTGTAATTCATGCGTTCACTCGGGTTTATTAACGATGCAAATTGTTTTTTCATCGTATCGAAGATAAAAAAGCTTCTCGTTTTTATTTACGTCTTATGCATGATGTCACATTAGTTATTATGTACCTGTTGAAACGTCCATTCTTGATCCTCGTAAATAAGACACAGCTTGTTAGGATTTTTGGCCACGTGCTGACGGAATACATCGGCGACACTGCGGTCTTTTTTCTCATGCCCTTTTATTGTCCACAGCAACTGAACATAACGGAGTATTGCCCTTTAAAAGAAATAAAAGTTTAGCGTATGTCATGTTTTTTTTTCTTGTTCTTTTTTGTGACTATTTAATAATTCATGACAACAATTCTCGTAGCAAGTATGTCAAAGTTCAAAGATTAAACATCGTAGTTGTGTGGTTAAGCAAAACTATTTCGAAATTCAAACGTTTCTGACTCTGACTCTTTCCGAACACATCTGAAAATTTTCGAAAGATTTTAGAATCTTATCGTACCGTGGAGATAATTAAAGTCAGTAATTTTCTATATCTACTTTTGGAAAGAGAAAACCACGTTAATAGTAAAGTCTGAGCGTCAAGGTCTCGATGGAACGTACGATAGAATTATTTTCGCATTTACGAGGCACGACTAGGCTCGGATATTCCGTTATATTTCCTCGAGAATGAAGAGATGCCATACGTGTATAGCGGAATGGAGACGACCCATGAGAGCGCAAACGTGGGTACTATTATGAATATACACTGGCGAATCTCGCTTTTCTTTCATTTTTGCCACGCGAACGAATATGATTTCGAGTCACCCATCATTAGAAAAGAATCATTTATAAATTTTATTCAAATTAAAGTCAATGAGATTTCTTACAAACAAGTTCGTTATTAATAGATAAGTCCAAAAGTCAGTTCTACGGGTGACGTATATTTTAACATTGCGTGTAAAGCAATTGGACACATGGCTTTTTTCCATCAATTTAAGTATAGTGGTATAGAAAGTATAGTGGTATACAAACATTTATTTTCGGAATCATTTGTACTTACAACAGACTAGAAAAAAATTGATTCACATATCGATGATCAAATTACAGGAAAATCTCGATAGTCTTTATCAACTTTCACGATTCGTTTGTTCTTATACAATAATAAATCGCTTGAATTTAATCGTATAAAATAGGAATATATAGGAATGTCTATCTAGTAAAAGAAAGATAAGCATTCGATAAATCATAATTCTGTTTTACTCTCGTGATAATGTTCGAATATTCTCTACCATGCCATAGTATATGAATGACGATGAGAATGAAAAAAAGCGATTGTGTTTTTGTTGAATCTTAAGAAAATACGCAACAACGCAACCGACGAATTTTCAATCCAAAAACCCGGTGTGTGCGGCTGCCTCTCTCGTACACTTAAACTCTTCAATATCACGATCACATACGCATATAGAGCGTTTGGCAAGGCAGTGTGTGCGACGAGCTCATACAAGTACACACGTTGAAATCGAGTGGAACCGGTCTCAGGCAGCCGCAACAAACATACGCGTTTCGACAAAGTTTCTTCATATCCCCTCGCGACAATCTTTTTTTTCACCTGTCTCCCTCAGAGCGACATAATCACATTTTCTAAACGTGTACATTTTGCGGACGTTGGTCTTGTATACGCATAAAATTTATCGTTCACGATTGACGTCAAGTCATTCATAGTTTGTTGCACTGTTTACAATGAGATACGCGAGCTGTCAAAGACAAAAATTACAAAGACGTTTCTCGGGCGTATCGCGAAACGCCGAATAATGCGTGCGAGCACGTGTGTGATTTGATTTCGCGAGCTATCGTCTGCTTCTGCTCTGACTGCGCGATACAAGCGTTTCTTGAGCTTGCTGTACGTGCATACACGCCTGAGTTATCTATGCATTATTTACCGAACCAACTGGCACTCGCTCGCGCGAATTTGATTTTATTCAAAACCAATTCGACTTTAATAAAATCAAATTCTCCCAAGTGGATTTTCGAGCGCAACCTCTGTGCACTTTCATCAGAAATTCATCGTTGTATAGACTCGAACGCCTATTGACTATATTATTCCTCGAAAACTTGCGAAATCATCTACGAGCGATTCGAGTGCTGCATTAATTTGCCTTGTCAATCAGTTCGCCGTGCTCTTTTTCTCTATCCATCTTGTCATGAAAATTAAATGGAAGCAGTCGCAGCCGATCAGTATTTTGTTATTAGAAAATGTCGCAATAACTTTTCCTGACGTACGACTCATAAGTGAAGAATAAATAAGTTAAGTTCGGTGTATGCATATGTTAAATGCGGAAAAAAACATTGTTCTTCAATAACAGGTACATGACCTGTGAAGTCAGTTACAGTTCACGAGGAATACACAAGATTTTCACCGAACGAAAGCTTTTCATTATACATACGTTTTATTTCTAGCGTAGAAACTGACGTATTATCGCGGCATGGAGATAAGCAGGAGCAAAATCCGCTTTAAAATTACTACAATCACACTGTTAATATTACTTTCATCATTAGAGAAATGTATGCGTCTTTGAAAAGACCTCATCTAGGCTAAAAAAACCACGCACAACCTTCGAGTCTGACTAATCGGCGTCTAGAAAACGAGATTTTTTTAGCCGTGTTCCCCTCCGCTCGAGCAAGCGTGGTTTGTCGCGTCACGGTTCACCTAAGAAAAGTATACCTGTGGCACAGCGGAGAAAGCTGGAGAAAGAAGGGCATCGTGCCTTATACGAAGACGGCTTTTTTATATTCCTGCAGCCCACATAAACAAATTTCATCGATACGGCATAACGTTAGTAAAAAGTAATCGATCCCTGTATAATTGATTATCTATCAGTCGTTCATGACGATTTGAAACAAAGCGTCGCTACTCACTTGAGGTCACGCGGAGCAGTTTTGAGCGCAACGATGACCCACTTGAGCCTGCCACCAGCAACGAAATAGGCGACGACGGCGACGATGCACAGCTGCAGGATGAAGGTAGGGCCCATGTAGAGCCATAACGCGGCGAGGGCGGCCAGAAGGCCTGTGATCAGGATCATTGCCACGAGCAGGCGCCGCAGCAGACGAGCGACTGAGGCCCAGCGACGACCGCGGCAGCTGCCACCTGGTGCCGAGGCCGACTCTGCGACCGCCGATGTCGCTCCCGCCGCCGCTGACTGCCCCACCACTAGTGTACCTCCACTTGGCTCCCCTCTTTCCACGTCCTGTAACGCACAACAGCAGCTGGCCTATGAGCCTGCCGAAGTATCTGTCTCTGTTATAAAACCGCCTAGCCTGACACCACACCAGGTACCATCGATGCCACTTAACTTCGACTAGATAATTCACACTTTCAGTGTTTTTTTTATTTATCGTTTGTTGCTTATTGCTCTTTATATTCCTGTTTATTTATAAGTTGAACCGTGCACCATATACGCAGTTGTATTAATTCAGTCGTAACTATATTTCAGATCCTATTATATCATTTTTTCAAATTTCAAGACTCGATGAAAAAGTGATTTTGGTTTAATTTTCCGCGAATATTCTATTTTCGCAACTACGAAATAAAAAATATAAAATTGGCAAGAGAAACTTGAAATATGTTAAAGTCCAAGTTTCATATAAAACAATTTGAACGGTGAACCCGCAAGAGAAGAGCGTTTCAGAACTCGAAGTTAAATATTAAACTGGATATGATGCAAAAAGGACTGACAGGTAGATATGTGCTTAAACGACTAATTCAACTCGATTTCGTTCAAAAGATACGTTTGATTTAAAAAATGGAATTGCTTTACTTTTTATTCGAATCTCACTTGTTGAAGATGTTTCTGCTCTTGTATAGTGTACAATTGATTCGAAACGATATTTCAAGTAAAACAAACTTAAATTCACCTCGTTTGGTAGTTATGAAGAGAACAAAGCGGATATTTGAGCTTTTTTGAAAAACAAATTTAATATTATAACGTCGATCGACTCTTTTGGTAAAGTAGAAAAGTAGTAGAAGATAATTATAGTTCAACGTGCGCGGCGTAGATGGATCTACGATACACTTATTTTAAAAACATGAACCGTTTCACATTAAATTTGATTATGTAAATTTTTTGAATTTACTGTGCAGTTAAAGACAGGGCTAACGATAATAGTACATATATATCTACTTAATATGATGTATTTTTATTAACAATAAGCCAAAAGTTTACGATTCATCAATTGTTTAAGCTACAATGATAAAACCAAGTCTAGTACGAGCTTAAAAAAATTAATCTAGTATAATTAAAAATCAAATTTTATAAAAATTGAGCCTAGTTTTGACCGTAATATCACTTATATTCATGAATCCAATTAAATTTATATTTTACAGTTTTTGTATAAAAATAAATTAAACTTTGAGCTGTCACTCATGATGACTTGCAAAAGCCAAGTGATATATTTATACATTTATAGAAACAAGTTTGAAAAGATAATTACAGGAATAAGTGTGTCGAACTCATTCGGCTGTTTCAGCATAGCTTAACTTTAACTTCGTAATAACTTTTTTTAGATTTGGACCTTGGAGGGTAAATAATCACCGATAATGGATTAGCAAATAAGAGAGAGAGAGAGAGAGAGAGAGAGAGGGAGAAATAATTTTGTTTCACTTGCGCTTGCTCTCAGTCGCGGCACCGACGACAAACACTAAAAGTAAACTGAAATCATCCCATGCGTATTCTGAGTATGGAACAACTACTAGAAATACCGGACCGCCAGTATACGAGCCAAAAGGCAAAAAATTCCTTACTCATTCTACTTACGACAAAAGCTTCTTTTACCTCTGTCGCAGTTTCCTCTACGAATCGGCGTATCGAAGAAAAGTATTGAAAAAGCAAAAAAACCATAATTGCTCGGTCGCGTTTAATCACGTTCACTTATTGATTCAATTATATGCACAATTCTACTCTAAACTACATGCTGCAAAAACTAGTATTTCAATGAAAATACTATTTTTCTTAAATTATCAGTAAAAATATAACGAGCAAGTTTGATTTATTTTTTTTAAGAACATTTTTTTTGTAAGATTTCGTGACGTTGTATTTTGAAAAGTAATGATTATCTCTTGAAACAATTATTATTACAAATATAATTATGAACTATGTGAAAAGAAATTGGCATCTTTTGCAATATAATTATTATAAATAAAATTGACTGATATCAGTTAAAAATCTCACTGCGCTCTTATAGAGAGATCACAAAAATGCGATTATCGTATAATATATTATGTACAAAACATACTTTCGAATTCAGCGTAAATGACACGATGCATGCATAATAGATTATAAAACCTCGACTATCATCGCGTCGCTCGCCGATCAATGCGTATATAGTAGCGCGTGCGACGATCCTTGAATTAGTTTGACACGCGACCTGGCTTTGGCAATCCTCATTGTTTTTTTTGTTTTTTTATTAGCAGTACGTGATTTTCTTTTCGTTCGAAACAAATAAACTTGCTAGGCAGTCGTAAGATCTCTCCACATGATATTAGTAATAGGACGTTGCGCGCTTGCGATAGCTTGTGATTTTTTTGGTGATTACAGCGCCGCGAGTACGTGATATTTTAGTTGAAGTTGAGTCGAGAATTGGTATGATAATTACTACATTTGTTGAAATGACAATTAAACATACCGCGTGTTATCATCTGTACGATGAGTTATGTAAAAACAGACTTTCAGAAACGTGCGACAACAAACATTAACACATAATGGAAATAAATGATAAAGAACGTTATTCAAATTATTTAATTATTGTTATTATATTACTTTAAATAAAAATTTCTTGGTAGTGAAATTCGTTGCGTTATTTTCACGTTGATTGCTCAATTACTTAAATAGTTGCTATGCAAATTCATATCAGACAAGTTTTTTTAATTGTGCGCTAACTTAATTTTCATAAACAGTAAGGTATTTTCATTTATGCTAAAGTACCTGTATATTTTTCGACTCAATAAACGTTTCGGCTTGCGGCTTTGTGAAAACAATTTAAATTTTTCAAGCCGCAGTATTAAGGAAAACTCATAAATAAACATCCCGCAACGTACTATCTTAACAATCTATGGCGCGTTCCGAATTACCAATTCAATCAACATCACCGTTAACTATTGTTTAAGATCATTATCGGTTGCTAATAAATAAGTAAAAAAAAACTTATCTTGCAGAAAAAAGAACAATAATAACATGAAAAGCTTAATCTATGTGAAAATGTTTTGGATTTATATGAAAATACTCATTAACGTTAGCTCGTCGAAGAGTCTATATTCGTCAACCTAATTCTATCAAATTAAACGAGAAATTTTTCCTAAAAGAGCAAAAGCTTTAAAAGAGTATTTTTGATCAACAATTAATAGAACTGATAATTGAAATAATTTGCCATTGATAGGTGGTATATCAATCCACTAAACATGCACGTGAAACAATCTGTAAATATATACCGACAACTTGTCTCTTCACGTAGCTGAACGTCTTGCATTGCTGTACGCATGAACATAGGACTTGACATGACTGATTTTTATCAATGACGCAAGACTCCGTAATTTTGTCATATGAATTGGACACGCCAAGGTCATCGAAAAAGAAATTAATAAAACAACTTAGAATATAGCTGATGGCATAAAATTAAAGAATATTCTGATTTGATTATTTGGTATCTATATATGTTAGATTTTAATGATTTCAAGAGTCACGTACGCTAATGATTTGCAGGAAAAGTTTTATTCTTAAAAAACTTCTATAGGTATTATATAAATGTATGAGAAAGCCGCTACAATGACCTTATACTTAATTGTTAAAAAATCGAATTTTGTGCTTTCGTTAAATTCAATACAATTTTTCTTTAAAAACCTATTTTTGATCGGTCAACGAAAAGAGTTTGAAAATTTTCAAATAGAAAGCGGAAGGAGGCAGCGTTACATTCTAACAGATGCATTCTACAGATGCGATACTTAATCTCTTTCACTTGCGAGCGCACGGGGTGGCCGACTTTGTTCGAAACCTGTATATATGTATATATAGGAAGAGAAAGTGCAATCTTCGTAAGTGTCGTCAAATACGACTTTGCCTTGTGGACTACCTGTTTATAAACACGCTTCAACACTGCACGACGCGTCGAACCATAGCATAATAATAAGTTTTACCTTATATAATTCCGCAAAAGGCGATTTGACGATAAAAATGTACAGAAATAATGCACACTAGAGACTGGCTAAATATTATTTCGACAATTTTATTTTTCAGGAAGTATCATTACGTGCATACTGTTGGATTCGTGCTGTGATTATATTTATGTAATATTTTTACGTCTCTATTATTTTGTCTTGTCCAAAGTTTATTTACAATTTTTCAAGAATGCGTTAAAAAGTCTGGAAGTAGCATTATAAAATTAACAGGTTTTCTCTCTACGAAAGTATTTTATCTCAAAAGGCAGATGTTCAAGTACTAATTATCAGATAATTAACACTTTAAAAAAAAATATGACCATGCATTGCTTGATGCTTTCACAGTGAATTAATTAAGTTTATTATCCTTTGCAATAATATTAATTTTAAAATGCTTACGGTAACTAACGAAAGGCAAAAATAATCATTTTCCAAGGTTTACTTTACAATAGCAAAGACAATTTTAGTCACTATATAAACACACCGAGAATTGATTATATTCTCACAATGCCCTACTTTCCAAAATTTGTTGATGTCATAACGAAACTCTATTCAATGCCATGTTAGCATTGCTTTCCGATCTATTAATAAAATCTCTGCAGTCTTGTAAGACCCTATAGATATAAAATCGTTTATATTGTGCTGAACTTTGAAACATTTTTGCAACTCATTAACGAAGAAATCTTATTAAAGAAGTTTGCATAAAATGTCGATGTAAATCATCAAACGATTGATTAATTCTGAAGATGCTCTGAAAAAATTGCATTGCTAACCAGTGTATAACCAAAGCAGCGATAAAGTAAACTGGCCCAAACAGCTCAACACACCGTACGTTGAAAATCAAATGAACGTGTGTTCCGTCAGTAAACATCTCAGTCTGGAATAAAGTAGCGCATCGCATAGTGAAGCTTGGAGGTTTTTAAGACGGAAGTGCATTACCGAGCGCAATCGCGTGCATTTATAAGCGTGTGCACGGGGAAAACGTAGGAGCATGATATACTCACTCCACGAGGAGAGACGTGGTCAGTGATGCGAGTGCATACTAGCCTCCGAAGAAGCCTCGCTAAAAATAACGATTTTCTCCATTTACTCGTCTTCGCCGCTTCGCAAACATCGCGCCTTTCTCTTTTTTTTTTTTTTGAGGCCCAGTACAGCACTTAAGCACAACTACTGTATTCTCACGCGACGAGGGAGAGAATATGAAGCAGCAGCACACAACGCGCGCAACGAAAATCAATATAAAGCCACGGCGGCGGATTGCACGTGCGCCAAAGCTATGCGGTATGGCGGGAAAAAGCTTCCAGTTTGAATAGGTTTTACAAGCCCACTCGGTATGGGTACTTGAGAATTAATTCTTTTATTCCCGTTCAATATCCGTGCAAACTATACTCAGTCGTGTACTGCAGATGTTGTTAATTGTAGGATCGCTATTCACATCAATAGAAGTACAAAAAGTGCTTATTCTGGTCGAATCCTCACAAATGATAGTTACAAAAGCTTTGACTCGCTATAATATAAGTCGTACGGAAAGAAAAAAAAAACGTTCCAACCCACAAACAGGAAAACTGACGTGAGAAAATGCTAATATTAATCAATGCATTGCAATTTAACCTACTTGATGGACGAATTCAATGTATTGAAATATCAAACACGCTATGAATATTCACTGTTATTTTGACAGGAGAAGAGAAATAGCAACTCTGAGATAATAATATTTTAACTGTAGCCATCAACGAGCGTGTAGGCAAGTGAAAATAACGTATACTCTAAAACTTGTTGGAGCCAATCTGTTGAAATAGAATTTCCGAACGACCAATATTTGTTTGCACAAATCGATGCCGCGCGATGTGAATGCGAATGATGTTTACGTTATTACTGAAGAACCGAGAGGCAGGCAGGTCAAGTAACCCTCGTCGCGTTAAAATAATTATATATATTTTTCTCAAGCAAGTTCAGTGTTCGAGAAGGTGTCCACTGTACTTTCGCAATTCGCTCCCGGGCGCGTGCGCACTTACGAACAATTACTAGCGCTTGCCGGCTCTGGTTGTTTGACAGGCTGTCTTAAGAAATCCACAAACTGTAGTAGATAATGTTCATTGAAACAAAAACTTGTTATTCGGTGTCGCATTGTTTGACAACGTTTTTCTTCTTTTCGTACTTCTCACGGTATCAGAAACGTTGCGTTTCGTTTGAAACCTTCACGTCAAGTGAAACTCGCATTACGTTGGACAATGAATCAACGTACGTAACACAAAAATGCAAACTCACTCGGTCCTTGTCGTTGCTACTCGAATTCATGATGATCGTATTGGTTGACATGCTGTTACCATTAGCCATACTGTTGATCGCATTCTTCTCGTTGTTAGTCGACATGATGATGCACGCACAGATACAAACGAAAACAAAATTTTTCGCACTTTGGTTTTTTTTTCTTTTATCACTCACAGACACACATCATCGAAGTGAATTCGAGGGGAAAGAAAGATGAAGCGAATGAGCCAAGCAGAAGCAAGAGAAGTCAAAGTGCGGAGAGCCCTCTCGCGAAAGTCGAGCTGCCGGCGAAGACTGCAAGTACTCGAGTAAACCGACTAGAGCCGTCGAGCCGACTCCGATATTCCCTCTCTCTCCTGACCGACGCTCTCTCACTCTTTCTTGGCCTACCAGCCTACCTGTCTATTGCCTGTTTTCGATTCGATTCTTAAGAGGTTCGAAGGTGTGCATCTGTGAGGAAAGTCTTTTACAAAATCAAACGGGGTTTCAAATAATAATTATACACTATGCTCTGCGCACACGGAGGTTGCATTAATCACACGTTTAATCAAGCAATTATAATCGAACGCTATTTAGAGTGCTCGAATAGAGAGAAAAAAGTGTTTACAAAATTTTTTTCACGCGAAGAATATTGCAATATAAGTGCATATACTGTAGGATGTGGTGCAACTTTCATTCGAAGGACATTGATCTAATCGCGCGCTGCGTCAAATACCTTCGAGAAAGAAATTAATGAGTTAGACAATATTTTTCATCTATCGTGGTATCTATCAAGTGTATCATTTATCATTGCAGGAGTGTCAGTTTATTCATTTGCAATATTTTTGTGGCGAACGCTTGGAACATTTTTATTTTTTCAATATAAACAAAATGCAATTTTTTTATGTCAAGCTTTGTTTACGAAAAAACTAACGTGAATAGAAAAGTTCATAATCGATATCGTTACATTCTCATACAAATGCGCAGAATAGATTCGATGAATAAATTTTAGCCGTATCGCAATAATTATTCTCTGAGCATCGTCCAAATCGTATAACCCATTGCCGTTCGACCTTAACGTGCAGAAAAGAAGAAGAAGAAGAAGATCGACAGTGTCGAATTTTAAGTGGGACATTCGAAAGAAAAAAGTACATAAGCTATCATGGTCGATTTTTCGTAATCCAGTGACTTGCCATGTTGAGAGTCATCGCTCTACGACGGAGAAAAAAATTAACACGAGAGTGCTTTGTACAGCGTTGCAGCTTCTAATTTAACTATTGTATAGTTCAGCTAGGTCTTACCTACTTTCACGCGGCGAGAAGAACTGCTTGCGTACTCGCCGTTGAAGGATCGCTTTTCTACGGTTGATAGGACGGGTTTTTGAGGCTTGTGCTCGGTTACGAATACATGATTTTCTCATCTATGAGTTTCTCGATTTAAGGTACGATTAGGAATGAATGAATATTAATAGTTCTAAGTGATAATTTATAAGATTAGTGTCTATTACACGATAAAGGTCGATATTGAAAGAGCAAATGATCTTTTCGCCACGTTCGATTTGGGACAAAAATCTTCTGAGATAAAAGTAAGATAGCTTCGTTAAGTTTTATAAGTTTTCGAGAATATTCATTCAAGGTGATGACTCCAGTTTATGCCTTAATATACGCAAAAACCAACATAACAGCCAATCTATCATATTTTTTATATGTAAAAATTTACAAGTTTGGTTTGAAAACTGATATTTGTTGCCACATCAAAATCATCAAGATGGAAAAAATTATAATCGTCAATTACAGGTTGCACTTTCAAATAGTGTACAATGTCAGACATCAATCAAATGGCATTTCTCATGTGAGATTAAACACGAGGAGAAAACGATGTGGGTGAGAAATAGCATGCCCACATGGAACAATCGAAGAAATGCCCCCATGCAGAAAGTAATATTCGCACTGGCGGGCTCGTACGGCGCGAGGCGGAGGCACCGACCTCGTTTTTGTTACGAAGTGTGTAGTATGTCCGTAGGCGCGAGACGCTGCCTACAAGCCGATTTAGGAAATTAGAGGATGCAACCATCTCTTGCGAGAGACCCTTTTGAATCATCGAGCGCTTCACCGGAAATCGCGTTTTTCTTTCTTCGCTCGACTCTCTAATAAGACAATCACCGGTTTGCTAATCGCTTGGCCGTTAGGCGTTTTACAACGAGTATGCTTGCGCGAGAGAGACAGCAGTGAAAGACAATAAGTGTGGAAAATCATCGCTTTCGTTCGTTGATGTAATTTTATTGAGGAACAGGCGAACGTTTGTATCGACTTTTATAGTCCTTCAGAGATTCGTTTTAGTTTTTCTGGGATTTATTGCAGTGTCAAATCGAGAAAAACTATCAAAGAGCTTCTTTATGTGTCAAGATTTTTAAAGCACATAAATGTTTTTAAATTGATGGCGCTCGTTAAGAAAATCAACTTAAAAATAGAGATGATTAATCCATCGCAAAGTTCTTCTAAGGCAACAAGTATTAAGATGCAACGTTCGAAAATTTGAAATACAAACGTATTTTTAAATGTATACATAAGAATGTCAATATATAGCAGTCACGTTTATAATTACAAAGTAAGAGGAAAGCAGAGAGCCATTAATCAGAGTCTAAAATTCAATCGGCAAATATCTATAGCATATATACTCCAAGCTACAAACGAAGAGATTCTCCTTGGAATATTTATGAGCGTACGTTTGTTATTGTAGACAAGGAAGGCAAGGGTCATCGACGATATCGCACCGCGAAATTAACAGCAGCTTTCTTCGCAACAGCATAAAAAGAATCGCGAGTTTTCTCTTTCGCTTGCTGCACTTCCGTGCCATTGAAAAGGATACGCTACCATAGCTTTTCGTTTTAACGGTTACGCAAAATCTCTCCTCATACATTTTGTTACTTCGTGCAGACGTGCTTATCAATTGTGCTGTTCTGGACGTACGTGTGACGTAATGAAATATCTATACTTGGCTTTACAATCACATGTACGTGCTTATTTTTGTAAAGATTTTCGTTAACGCTAATAACAATATTCATATGTAAACAAAAATATCTTATATTTTTTTAAATTATTTTTTGGTCGATTGAAGTTTCGTGAAAATGGATTTTTTAATTTCTGCTAGTGTTGTTATTACAGATCATAAATATGTAAATGAAACTCTACTGCTATAAAAACAAAAAGAAACTGAACAAAAGAAGATATTAACTATTCATAGTCAATGGGTTACTACTGACGCCTGACCAATTTGGCCTATTACTACTTCAATGAGTCAGGCAAATTAGTTTTTCAATTTTCTTCCTTAGTGCATCAGATTTAGTTAATTATTTTCAAATAAATTACATATTGATGGGAAAGTGATAGTTGGTTCGTTGAAAATTTTTTATTGTGAATAACAGAACAGGTTTTTAATCGATTAGCTATTAAAAAAATCATATCATCACTGTTACGACGTGACAACGACAACATTTACATTACCAACGCGCAATATACTTTTGAAAAGAAACGTTATTGGTGCGTATCTCTTGAGTAAGGGATATTGCAGAATTCTGCCCTAGCGCCTTGTACACCCCGAAGTTTAATCAACCACCCTCTGCGTCTTAACTTTACCGCTCGAGCTCAAGCAGAATCAACGATCAACAACCCACTAACTACGAAGTCTCGAACATTTTTCATATGATATTGTGACCATTGTTTGTCGACAGTTATTCACACACATTCGCATTGTTTTTAAGCTTGGGGAAGCTTTTTTTAAATATTGATCGTTGAAATAATGTTGAGCTTATTCGACAGGTGGCTAGAAAAGTTCTATAGAATTGTCCGCGAGTGCATGAAAAAAGCTTGGCTCCCTATATAAGTTGGCCACGCGATCGATACTGACCGGTAGTCCGATGCTTCTCAGGAAACAATTTATTAACATCCAAGTACGTACCGGTGTAAACTAACTACGTGTAGTGGATTCGATGCTACTAAATAATTTTTCGTTTACTGTGGAAGCGACTCTGACTATCGTTTTGCTTTTGTTGCTAAATCTCACTCGTTAATGCTCATCGAATGCAAGTACATGATTGAAAGAGCCACATGTCTTGCTAATTTTTTCCATTCAACTTTGAACTTCGATCGCATGAAAACTGTTATGCACTTTGATTCAAAGCTGCAATATTGCAGAAGATGCAATAATAAAGTAAAAATTACAATGATCATCACGGTAAAGCTGAGACACTCAAACATTGGGTGAATTTTTATATTAATTTACGCTGAATTAATAACAAACTTAGCCATGTATTTTACCCCCCAAGTCTAAGAAATATTACGGTGACGTACTGTAATATTTGAAATCCATAATTGATATCGTGAAAATATACAATTATTCATACGATTTTCGTGAATTTTTGTATGATGCTTGATACATTTTATAGTTCCAACAGGGTAATTTAAGTTAATGGTAGATTGTAAAATTTCACTTACACTAAAACAGAGCGGCGCTACATGTCGCCAGCCGCCGATTGTTTATCGCGCTGATAACTATATCTGTTAATTTGAAAGGTCTACCAATCAATAAGGAAAAAAAAATGCCAACTCAATAAGGAAAGCACTTGTTGAAAAATTTTGTAATAGATAATTGACTCACCATCCCTTCGAGTTGGGTGAGATATTACACAAGATCCAAACTCGTAATATTCAAACGGTGAAATGTGCAGCACTGTAGCCAACTCCAGCAAGAGTAAAAACACGCTACAAAATACATGTATAGATATACGGACCAGTTGGTCGGGTTAAGTGAAGGCGTGATACCTAGGGATTTCGAACGGTTCAAGTCCCGTGTATACTCGTCCATGAAGCTCGTCGTTTCGCAAGTAAGGAAACCTGTAGCAACAATTTCGCATGCGATTCTTAACAATTGTCGGCAGGTGGCTGTGACTCGTGTTCGATGTTACTCGCGAGCGACAGACAATCCCAGCGTTTTCTATATAAGCCAGAGCCGCGCGCATTACTCCTAGGGTAGTCCGATGCTTCTCAGTTAAAGTTTACTCAAGTATCGTTTCTCAAGGAGGTTTTCGATTATCGCCAAATATCGCATATCGCCTATCGCCTATCGTTCAAAATGGTGGTACTGGTTGTATCCGTGCCGCTAAAGTATCAATCACTGTAGAAGCGACTTTGACTATCTTTTTACATTTTATGGACGATGGGTTATGTTCAAAGTCAGTAGGCTGTTGCAGCTTTTTCATTTATTTGCTAGCATTCGTCATTTTAGCCTAGTATTATTTCTATAGAACAAGGTTGAAAAAGTATAACTTATTTTTCTTTATACGTTTTCTGGTTTGAATAGGTCCATTGCGAATTAGGTTCAATTATTTTTTTACAAAGTGCAAGTGTAGAATTATTCCCAATAAATTCTACCCTTCTCATTGAATACTATATAAGTTATTTAAATTGTTTAATTATTAAAAATCACTTTAAATATCTGACCCAAGTAATGTAATATCCATTGTGAATTTATACCCTGAAAAATGATTTCCCTGTAATTAGATGACAGTCACTCAATCCTCTCGTGACCAGCGGAATTTATTTGTTACGAGAAGATATTCTTTCATAATAAAAGGATATCTGTTGAAACAAAAAGATTTTCTCGTTGGCTATTTCTGACTAATTTTTCTTGTAACAAAAACAATTCTCTTACTGCAAGAAGATTTTTTTAGGGTAAAATTTTTTTACATTTAAATAACACCTGAAACTTTAAATAGTATTATTCCATAAAACATGTAGTTATTCTTTTTTATCTTTTCCGATCAAAATATTAAGTTATATAACTAATTATACTATAAATCAATTTGAAAAAAATTCAACTTTTAGTAGTATAATGATTTGGTAAATCTTATTTGCAATTTTCATTTTATCTACGTAGCTCTTTCATAATATAAAAGACAAATTATTGAAATGGAAAATTTCATTTTTACATTTTAGAAATAATCCTTTAATACTTTTTCCATTGCAGATGATAAGTCAATTTTTGTAGATACTTTTGGTACTTCAATGACAACTCCTTTTGAAATTCGTCTAGCTGTAAAAGTAGAATAATACGTATGCTTAATCAAGGTCTACTTCTCAGTATTTCGCGATAATTTTCGAGGACAAAAAAAGAGAATTAGGCTTTTTCCAGTCACACAAGTCAGTGGAATATAAGTCAATGTGCAGAATAAATAGGATTTTTACGCTGTTTTGCATGCTTTCAGTCACCTGATTAACACTTTTTTATGGTCATTGAACGTGTGAAATTATAAATAAATGAATTGTTTTGAAAAAATGCAACAAAAATTACACTGTGAGAGTCTTAAGTTTGTTGTGATAAATATTTTCCAAATAAACATAAATTAATTCTATTGCTGCAAAACACATAAGAAATAGTATATAACGTTGTAGGACAATGAACGTTGATTTTACTCACAAGAAGATTGATTGACATCGTACAAGAAAAATTTCTTAATGTGTGTGTGTATATATATATATATACCTTTCAAACTTGTTTTGTCCATTCTGCACTAGCGAGTCGATTGATATTCAAAAAACCTGTCTTTAAACTATAAGCCTTGAATATCGAAAAGAATGTGAAAAATAAGTTGTGCAAATATTGATTTCAGATTGAAATTACTTAAAAATAAATAAATTCAAAGTTAGATGAAAATAAAGCATTCACATCAAACAATAAATATATATCAGTTTAAGTTAATACAATGAATGTATAGTGAAGAGCAGGGTCAAATGTTGATTATTTAAACTTGACTTGCGTATGTACATGACATCAATGGCAATTATGTGGAACAATCGATTTGAGTGTTTACCGCAAAAAGTCGCGAAAATGACAAAGTAAAAAATTTTTGATTTAAGAAGTCAACTTTTACAACAATTTGTAACAGTAATTTTTTAATATTTTTTAAAATTTTAGATTATATTTTATAGAGAATAATTCATTCAAAAAATGTCCATATTTTAACTTACAAATGATTTACGCTCTGCTTACCATAATTTTTTTTAATAATTTCAGCATTTTCTCATTTACTTTCATGATACCAATTATAAAATTTCCGTATCTTGCTTATTAGAATAGCAAGTTCCACACGAATTCAATGGCGTAATAATTCAGTTAAAAAATCACGTAGTCCATGTTCGGGATGACCGCTGACTCAAAGCCAAAGTTATCATTTATCCACAAAAACCAGTTTCTATACAAACGAAAAATTGTCCTTCACCATACGTTATACGAATTCTTTCGTGACATAAAGAAACAAAATATAAATGAAAATTTTTGATCGGTCGACAAGTCGATCATATAGTTGACTACGTACAGGTATGTTGCTTTGATTAGCTGTTGCAGGTATAATAGTCACGAGCGAGAAAATATGCACGCGATATAAACAGTGGTTCGAGCGCAGAGTTTGTCCTACTGACCGCGTCTGCGTGTACAGCTATAAAAACGAAACGCGTACTGATGTTTTGCTTTTTGTTTTATCATCCGACCTAGAAACTTACAATTGATTTTCAAGAAACAATACAATCATTACAGACACAGAGGAGAAAAATTAACTCACAACCTTGCATATTTTTTGCTCTTCTTTTGGAAAAGATTTACGTGATATTCCTTCCGCGTAGATGTACCGTATCCTTGTTAATTGAACGAAAATTGGTAAAATAGAAATACACATACATAACATTTATACCCCTGCATTTCCTCATGACCAAAATGTATTTTCCTCGTGGTAGGTCATAAAGCGAATTGCACACGCAGAAAAAAAGAAAAAAATACAGTGATCGGACGAGAGGAAAAACCGCGGAAAGTTCGTGCGTCGAGAACGGCTGCTGCATGCCCGAGGAACATCAGGGCCAGCGAGTTTAGCTGCGCGCGAGAGTTGAACGACCTACGAGCCGGTATGCACGCGCTGCTATGGCGGCGGCTGTTTCGAGTAAAAGGACGCGGAAAATCGGGTCGACTACTCGATGGATCATTTCCTTTCGTCGTAGTAGCTTTGAAAGCCGATTCTTATTATTTCGTAGCTTTTGCGTGCAACAGAGAGAAGTTCATGTTGTAATAAGTTTTATCCAGTTAAAAAAAAAATTATTTTCGTTTTTAAAGAGCAATCGACCATTCACTCAGACAAAAAATTCTCTTGGCGCAAGATGGACCATCTTGTTGTAAACAGATTTTCCACTTACTACGAGGGAAAATACTCTACAAGTCAAACAATATTAGCACAAAAGACTTTTCGCTTTGAGCAATAGAATATTCTCATATGGCAAGAGAAATTTTTCTGGACACTAAAGAAATTCCTCTTGTTGCAAGAGTATTGGCTCAAAATAATAACCTTCTCTAGACAAGAGAATTTGTTTCCGGAATGTTTTGTTTTCTTATTTATTATCAATACTTTTATATATTTATTTTTTACTGTACGACTTTTCGTGTATCTTTTCGATAAAATATACCAATACAGCAGGATCCTTAATCTGAGAGTGGTCTTGAATGTATTTCGTCAAACACGATATTTTGAAATTAAACTACTGGTTTCAGCTAATTTATCACCAATAATGACCCACAATGATATGATTTACGTCATTACGAAAGAATCTAACAAATTTTAAATCCATTAAGCAATAAATGCACAACGTATAGATCACGTTTTGGCATTTAGATCGCCGGGTTTCTTTTTTCTAAAATGATCGACAACAGATATAGATTTTTGACAGATATCATCACTGTATTCCAAAGACTCCTTGGTATTTCTACGACATCTTGCAGTATCGGACGCTTCGTCGGAGAAGCTGCTGCTACAACTCGTACCACTACTGCTCAGGGTTTTGTCTAGACAAGCTGCCTCCTTCTTCACCATGTTAAGTAGTAGTTGCGAACTTTCGAGGATCTTGACGAATATCAAGATTGAAAGGTCTTTTGATTGCGTATGTTTTTACGAAAGACTAGATTTGCAAAAAATTTTAACAAGACCTTCATATAAGCCGATTCGGCTTCTTGAATAGTATGTTCGTAATCAGCTCGAGCTGCCGATTTTTTGCCAAGACTTTCATTCAGTTGACTGATCTTGACGTTCATACGTTCGACGTCACGCTGCAATCTCACCCTCTCAGCCTCCTCCTCGTCGATTTGTGTTTCCAGTCTCGACTTGGTCGTTTTCAGATCTTCGAGACCTTTGGAGTTTTGAAAGGCAAATTAATAATATTTATACGAATGTCACCAAGTCAAAGATTTTGATTGATGCGTGTTATCGAGTCTCATTAACACTACTACAGGCTGAGAATAAAATCTATGTATAGTATACTTTCCCTTTCTTACACGCTTGTCCTTGGTAAGAAAGAAGTGATTGATTCATATTAATGACTCGTTTAATTTTTATACGCACAACGAATTAAATCCTGGTTGAAAGCTTGCATAGCCTCTCCAGATCTACTAATCATTTGCTTTTCGTTTAAAAAAATTTATTAGCTTCCGTTTTTGGTACGTACTCCATCAACTTTTACACACGTATTTGTTATTTTTCTTTGTCTAATTGTGGATGGAAAAATTGCTACTGGCAATTTTGAAGTTTTGTATTTTTATAACCTCCGCACGCACTCGACAGTTACAAAAAACGTTCGCATTTGTTACATCAAGAAGAGAAATAAAAGTAGAAAACAAAATGAATTTCCTTAAAAATACGATTTTATTTGAAAAAATGCGTATAAAGCTTTAAATTCAATACATTACGAAAATTACTTCATTTTATAAAAGAAAAAATCCATAAAAATATCATGCACATATGTTCGAGATACAGGAAACACAGTATTTCACCGTTGGCTAATTTATAATTAATGGCACCAATTAGTTACCAGAACTTTCTTGGTTACAGAGATAACGTAAGTGTCTTCATTATTCATTTATAAAAAAATGTTGGTTTTATTTACCATTCATTCAAGTAGGACTCTTCAAGAGAATTATATTCTTTTAAATCATGCCCGTATCTATAAAAGAAATATAAATTTCAATACTAAGCTATTCGATAGTAAGCTACACAAAATTAAGCAACTTGTATACTTACTCCTTGAAAGCTTTGACGATTTCACTCGATTTGAGAGGATGACAAACGATTGTCGTCTTACTAGTACTTGGATCGATTAATGGTTTGAGATATTTAGCCGCTACGCGTTCTATATCTTGAATTGTTACAGCCGATATATTTTTAACCATACGGCGGTTATGATCATGCGGTACATTCTTGAAGTAACACATCAATGACCTTATAACCATATCCCCAATACTCTTCTCGCCTTGAACAATCTCGTAAATTAGTGAAGATTTGGCAGATTCAAAAAGTAGCGGTTCCCATTTACTCTCAGCCAAATGGCTACTCTGAAAAAGTTAAATATAAAAAATTACAAACATTTTAGATACTTGAGAACATATTTATTGAATTGATATTTACCACAATATCTTTAGCTTCCCTATAAGCTCCTACAGTGTTTGTCGCACTGTAAAGCGTCAGATACAAAAGACCTTCGTTTGGTGTTGGATACATGTTGTAACTGTATGAAAAACCTTGACCTCTAATTTGTTTCCACATAGGCCCCTAAATTAAAAATCAGTTTTTTGAGCAGAAAATTAATTTTTTAATTGAACTATATTTCAAACATTGAAACACTTACCTCTAATTGCGTTAAATACTGCAAACATACTAATAAAGATGCCAAATCTGGATGCTGGAAATTGTCAATACCATGACAGCATTGTAGTAAGAATGAGGTATCTATACATCCCAAACTAGCTACACAACCACCGATATCTATCGTGGAAAGAGATTTAATGAGTTTATAATCTGGGACTATGTTCAGTCTGAAAATATAACATATAAAAATTAAATGGTTTTGTAAAATTATTACTGTAAAATCGACTTGAAAATGAGCCTACTTGGATTTTATTGAATTATCAACATTAGAAAATTCTTTCCATGCATCATAAACATCACCGACTTGCATTGATAATTTGTCAATGTTTGCTGCTATATACAGCGTCATATTTTTCGGTGAAGTCAAAATATTTCGGACAGCTTCAATATCAGCTAATACTTCCTTCTGACCTTCTACTGTGTTCATTCTATCCAACATTTTGGTAAGGAATTGTTGTTGACGTAACATGCTTGCATTGTAGTGGTTACTTTCTGCAATACAATAAATTTGTTGTCATTTCAGTAACTGTACCAAAGTCATAATAAAATATAAGCTTTATAGTCACCGTTTTTATATACAAGACTTTTCATAAGCTCATGGACGACTTTATGTCCTTTACGCTTCATGCGTGCAACATCATTGATAATTTTGGAAGATATAATTTTTAGTCTTTCTGCAGCCAACTGAGATCTGTGTAATAGGTCTTTAATCCATTTGACTCCCTTTGCGTACTTGGCTAATTCAAGCTATAAACCAACATAACATATTTTAAGACAATTTTAATTACGATATCGTAATAAAATAATTTTAAAGCAAATTGATCAATATTTACTTGAAGAGCCAACATTGCATAGTGGCTGTAGGAACCACACGAAAATCTGGCTGAATTATCAAGTCCAGTTCTAGTGCTAACTGCAATTGTATCCATTTCTAATTCTGAAACAATAGTCTCATATGGAATCAGTTTTCCATTTCGCAACACTGGACATTCCAATATTGCCTCCAGCAACAAAGGAACATAAGGCCTTTGCTCTAGTGAAATATCAGAGGTATCCATAATGACGAACATCTAAGAGTTACAACAGTCAGATTAAAATTTGTTCGGAGTAAAGCTCTTCGGAATACAAGTTCGGGTGTTTGAATTACTTATTTGAATTACTTACATATACAAAATTTGTATTTACGTGATCTAAATAAGTGAAAAATGGTAATTTTTGGACATTAAATCGAGGATGTTGATCTATAGATTCTGTAGAGTAGCTTTTAACATGATGAAAATTGATTGAATCTGTACTTGGAACGGGTACAGATAAGAAAATTCCGTCTGGAATCGGACGCTAAAAATAGATTACATTTATTAACTTATGTTTAATAAAAGTATAATGGCATAGTAATTATTTTTTTTCAAAAAGTCATTACCTCATTTTCTTCAATAGCTTTTGATAATTCCATTTCTTTCTGTTTTAAACCTTCAGGTCCAAATTTTTTTATTTGTGCTTGTACACGTTCGTGTTCCTTTTCCATATTTTCTTTTTGTTTTGCAATACTTGGAATACCTTTGATAACAGCAGATGGTGCTTCAACAAAATATGTTTTGAGCAAGTCTATCCAATATGCCACAGGTTTTACTTTAAGCTTTTTCAGACTTTCAATCTCGTTCAGTCTTTCATTCAACTGTTGAATATATATAAACAATACAAAAATTAAATAGTTATTATAAATTTTATAGTGAAAATTGAATTGATTAAATTCTTATTAAATTATTTACATCATCCTTAGTTTGTCCAAATAAGAAATCTCCCATAATCATATAAGCTACTGAATCATGGGGACTGCTTTCCAAATTGCTTAATGTCTCAAGAATATGCCTATGAATGACAGTATTCATTCTTTGCATGTCAATTTTACTTTCAGATTTTGCAATGTCATTTAAAATATCCATCAAAAGAGTTGAAATTTTCGAAATTTTCTGTTTTGGTACATTTTCGAATGCAAGGTATAACATAGCTTCTGAATTTTCTGATAGTGAGTACTGAACATCACTTGCATATGGATCATCTATTTCAACAAAATGTTTTTGTAAAGGACTTGCTGATGTATCAGTCAAGTACTTCATCAATAAACTGCACCCTAATAAATCAAGTCTCTGAGTTATTGTCGATGGTCCTCTCCATCCGATATGCACAATACCATTGTCTTCATCATTACATGGATAAAAAATATCTTTAGTAACATTTTCAATAAATGGAGGAACTTTACTTTGCCAGGGTTGTATAAAAGGACCTCTATCACCCTATAATAAAATTGTACTTATTATTTTGTAAACTTAATAATAAATATTGAGCCCAGATCAACTTTACCTTTGCTATAATTTTTTCTTCAACAGGTTGTAAAGCTTTAAAAACATCTACATGTTTCACTTGGCCAGTTATGATAACACATAGATTCTCTGGTCGATAAAACTCTCTATGGAACTTTTTTACTTTTTCATTGCTACAACTTTCTCTCACATTGATCAAAGCACCTATTCAACAAAAAATAATTGTAGAATACTTTTTTGCAAATAGCAAGATACAAATGTATAAATTACCTCCAGTGTTGGATTTGTATCCACACTTTCCAGGATACATGGCTCTTTTTAATTCAAGGTGTACTAGATATTCTCCAACATTTTCTGATCCCTGTTGTTCACAGTAAATTACACCAGCATCTTCTCCATCTCCTGTGATATGATGTACTTCAGTGATATATGCTGAATCCTATTAATCAGAGTCTATTAGAAATTCTAAATCTAAGATGACATTAAATATGTAATACACTATAAATAACCTTAAGAGTTGGATACAGAACATGATCCATATAGATTGGTAAAAGAGTCATGAAACCTTCACTGCCAACAGTTTCCATTGTATAATACGTAATATCAACATCAGTTCTTGCATTAGTTCCTGATGCCAAACACCTATTAGCCATAAGATCCAAAATACCCTTGTAGGGATAATTCTCACTTCCTAAGAAGATGAGATGCTCCAAAGTATGAGGCAAGCCATCATCGTCAAATGCTTCAGTAGCTGCCAATGATATTATTCACATTGTTAAAATGCAATAAACGAATGAATAAATATCATAATTATTTTTGAAACGTCAAAAATGTTTTACATAAATGAACAGAATAAAAGTTGTTGCTGAGAAATACCGATAGGTTATGTTAAATAAAGTTTACCTACGCACAGGTACCCGCAAACAACGGGACCATCGACTTCAGCAATAACAATGGTGAGTCCAGTATTTGTTGATTTGTACTTGTGTACCGGAACGATATCGTTGGATTTGAAGGAACTAATTAACTCGAAACCACCCATGTTGTTTGCCGGTGAGCTATCGACGGGTGTAGGCGCCATGCTTATGACTTTGCGAATGCGCGGCTCTTGGCAAATTTTCACAGCACAAGGCTTTTGCTCGCAATCGTATAGTCCTTACCGAATGCCGACTATTTGCTCGCGCGTCTCGCTCTGAACTCAAGCGCTAAATCTGATCCGGGAGGGGATAATACTACTTTTCAGTTTGTAATTACTTTATATATATATATACATATAGATGTTTATTTCTTTTCTTATTTGCAATTAAGTTATAAAGATGATATGAACACTAGTAAATCGAATTACATGATAACATTATCGAAGTTGTATTAAATAAATAACAGGTTTGAATAGTTTTGCATTATGCAAAGAAAAAATTTTTAATGACTAATTAATTATTTTATAGATGGTTTTATAAACTGCATATATATATATACATCATCATATATTTGTAGATATATGCTCGCATGTCTAATGTCGACAACAAATTATTAAATCTTAATTGCTATACTTTCACTGTTTTATTAGTTCGAGTTATCAGCTGTGGTATATTTTTTCGAATATATTATAAACTAAGTACGGTTGTAAATTTTACATTAAAATGTCTAATTATCGAACTTTCATCACTAAATTAAGAATAAGAAATTTCGGGGTTATACGGGAATGAAACCATTTCAGAAGAATGCATTATTATTAATTATAACAAGAATTATAATTCGATGGTAAATTAATTAATCTAATGTAAATATTTTTATTATCGATAAACTGTTTAAATAAACTATTTATTTTTACAGTATTGTCAGTAAGTAGATATGATTATCGTAGAACAAATCAGAATTGAATATTTTCATATTCTAGTTAAAAAGAAAAAAGGAGGCAACATAAATAAAATCAGTAAAATAGGAAAGCAGTGAATATAAAATAATAAATAAACCAATAAATAAATGGTTTGAATCACTTAACAGCTTTAATCCAATCGATTTCCAACGCTGAAACTCCAGGCTGATTATCCGGGAGATACGGTCCATTGTCGACTTTAATTCCAATATTCGTAATTGCCGATAAGTCCAATGGATGCGTTTCCGCGGGCAGCGGTAGCCCCCGATAGTACGGCTTGAAATCTTCTAATGGCAGTTTCACTGTTGCGAATTCATTTTCAGTTACCTGCAAATTACGATACTGTCAATTATATCGTCAATCGTTTAATTATCGTGTCGTTTGAATGTTATATTGCGCCCAGTTTGAACCAAGTTGAAGGTGCCATTTGTTAAATTTGCTTCACTGCCCCACTTATTTCAGTCGTAAATTGAAAAAGCTATCAATTTACGAAGGGTAACGTAGTTAGCAAAGTAATTAAAAGTAGAGAGAATAAGCACCGTAAAAACTTGTCCATATACGGTGCAGTCCTTTTTGAGACCTTTGTGCCTGATAACCATTTTATACTTGAAATTCACCCCTTGGCCGCGACATTTGACGGCAATGTAATGGTACTCCCTCAAATCGAAATTCGTGTCCGAGCGCACCGCTGCGAAGCCAGCGCCACTCGGTTTTGGTACGAACAGACTGAAGAAAATAGCCCTTTGGAAAAGTTGAGACTTCTGAAGCACGAGGGCTGCTTTTGACGTACCACTTGGTTTTACTGTGTCGGAATATTCAGTCCACTCGCTTAGCTCTTCAGCTCTTGTGAAGTCAAAAAGAGTTTTAACACTCCTACAGGCGAGAAAAGTTATTTCAATTTTTAATATCCTTGGAAAATTTAATTTTAAACTTGTTCGCACAATTAAGATTACAAACTATTGACATTTCGAAGAGCTAATAGCACACTTCCGTTTCTTAATAATACTAAGGCAGTTAGAAATTAATAGTTATTCGTACGACCTTTATAAACTTGGCAAAATTTAATTACTAAGGCAGTGGCTTTTTATTTTCGCAAATATTTGAAGCAAGTCGTCAATTCTTATTATACTAATCAATGTTGTGTGCCATACGCAGGACTTATTTCTCTGAATTATATTTTTCAACACGCCGCGCAGAAAGTACGACTTTACTGTTCGAAAAATGCGCATAATTCATGCTTTCCGAACGTTGTTTTGAAAAATATCGTATCTGTATATAACATGCACTAATTAGGTAATGCACTATTATTTTATAAATCAGACTTCCTCTGTATTATTTCGCTAAATATTTCAACTATGCATCGAATATCGAATAAAGCTTCCGGGAATGCATATTATTATCACGAAATGAATGAAATTGCTACATTATTCTGGGAAATATTTTAATTATCTATCCACGATTGAATGAGACTTCCACAAAGGAACATTTTTAACAGAAAAATACGAAAGCACGTAAACAATTTACCAAATGTTATATTTGTTTTTAAATAGTTATAAATAATAGCCAACGTGAATTTAATTAGCACAGTAAGATAACTAAGCGAAGCAATAAAATAAACCTAATTGACGACACTACAAAATATTGAATTGGTAATAGTCGACATTGGAAAGGCGTAAGAAAAAATAAAGGAATACTCACCCCGTAGTTGGTCCTACCATGTCATTCCGTTTGGAAAACTAAAGCGTGCTGAAGCTCAGTGCTATGTCATCTCATTGGTTCGATTGTACAGCGAGCCCGAGTAAATGCTATATAGACACGAGCGGAGCCGCCGTCGCGGTGCTGGCGTTGGCGGTACGTGGCGGTGGCCCAGTCTCCGTCTCTGCGAACATGTATCTGGCGGAAGATCGATCTTCAATCCCCGAAATATGGCTCGCGTGTTGCCTAGTCATTTGACAGAAGTAGGCTTCTTCAAACAAGCTCGCGACACAGATCCTAGGATCCTAGCAGCAGCAGCAACACGCACCAACTTTTAGCCGACAATGCTTTACGGGCGTGCGTCGTTAACAAATTGACGCCTATCAATCGCTTCTCCTTTTTCACCACCACCGCCACCACCACCACCACCACCACCAATCTACCTTTCAAGCTTTGTACTTCTGATGAATTGAGCTTTCTTTTGTGAGCTGCGTGCTGTTTTCTCTTTCCTTTTTAGATTTTGCTCACAATCCTTATATTGTGTTTGCGCTACGATGCAAGGACGCGTGCCTTGACAAGTTTGATCGATTTCTTATTTAGAAATGTGGAGCTCTCTCTTTCTCTCTCTCCCTCTCTATTGATGTGACAGGCGACATATGAAGTGCTTTTTACTTCTGAATTTCGAACATCAAAACTTTCAACTACTTAAAAATGTATGATGCCATGCCAAAAAGCTTGTTTACAATTGTCGAAAAAGTAAAAATAATATTTTACAAAATTAGTCTCGATGTAACTAAATTAAAGTACTCTTTCGCATAATACTGTTATGATATAAATGAAAATTAAAAAGTATTTATAAATATGTATTATATATTTTTTATGCAGGATAGAATGCAGTAAAATAGAGCAGTTCAATTCAAAACTTTCGATTAAACATTCAAATAGGTCATCAAATTCACAAACTTTTTACGTATTTATAATTTTCCGTTCACAAAGCTTTTAAAACTGTTTCTATTAAAAAGTAACTGCTTTAGTAAAAGTCGTCAAAAATAACACTTATAAATATTGCAAAGATCCTCGAAGTTTCATCATTTCAATTTTAATGATCCGGCCTTGAAAACCTCATTTTTCCGAAAGCTATCGTAAAAACAAAATTTATTATACTCAAAAAGTAAAGATAATTTGAAATTATCACGTTTCTTTTTGAAATTGGAAAAACAAAAGGAAGGATTTATTACGTTGAGTTATCGTCGAAGTTTTAACATTCATATTGATACATATTCAAAATTTGAAATTGAGTTTTCAAATTGATTCAAAGAAACAATATAGATATTTTTGTTCAATAAACGTTTATTTATTTTCATCTATTAACCAATCGAACAACATATTTTATCAATCTAAACCACGCATGAAAATAATATATCGTAACAAATAATGGGCATTGGTTTTACAAAAAATCGAGGTAATAATCAAGAGGAAAACACACGTAGTGCAGCGAAGGAGCTTCTGCGCGCGTAGAGGCGTTTACGCGCCCATATACACCGTAAGCAAACATTAAATGTTCGATGGCAGATTGACTTAGGGCGAGGTTACAACTAGTTAGCTTTGCGTGCCTCGATTAGCTCGATCTCAAGAGCCGAGACGCCGGATTGCTTGATAGGCAGGTAAACGCCGCCGTAAACTTGCAAACCAAACATCGTCAGGTGGCCGAGATCCAGGGGCTCGGCGTCCTTGATCTCACGACCCCGGAAGTAAGCTTTGAAATTTGCCAGAGGCAATACCACCTCGCCGAAACTACTGCCAGACATTGGCGCCTCGAAAAATTGCTCGTACTCGATATCGTCGTTCGACGACGAATTCTTGTGGCGGAGCACAACTTTGTAATGGGAATTCTGGCCTTGACCACGGCATTTCATTCGAAATTCGTTGAACTCGCGCAAGTCCCACGTTACCGGCGTTCTTACCCCAGCGAAACCAGCGCCGTTTGGCTGTGGATTTAGTAGACTAAAAAAGATAGCGCGCTGAAAGACCTGTGTTTTTTGCAGAGATAGCACGGCTTTTGACATGCCCACCGTGCGCACCGTGTCCGAGATTTCTTGCCAGTCATCGACGTTGCTCGCTTTCGTGAAGTCGAATAGGATTTCGTTCCTAAAAAATTAGTAATCGATCTTTCGGAATATGCGTAACTTTACTTTTAGTTTTAATCTCGCAATAAATTAACGGTCGGGAAATGTTTTCTGTAATGATGGGGGCATTTTATAGAGTATTCGATGTATGCACGTGTCATATCATTTTTAATAGATATATAATTAGATTTCTCCATTTAAAAGCTCAATATTCAAAGTTTATTGTGCACTTATATAATTAAAGTTGTATGCCTATCCTTCCAGCTTACATAAGAATTGCGATGAGTCATTGTGGTAAGCAAGCTTTTTGTAGATTATTTAGAGGTGTATGATGCTTACCCATTAATTGGGTTCAATATCATGCTGCCAAACACAACACCAGCTACAACGTGAAGAAATCGCATTATTTCAACTACACTTGTTCCACCACTAAAGTACTCTATTATTCTTCTGTGACCATACGTGTATCACGTACGACTGGATGCGACCAGATGCTGAAACATAATAATGCTTTGTTTACACTATCAAGCTACGATTAATCACTTATACGCATGTCAATCGTTTACAAAGCGATAACAAATGAGTCAGTAAAAATCAAGTGAGAAACTCAACTAAACTCAACTAAGCATTCTCAGTCTTTTTATTAGCATTTGCACAGAAAGGTCCGTCACGAGAAATAGATGCTATAGATGTTTAACATAACTATTATCGTTCATTAAAATTACGTGAGTTAAAATAAATAAAACACGAATTTATATTGAATATTCTTAATATTAAACTAAACTTATAAAAGGTCGCGAATGTGAATTAGACTCGAGTATTCGAATTTTTGATAACATATTCAAAGCATAATTGTATATACTACCATAGTACGTTTTGATGCATTTTAAAAAACAATTTTGCGATTAAAGCGAAAATTTGCATGGATTTTATAAAGCATTTATTCGGCTTTGAATTTTTTACCTTCATCAAAACTAGGCTTGTTTTTTTCAGTCTTGTCAGTCATTGTCATCACGTTTTCTTTTGTTTTTCGTTAGTCTTTTTTTCCATATTGTTTATATTTACACATATAGATCGTATCGATAATAAACACATGTTTGTAAGTGATTTGTTTAAACATAATCACTTCTACAAAAAATTAATTATTTACGTGTTTTATTGATTTGAATAGTTTACATGACATTGTTGGACTTCGAACGTCAAATTCGAATCGAGCGGTTTCAGGAACTTCTAGTACGCGCATGCGTGGATTAGAAGTGACGCGAAGTTAGCTGCTGTCATTCTATACGTGCGATTAACGCTGCGAGCGATAGAAAAATATGGCTGCTAGTAGTGTGTATGTGATGAATTGCGGGAAGAAATTAAGTTAATTACTTAAAAATGAGTTCAGATACAGAAAATAGCGTTTCTTTTACCACAACTCCAGGTTTCTGCCCTGATTGTGGCTCTATTTTACCGCTACTCGGTGATCAAGGCGGCGTAACTTGCTATGCGTGTCGAAGGAATTGGGGACAAGAAGGTTTGTACTGAACTTGTTTAGTATCGCGTTGCAAATATTATTTAAATTATTTATATTTACAAGCCAACACTTTTCAAATATCTTACATTTTGATTTCTCACTACTGGTGACAGTTAGAGAATCTTAGCGATATTATTTTTAATTTATATCTGTCATGATATTGTTTTTTCAATTATCAAAAGAAATTGTTAAATAGAATCAATAGTTTATCCCAAATAAATAATTTGCATTTTATTTTCCTTCAGTATTTGGAGATATGGCTATGTCTTACACTATAACATTCAATAGCAAAGATACTTATGTGTCCGCTAAAGAAGCAGACAATGAGAATAAAGCTGATGGTCCTGTTGTTGATCGAAAGTGTCCTCAGTGTAATAATGATAAAATGTCATATGCTACTTTACAATTAAGATCAGCCGATGAAGGTCAAACAGTATTTTACACCTGTACAAAGTGCAAGTATGTATAAATACATTGATATATTTTATTTGATGTTATGGAGATAAAGCTATCAAATATTAATTATATTATCTTTTTCAGTTTTAAAGAAAGTGAAAATTCATAGTTATATGAGGATAAGGTTATTTGTATAAAAATAAACGATAATTTATTAAAACATAGAGCTTTATTTGTTTTACATTTAACAAATAATTGATGATTATACAAGCAGCTCTTTAAATTTTATTGTAAGTCTGCAGAAGCAGAGCTTACCAAACTCTACCTTGATTACGCTTTAATGAGGTGATCTGATATTTACACTATTTAAAGACTTCAAATATTAAAAGTTAACAAGTTTTTTTTGTAATAAATTTATTTTGATTAGTTGTCAAAAATGTTGTAATGGTCCTTGTTGGATTAAAAAATTGTGACTCGCTGAACCTGTTATATTTTTTATTTACAAATCCGTTATTGTGCAATATATTACATGTTTATACTTTAAAATGTGCACTTCACAGTAATGAAGTTTGACAAATCACGGTTTTCTCACTTTGCTGTATAAATAAAAAAATTCATCAAGGAATTTAAAGGGAAAATAATAAATGGCGTAATCATATAGATAATACACTTTATCCTAAACTTTAGCTAAAATATTTCATTTTAGATCGAATAAATTTAAAATATAACAACAACATATAGGAAATCTTTATTCATTGTCTTATACGACGTTGTACAACACATCAGTTTCTTTTTTTTATCTTTTACTTTTATAAAATTGAATAAAAAGCTGTATTACTTTGTAACAATTAGTAAGTACCAAGCTTTTTATAGCATTAAAATTCACTCGCTTCACATAATTATAGAAATCCTCTCGCATCAGATCACAAACTACCCTCACATTATTTCACATGGCAATATTGTAATTTTGTAATTCATAAAAAATACTTCTTTTTTTCATCACCTTTTTGAAAAATGTTTCGCTACATGCGATTTTTTTTTATCAACTGAAAAATGCTCTTTTTTTTTTTGACACCTGTATCGTCCTAAAGTCGACTATTTACACAAACAATCATGTTACAATATTGTACACATTTATGTACAAATCATACAACCCATCCAACGGCGAAAAAAGCTATTTTCCACTCATGACGATGATTTGAAGCATTCATCAAGGAAATTCTCCATCGAATGATATAAGTGAAGGCGCATTCGTGCGATATCGTGAGTTTCGTCGGTGTATGTCTGAAAAAATGAAATTAATTTCAATTAATCTGCGAGAAAATTCAGGGCGTTGCAATAAAAATGCTATTAAAATGTTTTTTATTTGAGAATTTCATACGATTAAATAAAAAAATATATTACGAAAATAGAAATGATAAAAGACGAGAGGAAAATAAAATTGTGAATGAACGTGACATCTATCGGTATAACAATCTAGGATAAAGTACCTGCTGCCTGAACAAAATATCCTTTTGTTCGAGCATCTTGGCAAGCAGCATAGATTGCTGGTAATGTACATTGTCGTCAAGTGTACCGTGTATCAGGTAGTAGCCTTTGTGCTTAATATTGTCGACTTTATTGAGTAATTGGCTCTGGTCATATCCGCCGAGGTTGTCGGCGACGTTGGGTAGACCCATGAATCTCTCGGTGTAAACGGAATCTGTAATTAAAATGCGAGTTTTATTAATTAATCAGTTTCGCGGGCTACACATAGGGACGCAACGGAGGATGAGAGAGAGAGAACGCAGCACATTATGCTGCAGGCGAGCAAGATTAATGAGTTTTCTTTGCGGCAACGTAAAGATGAACAAAAAATAAAGGAAAAGTCGGGTCTGGCCAAGTTAAGGCAAAAGAAGGGAGCTTCTTTGACGACTGGCAAGCGCGCACGATTTCGTAGTAATAAAGACTACCGAGAGAGACTTTTCCACTTTTCCACGCGCACCTGCTATAATTAGTCGGTGTTAAATAGCCCTTTCATAAGATTCGAAGGAAAATATACGGGCAGCGCTAATATTGCCTCTATTGTGCGACCGCCATCCCTTTGTTTTTTTCTCTGTCTGCGTTGTTAACTCTGCCACTGCTTTTATGTTCATTGTCGACTCGGCAAAAACTTTTGATTATTTTTCACGAAGAAAGCACTGTTTTTTCCCTCGTTCTGCTCATTCTCGTTCCCGAGCAAAAGGAAAAAAAAAGAGCATTTCAATTAGTTCAACGAACCGAGAGTCCGTTCGCGTAACTAATCGAGGCTAATCAGCTGCGTTAGTCGGCAGGGAATAACTCTTCGCAGTTCGTCAAGCATGCACTAGCTACCAGTGAGCTTTAATTATATTTGAAGGTGAAATTCAGAGAAAAACAGTCTATTGTTTTGAACCAGCGTTCTTTTGATGTGGCATCTCGAAATAAGCAGAAAAGAGCGAAATACATTGTTTCCCGTCTTCAGAGCGTAGGAGACGTCAAAAACACCGCGATTCTGAAAATGAGGGTAATTTAGCCTTTCATTCTTTATAACATTTTTACGCGCGAGAGGGGAGGGCATTGAAAAATGCATAAAGCGCGCGGTCGTATAAAGGAAGAGGAAAGAAGGGCAGCGAGTATAGGTATACAGCGGTAGCCTCCTCGGGGTTGAGTTGGGGAATGTATGTAAGAATCTCGGTAGCGACGACCAGCAGCACCAGCGGCAAGAGCGAAGTTGGCGAGTGATACGGCGAGCCATCAAAAGCAGAGCGTGCCTCGGCGCACTTACCGTAAAGCGTCCAGTCGGTCACGGGTGCAACTGACAAGCCGCATTTGAAAATCCCGTCGAAATCCATTGCCAGTGCCATCCCCGTCGCGTAGCCTCCGTAACTCCAGCCCCATATTGCTGTTTTCGTACGGTCGATGAACGAATGCTCATTCTGCAAATGCCTGTAACAATTCAGCAATTGAATCATATAGACTTTTATTTTGCTTTTTTTTTACAAAGAATATTATATTTGTCCATTAATTATCAAAATGAAGAAATAAGGTCATGTTTTCGGAGCTTCCATACATCGCTGGTCTTCTTTTTCACTTGGAAACGCGCAGCGATGAACAACCTATCTATTCCGAGAAAACAGTGGCATTTGATTTCGGCAAACTAATAAGTAGTACAATACAACACTCGTTCAACAGAGGCAAAGTTTGATGAATTACGGTGTACAAGCGAACAGCGTCCAAAGTCCAACAAATTGTGCGAAAGGTTACGAAGGGGACTTGAGAAACCACTTAATTAATCGAATAAAAACTCGGCGAGAAAGAGGAATTAATTAAAACAAGTTCTCGAGATTCGGCGTCGCTTGAACCAGCAAAATCCCGTACTTAGCGAGGAGCTCACAATGGTCAAAAGTTTGCCTAGTTATCTCTCAATCGATAGAATTGTACGCGCGCAAAGGGGCCCCTCCAAGAGTGCATTTGTCAGTCGACTTGAAAATAATAGAGATCGTCGATGTTGTGGCTGGTTTTATGGGCACGCCTATTCGCGGTGGCGAAGCATATAACTACGAGCCGTTGTAGCGGCGCGACACTCAAATCCGAAAGTCATTTCAGTAGAGAGTCCCGAGAACATCTTTGCCCGCGGCGACGATCTGCTAGATTGTAGTTCCGTAGATGGTGTTTTCCTTTTTTCATTCTTTTAGGATTTTCTGCGAGTCCTGCGCGACAGAAATCGATCGACTCAATTTCCTCAATCCCTTGACATTTTCTTCCGAATTCAAATTGCTTCTCTCCTTTATCCTCTGATTGTAGCCGTCCTTCGAGATCGCTTCTGATGACTACCTGTCGACGCGTGGATTCGAGCTAGCCTCTCTTCAATTCAAGTGATCTCGCGCGCAAGCGAACACTCCCCGCAAATTACATTTTCTCAGACCCTTTGCGCCGATTATAAGCCTCGATGAGTACTCGACAGAAGTTTTGGAGCGACGCGGATGTTGATTTGATAGAGATTATTTTTTAGGCGCGTTTTGTTGGCTTTATATGAACGCAAATAAACACAGAACATCAAGTGTATGGGTGCGGAATGTACACTTTATACATTCTGATAAACTCTCGCTCTCTTTTACATATACGGTGCAAGTCTGTATTTGAGCGATAACGCAACCAGCATGTTGAATATGCATTATTAAAATGAATGTAAATATCATGGCAACATTCGAAGTGAAAAATGAAATTTGAAAAGCACTCGGAAATATAGGTTATATATTGAAGCTTCGATGTATTTCGACAGATAATAACGTTTATAGCGTTGTGTACCCAGTGTGCACAACAATTTCATTTCGATGGATTCACTACTAAAGTCACCTGCAATTGCGACAGTGGAGAAATACCAAAACTCGAAAGTGTTTTCAATAAAAATTAATAGACATTGCAGGCGTAGCTGGAGTACACGCAGTAGACTAGTCCCGACGCAACAACGCACAGCCGTCATAAATCTGAGCGCGCGCACGAGAGATAGAGAGAGAGAGAGAGAGAGGAAAAGAGAAGAGTGCAATCGATATATCGCGGAACAACTGCGAAATGAAAAGCAAAGGAGGGAGATGGGAAAATGGACTGCGCGTTGCCGCTTGGAAAATGTCGAGCTTCCGTCGAACTTGCTGAGGCTTGAGTGCGATGATATATCCTCTCGCTCGCTATTCTCGGGGCGTGACCCTGCTCGGCGGCAGCGTCGGCGGCTCGGCTGTTTTGCTGGCGCCCGCGAGAATTGGACAGCAGCCAAGCGATTGCGCAGCACGTCTCTTTGACGCAGCCGCCGCCGCCACCGTCGCCGTCGTTGCATCTCGTTTCGCGCTAAACATTTCACGCGAAACAGAATCCGAGAGTTATCCCTAACTAGCCATCCGAATTATCACTCGACATGATCGCCAGCAGAAGTATAGATATTCTTAGAGAGAAGCTTGAGCACAACTGCGAGGACCAAGCTTATCACGAAAGCACCGAGTCTTACGCTGGACTGGAGTTTGCTTTACGCCTCAGAAGCTTCATTCATTTATAATGCACTTTTACTCAAGGGCGACGATTTCCGCTCGGTGTTATAGCTCTTTCTACTTTTCCTTTTACTCTGCAATTATATAGTTTGGGGAGGATATTTTACGAGCGATTTCACGCAAGATTTGGACAATGACAAAGTTACCACGTCGAAAGTTATCGAAAAGTCGCGTTTGGTCAGACCTGAGCCTTTTGGAAAAGCTATTTACGCGACTAAATAAGAGCATCGTTTTTCCTTGCTTTTACACTGTTATTTTCGAGAACAAGTTAAAAGCTAGATAGCAAAAAAAAATTGTCGACGTTGTTACTTTCATAAAACTTTGCCAAGCCTAAAAGAGTTTGGCTACATTTTCCATTTTCCAACTTTGCACATAGTGAGCGTCGAGGAAAAAGCAAACAAACAAGAAAAAATCGATATTCATTTTACGGATACAAGACACCGTTGTTGCAACTACGACGAGATGTGTACGGATATAGGCTTAAAAGAGGGCAAGGAAAAAAAGAACCCGTTTAAAAGTTGAAATGCGACGCCTACGAGCCTCCTCGCCTCCTGCTCCGGGTAATTTTCTCTGAATATCAGAAAGCTCTTTTCGTTGAAAATAGAATTGAGCCCTATCTTGGAAAAAGGAATCGAGTGTTAAATCCGTTAATCTTTAAGTTGACTTTTTGGCAAAACGTAGGTTTCCGAGGGATGCAAAGCTATCGTAATAAATGACTGTTGAGTAGGAGTACGCGGCGAGGCGTCGGTGTAAGATAGAAGCTTCGATAAATAGAGACGAAGTTACGAGCAATTTTCTTCTTGTTAACGTTGTTCTTATCCCCAGGAGGAGAGAGAGAGAGAGAGAGCAAGAGCTCCTCGCGAGCCTAGAAGAAGTTAATTTAACGTGGGATTGAGCTTGTTGGAAGTTAGTCCTTGCGCACGGATCAGAAGGATTATTGCGCGAGGTAGGTGTAGCACATGCTCGTTCATTAGCTTCGGCGCGCACGTGGCGGCAAAGAAAGAACTCTCGCTTTACTTTCTTTTTGCAGTTGTGTCGCCGCGGCTAAGTGCGTTACTCTCGCAGTATGCGCACAGTTGCCCTTGCCGCAAACTTCCCCTTTACGCTCGTGCCACACATACACATGCGACTTTCGTCGGCAACTACGCCCAGGACACTGCACATAAAAGACGGGGCACAAAGTCGTTTGTCGAGTATCGCATTGTGCGTCTCGCTCGGATTGATACGCTTCCGTTGCGATGATTGCCGACGGAAGTCGTCTCGGCCTCGCGTATATAATTGCTCGTCATTTATTAATTGCGTTTCACTCAAGTTTGTGGCTTTTCCAGAGTCAAGCCAGCTAGATTGCAATTGTCAGTGCCTTGCCGATGTGGCCTTTTCAACTTACCGAGATTGCTTTACTAGATTGAACTAGATTACTAGCTGACTTTGATTGGTTTGCGTAGCAATTCATCGGCGATAATGCGTTCAGCATCGATTTCATCTATAATTATTGTTCTCCGCGCACGCTCGACCGAAACACATTACCGTAGCGTTATATAACATCAATGTTGACAATGACGAAGCTTTAAACTGTAATATTCTTACCTTGTCACGTTTATTTGGTCCGCGATTTCGACAGTGCCGAGATTTCTGTAAACTGCAAACATCATACTGTTGCCTTTCAATCCAGTACCTCTTCCATCAATTGACGCGTATATGATACTTTTGTTAGTAACCAAATATGATCCCCAGTCAATATTGAATTTCTCCGTAACTTCGTTCGTATCTGGACCGCCATATCTGCAAAAAAGCATGTAAATAAACGTACGTCAACCAAACATGCGGCATGGAAAAAGATTGCAGGGCACAATCCGTTTGCAAGGAGGTATAGCACGCGGAAAAATGTACATTCATTAAAAAATATACGGATAGGTAAATTCTTAAGAGTTGCGGGCACCTTTGTTCTGCTCGTTTATTTACGTGTCAAGAGAAAACATCTCGGTTGATCAAAAGACGAAAAAAAAAAAAAAAAAAAGAAACAAAGTAAAGAAACAGAGAACTATACACTGGCCCGCAGCACATCAGCAGTTTCTATTTCTCGAGAGCTCGTTTCCTGATTCTCTTTTCCCGACCTCTATTTTTACTTTGATTTTTAAGGCTGCGCCTGAAGCTTTCCGGCGCCCAATTGGGCTTGCGCCGTTTTCCTTGTACACATACATTAAGAATCCTTTGAGTTTTTTTTTTCACCTATTTCGTCGCATACTTTTGAAACGTCTTTTGGTCGACGAGAATTCCCTACTTGCGCTGACATTGTTACGAAATGAAAATAGCAAAAGGAAAAAAAAATAGTTTAAAATAGGCCTGATAATTGAAAGCTGATGTCCGTTGGAAAAAGTCGATGGACTTTCAATGGAAAAAAGTAGCTTTTATTTGTGGCAAGGCAACTCTAATATCAACAGTGGCAATCTCGTTGCGCTGACATTTATATTAGAAAAATTCCAATAAACGACATATTATGCTTTCAAAAACGCCTTATATCTTCTTCGACGTAGCATAGTTATTTTCAGTGGAGACTCTGGCCTGGCGGTTGGCGGCCAGAGTACTCGAAAAACAAGTAGAGCGTATGATCCCAACTTGGAGCACTCGTTGAAACTTATTTTAAAATTTTTTTTCCGAACTAATAAGCTTGAAGAATATTTCGCAGAGACAGCGGCGAGTTGCATTGCTAAGTTCTCAAGTGAAATAAATGGGCAAACTGCTCGCAAATGCGATGTTGGCACACAATTTCAGGAGAAGGAAGAAGCCTTGGGAGTGTGCTCACTACTCAGCGTAAGTTTAGCCTACAACTACAGACATGCAGATTCTTCTAATGAAGTAGGACGTAGTTACGAGGCTGAAGTAGGATTAGCTGAGTTGCAGCTATGCGCACTATTAGTTGCGCAAACAAAAAACTCCGGGCTTTTAGATTCATCAGAGGGCTAACATTTTTTCCCCCCGATATATAAGTGGGATGCGGGTATAATCAGTGCTTTTTATGCAGACGAATGAGATTTTATTCCGGTTTCCTTTGCCGGCTGCTTTTGCGCGGATAATCCAGTGATAGGCGCGGGAAATGAAGGAGCGAGACGCTCGCGAAAGCGGATTACCATCCGAACGCGTAGCGCGGAAGTAGTGTATGCATGCAGCAAGGACGCACTTTCTTCTTCGCGAAAAGAGGAGAGAGAGAAAATTTTGTTTTCGGCGCTAAAACCCAGCGCCAGCGCGCGCGCCACGACGAATAAAGCATAGACGGCATCGCAAATCTTGGCTCTAGCCGCATATAGATACAGCGCCTGAGCTTTTGAGCCAGTCGACGCTTCTTTACGGCTCTCTCTCTCTCTCTCTCTCTCTCTCCTTCTCGCTCTTTCAGCGTTATCTGGATCTTTGAGAAATCCTTTAGCAGCGCACCGCCGTCGACCAAAAGAAATCATCGACGCGCGCGATCCCTCTTTTGAGAACTCGCCATTTTCGCGAGGCGCCCAAGGAAATTTGGCTTTCCAGTGACGCGGCAAAAGCCACACAACCTTCCTACTCTCTCTTTCGAAGCGATTGTCAAGTGAAACTTTTGCACTTGCGAGCTCCCACTTTTCTTTTTTTAATGTGTTTTCAGGTGAATTTCGCGTTGTCAGCCAGAGAATAAAGTTTAATGAATGTTGAGAGCGCAAGAAGAGAAATATGTCGAAAACTAATCTCGCCTAACTTCGTAATTGGATTAGCAACTTTAATGAGGCCCTCTCTTTCTCTCTCTTTAATACATAGAACGAAAGTGTTATATCTAGTTGTTTAATAGTTCAAGAATTTTCAACCACTTTAGGCTCTTTTATACAATGAGAATTGAGTTTGTAATTAAAACTGTTGAAGAGATGCATAAGTACATGTTGAAAAATTTCTTTTTTTTCTCTTTATTTCACTTGACTTTCAACTTGTTAGTAAAAAAGTTTTCCTTTCACTGAAAAAATCAGCATGATTTAGTGAAAAAGCTTGAAGCTCATTCAGTTCTTGAAAAATATTTTTATAAATTTCTAAGGAGTCCGAGAAGGCTGTAAGATTAGAATATTTATTTCGATAAAATTAAATCAATATCAACTGATTCTCGGTGCAGAACATACGGAATAATTTTGGGGCTTCGTCAATTTATAAAAGAACTTCAACCGTATTCGTCTCGCATCTGACCTAAACGGAATTTCTACAAGTTTGTCCTATAAATAACTTGAAAACCAATAAAGTCTTTGAAATATTTCACTCGTTGACAGTTAGTTTTTCGAAAAATGAAAAATTAAAAAAATTTTGAATCCAAGCAGCGAGCCAAAAAACAAAAAAAACAAATGCTGGTGTTACAGAAGCTTTAAATACGTTTTTCCTAGGCATCAAGCGGCGGCATCAAGCTGCACTCCTATCTCTCATTTTTTCTTTTTTACATTTACCTTTTTCCATCCTCATTCTTTGCTGCCGAGACTCTTTTTCTTTTTCTCTTTCTCATTGGTTCTTTTGTATCGAGTATGTGACGCGTTCCAGCGACACGACGCTCAGTAACTGTGCGAGTATTTTGCCCTGAAAGAGTAGCGGATCGAGCGTGGAAGAATGGACTTTTCTTTTCAAGTTCAGAGGAAGCCAAGCGGATTAGCTAAGCGTAATGGATCTGATGGTTGACAGGTCGAAAAACAGATTGACGCATAATCACACATCGTGGATCAATGGGCTGTTCTTATAGCTGTACAGGGAGCTTTTGCGCGGCAAGTGGTTTTGCTAGTAAAGTTTCAGACATTCCAAAGAGTCATAGGACATTGGAATGTGAAAATGGGGGGATATAAAGTGTGTGTGAGAGAGAGAGAGAGAGAGAGAGAGAGAGAAAGGTCGAGTTTTAAAATGAAGTAACTTTTTCTCGCGACAGAGCCTGGAGGAAATTCCCATATTTTTCTCGAGCTCGAGCGTTGCTGGGAATTCGAGCAGATATAGTCTATATTTACAGAGGCAAGAGTTGTTTTGCTGACGCAAAAATGCCAAGCAGCTTGCACTTCTTTCTCTCCTCTATGCCGCCGCTAAGTTGAGCAAGTCACTATGCTCGTATTTATTCTACAGGACAAACATTATGTTGTTGCTTTGCGCCCGCGGATTCGGGCTCGAGTACAATCGCTATTTGTGCAAGGCTCAGGCAAACAATACCAATCGCCGACAATTCCACACGTTTCGTATTTGAATTTCGACGATGAAATTTGAATGTCGATTCGCGCACTGCTAGACGCCGGCGAGCGGCGCTCCGAAAGCAACGCTGGCCGGGGGGAGGGGTGCGGATTCAATAAGAAAAGTATAATGTTTCGCGCGTCCGAGTTGGTCGCATCGCAGTTGCGGCCGATAAGCCGCTACTCCTCTCCTTCCCCCGAAAAGTTTAACGCTAACGGCGTTTTGCCACGCGGACAGTCTAAAAACGCCGCTGCCATTAATACGTCCGCAAAACACACAAGCGAGTGCCGGCGAGCGGGCGGAAATTTCAATTCGCAGTTAATTAAGTTGAAAGGAAAAGCGAGAACAAGCGCGGACGTCCGCCTAATTAAATAATAACGCGGGCTAAAATTAATTTGATATATTCGCGTGGCGACTGCGCGACACCGTTCGTTTAGCGCAAATGACCCGGCCGCCAAGTTTTTGCTCGCTCGCGCGCGCGCCAAAAAGTTATATCCGCGCCGCCTACAAATTAGACATTATAAGGATTTACGGAGAAAAGTTATATCGGCGCGCCGCTGCTCCACGCTGATAGTGAATTTTCGGCAAGAGGGTACCATTCGCATGCCGAATAATTTCTTTTTTCCCTCCCGCAGAGCCGCTCGTAAATAAAATTCCTCGGATTCTCCGAGCTTGATGCCAGTCGTGGCGCGCTGCCGGAGCGTCTTTTGCCTTCGGATTCCGATGTATGCCGACGCGATTATCGGCCGCATGCGGGAAAAGCCTTTTTTTACCGTGGCATTACTTACGCGCGGCCGAATTATTTGGATTTTATCTCTCTCGGCCAAAAGTGGATGGTCCCCTCCGCCATACGGCGTTAAAGTGCTTGCCGATAAAGCCGATTTCATTCGTCCCGCTGCTTTATTTTCATTTGATAACTCGAGCTCAGGAGTACGCCATATTCGTTTCGTCGACTCGACGTTACATTGATTTGCACGTCGAGAACGCTGGCGTATTGTTTTGTGAAAAATGTTCACTTTCGAAACGGCGCGTGAGCGACAGAATTTTCGTTCCAATTAACATGCAGTCATTTGTACAATGAAAAGAAATAAATAAGAAACACGAGCCCGCACAAATAGCTCACTAATTCATTTAAACTTGAGCAAATATTTTATTTAACAAACGAGGATATCAAGTGATACTTACACAAAGACTAACATAGGATATTTTGTTTTTCCGGACAAGTCGGCGTTAGGAGGCAGAAGCAATTTAACCTGAGCTTCGAAACCTCCAGGCACTGGTACGGTAAATCTCTTTACTATCGGACGAGACTTCTCGAGAATGATCTCCGCCACGGCTTTATTACCCTCCCACGTATACAGTTTCGTTGAGTTCTGCAACAGAAAGAAGAAAATCACAACAACGTGTCTTGCGCGACTATTTATACATCCAATTTCGATGGCATTATTTTCCGTCTCGAATAATTAACGTAAGGCAAACACTTGATCTCGCTTTCTGCCGTTTTTCTTCCGAAATCTTTCGTATATCTCAACGTTACACGAAAGAGCAATGCAAATAGTTATTCAGCCAATGCGAGGAAACGAGCGTCAATATTTAAACGCAAAGGAGAAAGGGCAGAGAAATTGATACGGATGGTTTTGCGGCTGAGCGCGAAAGACTGATGAATATCGCAAAAATTCATGCTCGTGTGAGCATAGATGGGAAAAAACTGTACGAGCCACAATGGCAAAATGATGTAAAAAAACCGAGCTCCATTCGTTTAATAAAAAACGTTTCTCTCGCTCGATAAATCATGTTGTTTTTTTTTACTGTTTTTACTGTGTATCAAGCTTAGTAATTACGAAGGAAATTCACGTAAAAACATTGCCAGCCTAGTCGTAATATCTTCGAAGAAAATAACTCGAGATGCGTATTGCAGAAATGAAATTTCGTTCGCAAAAATTGGACCAACATAGGGTATCATTCAAAAAAAGTTTCATCTATTTCAGAAAAAAATTCGTTGCTAAACCAATATTGGAAATCGCAATCAATCGCGATGAAAATTACCACAGCCGATATTCTAGTAAAAATATATTCTTCCTCGCTAGCGTAAATGAGTTTATTTGGGGGACGAAAATAATTATCAAAACTAGAAAACTGGATCAACCGATCCGAACAGTGCAGGCTAAGCTAGTGAAAAAGCAGCGAAAAAAAAAATCAGAAAAAGTACCCGCTCAGCCCGCGTGTACACGTGTATATATATAAGCATCGGCGCGAAGCATCAAAAGGGATTAACTGGTAAAAGTGGCCATTTATCAGCTAGCCAAGCCTCACGAATTTACGTGTACCGTGGAAAAATCCGAACGGACGCTCGTATTTCGCTGGTGGCTTTTTTTTCTCGTCCTCCACTCGACCGTGCAACACCTGTTACCTGCTGGTGCAACTTTGCTTCGGGAGCTTAGAGCCATGAGTCTACTCGCTTAACTTGGCGAGCCGCAACGAATAATTGAATTTGACGGGCGGGGAGTGCGGATGCGCGGCTCAAAAATTTGATTGCAGCACCGAAAACCAGGCTGTAAACACGAGCTGTTGAGCGTGGAAAAAAAAGAAGGGAGAGGACCTCGATATTCAACGCTTGTGGCTTGCGAGTTTTATAGCCTTCGGTACACACGCGTATACGATCTCGGGGCTACACTCGCACGTGACTTCTTTTCTTCCGCGCTCTCTCTCTTCCTCTCTTTCTCTCTCCGCTCATAAACGCTCTGGCCAAAAATTGAACGGCTTCTCGGTTTCTCTCTCGCCTTTTTCGCTCCCTTATTTTCCGACTGTTCCCTCCCGTGCTTCTTTCTTTTTGTTGCTCTTTCTTTGACTTGAAAAACGTTTATGACCGTGCTTTTTAGAAAACTGTTGAGAGTTTATTTTCTTTAGCAACGACTATAACTTTTAGCACGGTATGGTGCTGCTTTTTAATAGTGTTTTCAAAGTGACCGTTCTCCCCGCGGAAATTCAAATTGCTTACGATAATGCGTTGAATTCACCGAGTGTTATCGTTATTGCGGTTCACAGCTTTTAAAAAACATACTTAATTTACCGATAAATATGCAAGTGGAAAAATCATGAAGCCGCAGTGTACGAAACTTCGGTGTTAGAATTTATTTGCATAATTAGTGCGATATTGAATTTTGATATTAACTTGACGCAATTTGCATCGTCATTCGAATTGGAATATTATTCGCTGTGAACTGATTATGAAGACATTAAACTCTACTCGCAATCACTCAAAGTAATTGCAACGTCATATCTACGAGTCATAAAGCCTAAGGTACAAGAACGGCATTGACAAAGAGCACACTGGTCTCATTGTGTGGGGAAGGTGAAAAATTGAATTTTCACGAAGGGAAAACATGTCATCAGTGCGACGATGGCAGCGATAAATCATCAGCAGAGCTGCCGCGGCAAGGAATGTGAAATATCACAAATGTTCCTCCGCGATATAATAGAGAATAACGCGCTTGGATTTATTTTTTGCCCTTACCCTGTTATGAATTGTGATTTCCGGAATTCCAGGACCAGCGCACGTGAGCACGTAGTGCGAGTTGTCCTTGGAGAATTCTGCCGAGTTGTATAGGCAGTAACTGGAGTCGGATTCGCTCTTGATTCCGCAACTCAGGCAATCGTTGCTACCGCGACGATTTCGATCTAGCAGTGAAACTCGATACAAGTGCTTTTGGCCAGGATCCTCTGCTTTCGTCGCCAGATAGTATCTATAGACACACAAAGTTTAACCATCAAGTTTCGTCATGGAAGAGCATTTCATGTCAAAAATAATTCAACCTTTCTGATTTATGTGCGTTGTTCGCTCATAAACATCTTTCCATTACAACTGGTTTTTTCAAATTTACGATGCATTATCAAGAAAGAGAGCGAAACCATCAATTTTTCACTCTCTTTATCTCACATCGACTTTCAGGTAGTTATAGTAAATAAAGTCACAAAACATGCGTATAGAGAGGCGCAAAATATCGATGCGAATTGCGGAATTATATATAGATAGACAGAGAGAGGTAGTAGCTCAAGTCATAAAGCCCGCACGTTTGCTTTCAGTGAAAGGTAGGAAAATTACAGGAAAGTAGAAACGGGGAGATACAACTGCGTGGAAATATAAAAGGGTTAATAATCCACTCGTAAATTCATAATTAGGCGCACTGCCAGTGGGAGTTCTCGATATCGGATTGGTGAGTCTCTCGCGTCAGATGTAAAACGAGCGCGGCGACAAAAATAAAAAAAAAAAAAAAAAAACAACAAAAACAATGAAAAATGAGCTCACGCGCGGCGTTACTGTCTTTTATCGGCCGCAAAACGCGCGCCTTATCAGACGCGCTGCGCACGCTGTAAATTACTTTGCGTTTTCTGGCTAGCTTTTGTGTTTTTGTTCTCGGCTGCGAGCAGCGTGCAACTGCTCGTTCTCATTTTTTCGTTGTTTTGTCCTCTCGCGCGTGCGCGCGCAAAGCCAGAGGACAAAGGCAACTTTTTTTTTTTTTTTTTTATTAGGGGAATTGTCGCGAACGGAGCGCGCTTCATTCATCTCGCTCGAGTGCTCAGCCAATTTTTGCCATTTTTCGCGCGCGCGGGCACGCAATTGTTTATTTGTGTGTTTTATGGCTCGCCGTGCGCAAGCCTGCATTCAAAAAACTTTTCGGCCTTGATTGTGGCCATTACGCGAACGCCTATAGTGCGTTATCCGCGTTTGCGAGCGCCTCTCTACACTGTGGGATTGCGCGTATTGTGTTCGCGAATTTTGCACCTTGCAAAACTTCATGACAGATTATTGCAAACATTTACAATTATTATTTTGATGACGTGCACTTTCACTGTATATAATTGGTACTTTTCGCTCGGACGTTTAATCGTTAACCAGATTCATTAAAGCACTGGCAATCAAAGTTTATTAGTTGTTATACTCGTTCAAAATTATTTAAGATGAATAGTTGAAATTATTATTCCAATAATAATTTATTTGTAACGAAGTCTTATTATTATTAGCATTGCAATGAGACACAAATTAAGTGAGTTTACAAATTAACTGAGCTTATGCATAAGAAGTTCATTATTTAAAATCCACACTAGCACAGTGTCGATCAAAAAGTTTTTAACCTGTCAAATTAGTGTCAAAAAGTTTTACAATTTACCAGCGCGTCCAGTAGGCCTGCTGTATTTTTGCATGACTGATAGATGAGATTACTTAATCTTCAAAATACGATAAAAAAGTAACAGTAAATACATACGATCAATTTTATAAACTTTTGGTAGTTGAGTTTGAAATTTCTCGATTGTGTACCGGAACAGGTGGATCGAAAAAATTAATAAAAGTGCTAGTGAAAAGTGTTAATGAAAAGTCGCGCGAAAGGAAGTAGTAAGGGAAAAATGAACGTTGCCGTTAAAGAAAAAATCTACCGCGAAAGTTTTTCTCCGAGCTTCCTTACTTTAGCCAGGTCGGCGAAACAGTTCTCGATTTCCTTTCCTCGTGAAACTCGAGAAAAGCTGCCTCGTAATTCGATCCACGAAGATAATGGTTTAGGAGACGCTGCACTATATACCGCGCTCGTATGCTTACCTTCTTGGCGCTACGGTTCACGCGTTAATTCCCGTGCGCCCTTTCTGCCTTGCGATCGATCGGTCGTTACTCTCTCTCTCTCTCTACCTGTCTATTCGCGATCATTATTCAAGATAATGCTTTACCGGGCTTTGCATTTTCAATGCGTTCTGAGCCGATTTTCAGAGTGTAGCTATTTGCTTGATTTTGCAAATTGCATTGCGTTTATCCGATGACACTGCGATACGCCAGAAATGGTTCGCTTTTCAAAATGATAATCGGCAAGAATTGTACCAACGGTGTCAATTATCTGGAAAATTGCTTTACTTCGGATTTTGCCGTCGACATTTACATTTTTCCCTAGTTGTATCGCTAATTCGAATTGATCAGTTTCTATTAACAATCGCCCCTTTGCTAATGATAAATAAATCCACAAAATACATGATTACTTGAATTTAACAGTCTATACAAAAGATGCAACATGCGAAATTAAAAGAGATAATTCTTTAAATAAGTATACAGCGAAATTAAGGATGTGTGAAAATAATGCGAAAACGAATAGGCCTTATTACTTATATGATATAAAAAGACCGACATTTATAATTACAAATAATCACGTGACACATAAAAAAAGCTTTTAAATTTGCTGCCTACTTAAATTAATAGTGTTTATTTAAGTAGCGTTCCAGAATTATATATAAATAAATTCCAATGAATTCGACACGTATTATTTGTGTGATTGTCATACGCTCAATTTTATTGTGGAACTGAAAATATTTTAGTAAAAGAAAGAACAAATAAATACAAATAATTTTTTTTAATAAATGAAACAATTTTGCATGATCAGCTTCAATTTCATTAACAAACTGACAATATTTTATTAAAAATGCCAAAAAGATTTTAATCAAACAAAGTAAACAATTGACAAAAGTGCACGAAGATTATAAAACCGTCATCAATTGAGTGCTATCATACATATTGATAATATTCCCAAAAATAAATAGCAAACAAAAGCTTTCGCGAACATAGAAAGTCCGTATATCTTGAAAGAGTTTGGCGAATATTTGAGAATGAAAAAAATTAAAATAAAGTAGACGCCAGTTGGCAATTCAATGAATCATACGCAAGACGCCGGAGGGTACGAGTGGGGGGGGGGGGGGGCGCTTTCACGATTGAAACGGAGCATGATGCATCGTCGTCACAGCGTGAAAAACGCTCGGCATTAGAGTGGCCGCGTACTCGTGCAAAAACTCTTTTCTCTATCTCTCTCTCACTCGCTCGCTACGCCGAGGAAACATACGCGTGCGAGCTACCGTATAAATATTTTATCCACGAATCTTCTCCGCCGTAGAGTTGGATCGATCGCCGCGGGGCGAACTAATTCACGCGTTGCTTAGCATATTATTTTCTTTCGCGTACGGCAGCGCTTATAAATGCTTCAGTCTAATTGGCATTCGTAGGCATCACGTCGACACCCACTGCAGTAACATGTTTGGATTTTATGTTATACGCTCACAGGCTGTTGACTCTCTTAGACTGTACACGAGCGTGAACTCTTCGCTCGAATGAGTGGCCTCTCGTGTTATTAATTTTCTTTCTCGCAATCCACATTCGCCTCGTTTGGAAATAAAGAAATCTTTCAATGAATCAACCAACTCCTGTACTGAGATGTTTATTTTTGTTTTCTCTCTCTGTGGAGCTTTTATGCGCATGCTATTTGTAATGCGGAGTTATGCTTACGAATGGTATGAACTTTTCAAGCAATCTCGCGACGCTTTTCGATTTACAGCCGTGGATAAGGCGAACGAAGTGTGCAAGTCCGTAGGCTGGCAAGGAATCGCGAGGGCAAAGAGGAAGAGAGAGAGAGAGAGAGAGAGAAAAAGAGACAACTCTTGCAGCGAGAAATGCCAGAAAATCACGCTTGCGAACACGCGATAACTGGGTAATTCGGTGAGAGGCGCAACGCACTGGGTCGCCTTTCTGTCAAAACTTTCGCCACTAGTTCACTGATTTTCTCTCAAATACTGATTACTTCCCCGAGAGCGAGAGAAACAAAAAACGAAAACTTGAAAAGCTGCTCGATTTTAGCTTCCATAATAACATATTCACTCATTACGTGCTATGAGTTTTTTAATGTTAATGAGCTTCTACTCTAATCTAAATAATCTTCATGACATTTGTTATATTTATTTTAAGTAATATTGTTGTTTTATTGTAAGTTTTGTTTCGTATGTGTTTTATTCAAATGGCTTTTTCCTCACCTACGACTGGGGTTTTTTATGCCGGCTGAATCTTAGAATAATTCATATTAATAAAGTAAAGTGCTTGTTGATTGTTTAAATTCTGACTTTTATTCCTTATCATCACGAATTCAATTTAGAGTTGAGACTTATAGCATTAAGGATATTTACATTCTGCCTAATAATCTAACTAAAACTAAACATATGCCGAGGCAATTATATATTTGAAATTCTCAAAAGTAGCAAATGCCTGATATTGAAAGTATTAACGTTTTAGGATTGTAAATAATTTTATGGATCGAGCTCTTTCGATTTCAATCAGTAAGTATCATTATGCTGATAGGATTGCAACTCTATTAAATGCAGTGAATTGAAGTCCAAATATAAATTTAAAATAAAATGTATATTTCCTTTGAAAATTTTATGAGTAATATTTGAAAGCTTTTCAACGTTACTGAAGTTTCAATTTGTCGTTCAAAATTAATAAAAAACATGTAATTAATTAATTTTTGAACGCTGCAAATATCGACATTTTATAATTAATAAATACTTTGAGTATCAGTATATTTTTGTGCAGGCTTGATGTGCAATTAAAAACGTAACGGAGAAGGGTAAATTGACACGGATTCATAGATAAAAGAAATGTAATTGATAAGGGAAGAGGAGGGCAAGCAAAACGGCCGTATTGATTTAGCGCAGCGATGTAACGATTGCGATGTTGTAAGAGCGCAAGAGAGCGAAAGAAGCCGAACTAATTAAAAAGTCGTTCCAGTTTAACGAACAGGCTGGTGCACGAGCGCGTACAACGGACGCGCAGCAGCGTCAGTAGAAAAGTTGTGGTTCTGCACGGCCGACGATATCTAAAATGGATCACGCACCTTGGCGCTTTTGCGCGAAAAGTTCGCGACGAAGAAAAGCAAATTCGTGTAGCCGATTTAATTTCGCTTTCCTTTCAATCGGCCAAACAAAATTTTACTTCTTCCGTTCTCGTTTGTTCTTTGCATTCTACCGTTGGGAATTTGCATTTTTCCGAGCATCACGTCGAATCTTTGAAAGAATGATAAACTTACACGTAGTGATTGTCTTCGTCCCAAACCACGATTTCCGTGACCACAAAGAGACCCGAAGTCAGCGCGGTCAGTTTCGGCGAGTCGGTTGTAGCGTTCGTTACTAAAACCGCATGTCTCCAATCGCCTCGATTGCCTTGTTTTTGCGGCAGAATCAGAAGAAAACCTGTACCGTCTTTACTAAATAATGGAGGCACGAACTGTTCCACCCAGCCGTTTCTTTCCTTGTACTCAAGGGCCTGCAATCAAATTAATTATATACTTGACTTACCCAGCGCACTACAGCTCTCATGCAACTTTAATCTGTATAGCCCATAAAAACTATTAAAGTTACTAATTACATTGCCCGAAGTACTTTACAACTATAAAGTTAAGAGGAAAACAAATTTAATTATAACACATTGAACGTAGGGCGGAAAAACAATGAAAGTAATCGTTACCGTGTTGCACTTGCGAGTGACCACATTGCAGAGATGGAAATAAGCTTGATTTTGTACTCGATTCATCCATATGCTAGACACAAGGCTCTCAGTGGGGAAAGAAATTGCTGCCAAAATTCTCTCCTGGCGTGACAGTTTTGATGGGCTTTCTATTTCAATTAAACTCACGTTGCCGCTGATGACTTGCTCCAAATCGACGTAAAATAATTTCACCAATGGATTTTGCGTGCCACTCTGTAACAAGCAAACAAATCAATCAAACTTGATTACGCGATCGGTCATAAAGTTGGTCGAAAGTTTATTACGGGTACACCCTACTGCTGCTGCCGTTGCTACTGCTGCTGCTATAACCCCTAACCATCAGATTTTCTATTTTCTTACCACAAATTGATCAAAAATTTCCATTTTTTGTTTATGAATTGACCGTTTAATGCTAATTTTATCGTAATCCGAAGATTAGTTGTTTACCGACATCATCATGCTTAAATAAAGCTCAACACTGTCTATCCTACTTTATCACCGCCAACATTAAACATTTCTTTTCTCAATAATTACTACGAAATCCAAGCAAACGAGAGACATTGATCACGTGGAACCTTGATTAAAAAATTGGAGTCTCAACCAAATCTATATACGAATGCTTTGCGTGACATATCATAGCTCGATTACTTGCAGCAAGTCTTTGTAGCTTGGCTTCGAGCGTATAGCACACAAATTAAAGCGAGCTTATCATAACAAATTCCTGAAATGTTCTCTAATTTCCAAATACCAATAAACGAACTCTGCGCGGATTCCATTCACTCTTGTGCAATAGTCGTATAATCCCAAAAACCGAGACAGAGCGAGAGGATAGGAAGGGGGGGATGCAATAATAGAGTGTGCAAAAGCCTACCCGAGCCTTATTGAGTGCAATTTATACATAACCTATGTATCTCTCAATTAAACCGCATGCCAATTTATCGTCTAGCACGTGGATTCCGTCAAAGGAAGCCTTTGTAGAGTTTTTAATGCTTTGATTACGTACAGAAGTTATTAGTGTGGCGAAAAAAGAAAGTTATAACGTTGATCAAGAAAAATCTTGTTGATGAAACTCTGTATTAAAATGTACAAAGTTGCCTCGGAAACGTTTGAATGTGAAGTTGCAAAGTCAAATTTTCAGTACATCAGACTTCAGACTACTTTCTTCAACAATGTGCCACACATCCAGTGTAGTTCATCACTGAGAAAGAAAATAAACGATTATCTCCGAATGATTTTGAAGCAACCGCAGGGGCACTCTGAGTCGTCCAACTGCACTATCGCGCAACGACGACGTGTGGCTCAACGAGACATGTGAACTCCCTCTCACAAGAGTTACTGCCGTTATTACTATCGTTTAGCGAGTACATATACTTGCCACTACTTCGGGTTGGCTCCCCCTCGCTCATAATTGCTACCTTTACGTAGACTTTCGCCAACTACTGCGCTCAGGCTGTTTTTCAAATGTTCTTAATGGATGCTTTCTCTCCCGTTCTCATCTCGCTGAAGAAGACTTTATTCTTGTTTATGCTTTTAGGGCCATTATCATGTGCACTTATTTTGTTTACGAGGTGACCTACTCTTCTGTGAATCTCGGGAATTCATCGTTTATGAAGAACAATTGTTTTGCAGGGCTCCCAAAACTCCCAAAAGCGCGTAATACTTGCGAATTGTTCAAATGGAACGTCAATTTTGAATATTTCCAAGTAGTTTGTTTGCGGCATTCTTCAAATATTTCGGAGAAGTTTATCAGTGCAACAAGAGATGACTGAAGGAGGAGCGACGTAAACTAGCTAATGCGATGAAAAGCAGCATGATTTACTCGACTCTTAATATATTGAGAATATTATGACGGAATATGAGTCTCGTGAGATCGCAAGATTTAAAGGGCATTTACGAGTCCAGCTGTCTCTATGACTGCAAGCAGCAGCGAGTTGGTCTTCCCCAAGAGAGGCCAGAAGAGCGGAGCTATGTCGTTTACCTTCGCCGTCGTCGCTTCGGGGAATAGCCGCTGTTGAAATCAATTTAAAGCTTCGAGACTCCCTCGTTTCCTTTCTACATTTTTATCTGCAGCTTGATTTACACGGCAGCCTACTTCTCATAATTTCGTTCCGCCGTTCGAGGGGAAATATACACGTACGATTTCGTTATTTGCCGATTCGTTTGGATAAATGACATTTCTACTGAGATTAAATAAGCCAGTGGGATAGATGTCAACTACGATATAATCATAACTAGCGTGCAAGGGAGGTACACAAAAACGTAAACGTAAGACTCTTGTTATCGCGGTGACTACTTTATTCGTTTGATTATCATTCTTATAGGCGTGAGTGAATTTCCCATTTCCCTAAGTCGAGCGTGCAACTTTACGAGCAGAGAGAGAGAGAGAGAGAGAGAGAGAAACCAGACCATTGTCATCGATCGTTTCCCAATTTATTCAGCAGCAGTGGCGCAAACTAGTTTCCTTCTCTCGCTTATACGACGTAGTCGGATCTAAAAATGATTGCGCGTGCGGCCGAGTAGTCGTCGTGTAGGGACACGAAATACTACAGGCCAATAAAGAGAGTGCCGGCGTAAAGCTCTTGGATTGAGGATACGCTTTGGGCTCGATCGGCCAGTAGGAGACTTTAGGGAGGCAGACTGTCCAGCTATATCACGACTTACAAGTCTTTTTTTCTAAGTTTCGCACGGCCGGGATAACACGTCGAATTTTCGTGTGTACTGTTTATTTTAGTTTGCCCGTGCCGCGCGAGCTCGGCTTTTTTTCACTTGGGCCTTCGCGCTATTTCAATTATTCGGCGACTGTCAGCTAACGGCTTTATTAATGGAGATCTTTGTTTTTCCAGGAAAGAAGCTTTTAACTATAGGGCACTTTTGATTATTAATTTGGAGGTAATCCAACAATATATGAAAATACATTGCTCGTAACAGTAGAAGGGAAAGCATCATTTTACGCCGTTGGTCGTAAATCCGATGGTGATAAAATGAAGCTGCTTTGCAAAAACCGCAGCCCGCTAAGCGATTAAAGCTCAAAGTTTACTTCGCGGGACTTTTAGCAGGTTGAGCTCTCGCGCGCACGTACGCATTAGCGAGCTCGGCAAACGGTGAAGCACGAATTGCGAAACGACTTCATATAAAGTGGAGAGGGTACACCTTTATTATGTAAATGTACAAAGCACGTATGGCCAAGCGAGCGAGTGCACATTGTCGTACGACGGTTATCTCTGTCTGCGTGGCGTGTGGTCATTGCACATAACGCGCACAAAGTGCCTGGCAAATCCATCGCACCTCCAGGCCACTGAAATGGCACTCACTCTCTCGCCCAGCTGTAATACCCACCAGCGAGTCTTGATATCGCAAACTCGTGTTATATGCCTCGTTATTGTCGTGTTATCTTCTGGCGCTCGCACCTATATAAACTTCGCTTGAGTATCTTTCGCGAGCATCGATTCTATGCTTCTGCTCGCGCTGCGCCCACTTCCAAATGGAATTATTTTACGGATGACCGCGAGCATGTACGCTATATTTTGGAGTATCGAGCGCCCTGAGCTTCTAGCTTGTCCGAAATTGGAAATTTTGGATTTCGAGGCAAGGAGAGAGATTGACGAGCCAAAGCTGTCTTCCTTTTATGTCCGATAAATACGAGGATTTTACGCTGTCCCTTTTATGGAGATACATATCGTATTTTACGTACTAAAAGATATTATGAAGCTTGAAATTTCGATGTTTTTCGTTGCCGTTTAATACTTAAGCGAGTTTCTATATGAGAGCGTAAGATATGGACGCTCTCTACCCAATTTTACCTCCTCGCACGAATATCAAATTCATCATCAATTAACTCACTGTATTACAGACATAAATGAAGTATTTTACCATATAAAGACGAGCGATTGATAACCAGTTTTTTTAATATTTACCGCTTGCTTGTATTTTGCTTCAGAATAGCAAACAAATGCAATAATTTTTAATTTTTATTTTTTATTTTGTGGGAAAAATCAAGTTGAAAGTTAGTACAAATGAAATTTATTGAAATTTATCCTCCGCAATTTGCAAAGACTTCTTATTCGCATTAATTATGTTAGCAGTTAAAATATCAAATTTTCAGCCTTGAGAAAGAGTACAACAGTCTACTCGAAACGTTGGCAACAATAAAATTTCATTAGAACTGACTCGTAGCGGATCTTTTATTTGCCAACCAAAGTTTTTATATGACTTACGCTTGTGAGTATTTTGCAGAAAATATAATTTTTTATTATAGAGGTTCAGTCAACTAGATTGTTATTGGCAATGCTACAAAATAAATGCGAGCATGAATTTCCTGCGAGCGCAATGGTTTTGTTTTCAAATGCTGTAATGGAGAACTGAACAAATAAATATACAGTCATATCACCTCTAATAAAGTTAAATGGGTATAAATAGAATTTATTAAATAGCTCGTTGAATGTATTGACAGTCAGTCACAGGATAATCACATTTCCTCCACAGTTATTCTTTTTAAAAATCGAGTAACTGGATTCTGCCATGAAGCACGAAACATTGTTTTTCGCAGATTCCCTTGAAAATAACCATCGGTCAGTATTGTTAAAATCGTATTAGTCGCCTCGATAAACAACTTGTTTCGTCGAGAATTTTCTCATCTCTTTTAAAGAAATATTAAAAACTTTTGAGGACATATAATGAAAAAAGAAAAAGAAAAGAAAGACGATATAGAGAAAAAGAGACAAGAGAGGAAGAGAGAGAGAGAGAGAGAGAGAGAGAGAGAGAGAATATAGCAACAAAGTTCCTTCTCCCGCAAGACTTTACTATATACGAGACGAGCAACAACTGAGCCAATCTGGATTTTGCCCGGTTAAACATCTGCAACAGGGGGAAAGGCACTACAAGAAGCGAATCGTACGCTAGATATCGCATAGAAGCTTTGAAAAGCTGCCGATACACGAGGAACGAAAAGGGACACGCTGAATTCGTGCTGATCACGTATATTGGCATCTTAAGGATTTATATTGTTGGGTTAAGATTGATGGGCTGCCCCCAAATTCGAAATTTCTAACAAAAATATACACTTGCTCCAGCGAATATCAAGTATACTAAGGTATATCAATAGTAGCTAGCTAGGAAAATATCTGTTATTTGAATAGTTTACATTTATCAGATTTGATTTTTCTTTCAACGAATTCAAGAGTCATCGACAAGCAGCAGCTGTTTTCTATAGATTGAGCAACGTCATAGAGAAAGTATTGATTTATTGATCCACTTACCTTTGGGTAATGAATTGATATGGCTGTGGGGTATTGAAAAGTCAATCCCGGAAACCCGTAGTAAGGGATGTTCATTACTGGTGTGTGCGAGTCGTCGAAGTGGCCGAAGGCCAATTTGGTGCCGCTCGGAGAGAACCATACTGCCTTGTTAGAACTGAATACCTCCTCTGAAAAAGAAAACACAAAAGAAGAAGTGAGCGCGAGAACGATTTGATTTCTGTACTTTCGTCGTTAAAATATTCGTTAAAGTATCAATATTTGCTTGTTTTGCATAGCAAAAGGAATAGCTCGCGGGGCAAACGTGGATCTTCATAAAAAGAAGTTCGCTCAAGTTTCCACTTGAAAACCAATAGACGGTATTGGAATTCGCTCGAGTGGCAATTCGAGCATGGCAATCTTAGGCGAACGGAAAGAAGATCGTAGCGTCTTTTCCAGTTTCACATAGTAGAAGCAGCTTACGCACTGCTTATGTCGTCGTCGAGAGAGAGAGAGAGAGAGCGAGCGAGAGGAAGGGAGGGGGAGGGAGGGGTAGAGAAAGAGAGAAAAAGAGAGAGGTACAAGCGAGACTAGAATTGGAGCTGGGATGGCGTAGCAGCAGCAGCTCTAATTTGGCAGAGAAATTAAGCGCGAGCGTAAGACGCGTTGCCGGGGCGAAATATTATCGCGTTAACGCGCGAAGAGCAGCTAGCGGCCCAAGGGGACAGCAGCATCCCTGAGAAATATCAAGCAAACATGGCCTTACGCCCTGCACTCACTAATTGCGCTCGTGTGAGAGCAAGTGTCTCGCGGGCTTTTATGCTTTTCCTCGTGGTATCATTAGCGCTCACATATTTATGCTTATACTTTTACTTCGTCTGCCAAGCACTGGACGCTAAATTATCCGCGGGGTAATGAGCTTGTTTCCTTTTTAGAGAGATATACGCCACTGCCGCACTGCGTAATGAAATTTATAATGCAGGTCGAAAATTGATCTGCTTTAATCGCACTCGCCGCTACATATGGCAGGAATTTCAAGCGTGCTCGATAGCGACGTGTATAATTGGCCAAACAAAGTGGGCAATTCGATGCCGAGTATTTGTTACGTCGCTCGGCCACGCTCCAACAATTGCTCCAAGTTCAATTAGCGTGGGCGCGCGCGTGTTGTTCTTCTTTACTCGCAAGAGCGCGCAGACCTCACGTGATGAGCAATCAAATCAAAGTAAACACTCCGATAATGAATAAATTAGAGGCCGTACGTACGATGAGGAGGTGCGGCTACGTAAGCGGATTTACGAGACGTACGTGCTGACACGGGATGGAAGTTCTTCAACATCCTAGTTAACGGTAGCGCGCCCATATCGTGACTACGCCAGTTTCGAAACTCGCGCAAGCACAAAGGCGCGCCAGAGCGAGTTCGCGGCATAACAAGCGCGGAATTCGAGACTTTTCTTTAATACAGCGCTGACATTATCAAAACAAAAAGTGTCGTTAGAGCTTCTGCGTGGCAGACGTGCTTTGTTTGAACGATTGTCAATCTGACACGTGGCACGTATGCCATTAATGCAAGGTCGGCTTTCCCGTCACGTCGCTGCAATTAAAGTCAATGAAATAGACGTTTGCTCACGGTATACACCCACACAGCTATTTAAGGCTGGAACAATCGATTTAACTTTGGCGATGTAACGGCAAAGCTTTCCTCGGAATTTCGTTGCACATTGTGAATATGCGGGTATACAATGGAGTTCAAAACCTTTGTCGAATAGTTTGGTAGCTAGAGCGTTAGTCAACTTCCTAATTACGGGATTCGACTGTACTGGGATTAATTATAATAAGCGGATACAACAATTGCACTCAAGGAAACTTCACCACTTGATCGTATTGTTCATTAGTAACGATGATAAAATCATCAAATCACTTTCAAAAGTACTCGACAATCTTTCAAACGACGTTTGCAACGACAAGTTTGAGTATCTTGCAAAAAATCTCTCCAATATAAAAGTTGTTGATGCGTAGTACGCACAAGTGAAAGACGCGGTATTTGAAGCGAGATACAAGGCGCGTCTGATTTAACGCAGACCGTGACTACTAGTCGCGCCACTCTTTCACCCTCTCTCGCGAGCGTTTTAACAAGGGGTTTTGTGCGTTACGTAAGCATCCTCGGCTGTTTACGAAGCGTGCAGAATAAGAGGAAGAGCTAGTCCTCGCTTGCAACGTGCAGCAGAAACGCGCGCACGGCCCCTGCCAAGGCCGACTTCCTCCCTTCCTCGTGTCCTCCTCATCCTCTCCTCTTCCGTTCGATACTTTACCTCGCTCTTTTTCTCTTTTTCGACGATTGACAAGTTGAAGCGCGCCGTGCGTATTTCATCGCGCTTTAGTTACCTCGATGTACTTCCCGTCTTGCCTTCGTTGGCTCGTTTTATTTCTTCGCGCGCGTACACGCTGCCTTTTTGGAATTACATTACTCTACGTCGGGTTACACGGCGACGCGACCATGTTACAGGAGCGTACTTCAGAGCTTTTAAAAGAAGAATGAGGTGCTTGTACCTGCAAATATATATATATGTATATATTGATGGTTTGTGACAAATTCCGCGCTACGCCAACTTCGAGACTTTTCGAGTTCAATTGTCGAACGTTCGATAAGCTTAAAAATAACATATTTTCAATTACGTCAATAAAAATATTTACCCGCTTGAGAATATTACGTCGTCAATTGACTATCCTCTAGCTACTCTGATTGCTAAGCATTAATCATTCAATTGTATTAAGCAAACAAGGCAATGCCAACATTACAATTAAATCACAAATGGCCAGCGAACCAGTGTCTGATGCAGACGCCAGAATCAATGCGAATATTAGTTTAATGCTGTCTGTGCATGCACACCTATTGAATATAGTGCTAAACGCACCCGCTAAATTACTCCATAGATTATCTCTCCTTCGCATTTTAACGTAACAATGAGGATTTTATTGTAAAACACATCGACAAATGCAAAGAAAGACAGTAAAGTACTGCTTTATCCGAGAAAGAGAGAAAAGGTATAAGAGGAGAAAAAGCAAATATCGCAATCGGTTTTTCGCTCGAGGCCGAAGATTACATTCTCGGGGGGAGGAGGGGAGGGGCGTTAGAATTCAACGTAGTGTCGTCGTCTCGAGAGGAAGCTAGCAGACTTCGACGAGAACGAGGTACATTATCGAATCGACTCTTGCCAGCAGTCCCTTCGATACGGTAATGCCGCTCGATGGTCTGTCGATAGCCACCGGCACTAGCAGCAGTTCAATGTATATGTGCGCTTGCGTCAGCGCGTAAAATAAAGCCTGATTTACATGTGTCGAGTTTCGCGTCACGCCAGACTCCTTAAATTTTTCGTACCTTGGCTATATATCGGATTTTTGCCCACGCGTACGTACGACTGTACGCCACGTTCCATTTCAATTTTCACGAGGGGCTGATTTTACGAACACCCGGATTTGTTTCTCTCTGGGCGTACACTGCGGGTTATTGCAAAAGGAGAGCGGGCCCGCGCAAGCGTACACGCCAAAAATCCGATCACGTAGTAAAACCCCGTTCTCGCCATGCAAAAGCGAGAGTGTGACGTCAAATTTCTTTCTCTTTATTCATCATTGGTAGCATTTTTGCTTAACTTTGTCACTTTCTTTGGCAAATATTCGTTAATTATCTTGCGAATGCATTGGAAAATCTAGCAATGAAGTGGTCTAGAAGTTGAATTAAAAAAAAAGAAACTTTCTGCTCGCCAGTGAACCGAATATCGCCGAAAATGAATTGAAAATATTGTAGAGACTCGAAAGTTCCTATTACTTCAGGTAGCTTGTAATAAGAATTTTTTCTTTTTGAAAGATTAAATATTTATCGACCACCATTAACGCCAACTCTGCACTTATCGAGCTACTTGTATTTTGTTACTCATTTTTCCTGTCCCATTCGTTTCGCCGATGAAGAAAAAAATAAAGATTTATTTCATTCGCCTCCATATGTCGCCTTCGCTTTTCATTCATATTCCCCGCCGACTCACATACACCTTTCTAAAAGAAGTCGCCCCTTTCGCATAAGTAGAGCATAGAATTCCAAATCAGATCCGTGTCTTGAATTCCGATATTTTTCCTCTTCCTAGCCAAGATCAAGAAGCGAGTCCAAGAGAAGACAAATAAGCTGTCGCCGAAGTCGGAATCGTCGTCGTAGATCGCTTGAGTAATCGTATATCGCTATCGCACACACGAAAATGGTTGCTACTCAAAGAAGAAAAGTAAGAGGGAGTGCGAAAAACCACCTGGTAGAGATGATTTTTCGGATTCTCTCTTTCTCTCTCTTTTACAGCATCTCGTCGATTTTTCACGTCGTCTCTCTCACTGGAAAAAACGTGAAAAACAGAACTTTTGATCAGAGTCGATTTCGAAATGCAAGCTCGTAAGAACTAGCATTATTCGAAGGATTTTTGCTTAGGCCGCTGTGCGAAGTTATATAGTGGAGCAGTAAGGTTGCGCGTTTCTCTCTGATACGATGAAATGTGGAGCAGTAGCAGTAATGCTATGGGAGGAGAAAGAGAGAGAGAGAGAGAGAGGATCCGTGTAAGTCTGCGCTCCATTAGCAAGTGCACATGGATTTGCTAAAGCATTCTTATAAATCCTTTCGACAGTGTTAATGTCACATCCGCGAGTAGCGAAAAACGCATTTGCTCGCTTAATCTTTGAACGTGCTTTCGCGCGAATACCATAGCTCGCACAAGTATATCGTCGCCGAACGAGAAAAAAACTCGCGCGAGTTAGCTGATCGCTTGTGCGATACATATGTATATTACTGATAAACCTACAAGCTTCGAGATAAAATACACTATCTTTCGTTTTAATGTTACGTTCAAATCATCCTTATTCTCGTTTTAGTTAATGAGCTTTCGAAAGAATGTTTTCCAATCAAATAAGTATTGCGGCTGACTATAATTGACTTGTACTACTGTATTGTTTTTCATCGTTGCTTTTTCGATATAAGTTAATGAATTTATGACGATTGTCCATTGTCAGTATATTGGCAAGTCAGTGGCAATTATTTGAAGTATCTGTATAATCCTAAAGATTATCCTGTCATTTTGATGCGCATTTTCCATCAGAAAGAGTAGATAGGCGCATCAAAAAATAATCATCAAGTATTTAATAGCTTTGTGTGGAAGCTTCCAACACACAGCACAAAAACAAAGAGATAGGATAATAGAGGTTTAATTGGGGGTAGACGTATTAGGCGCGCACACTTGTCGAGGATTAACTGTTCAAGCGAGCTGAAGAGACAGTGACTTTGGTAGCTGAAGCGTGTAAACGTCCAATGTTCTCGTCCAGTTCGTGGCAACGCAGTTGACTGGCTTGCGTAAACGACGCCTATTTGCCATTCTACGCGAACGACGGAGGGGAGAGTCCGAATGTAAATTTGACTTTCGCTAAGAACGCACAACCGCAAGCGTAGCGAGTAGGTAGTCCTACTGGAAGTGACCGTGTTGCGCTTCGTAGTCGAGTCACGTATAACTAATGCCGCGACAGTATTCGATTTCAATTTTTTTTCATTTTTTCATTCGTTTGTTCGTGTTCCGACGACTTTTCGCGCTTACACAAGTGATACGATCCAACCTCATGCATAGTAAAATCTATCGACGAGCCAGCCCGCTATTTACGTCAATGCACTTACAGCTGGTTTTTAGCCAATCAATTAATTGCGACTAGCGCTAGCATCGTCAGCGTTAACCATACTGTGTCGGGACTTCTTTCGCCGAAAAAGATAGTCGAACTATTCTTCCGCCCCTTTCCTTTCTCTCTCTCTCTCTCTCTCTCTCTCTCTCTCTCTTTTTTCTCTCTCTCTCTCTTTTCGTGCAATTGCTTTAGTGAATATGCATTTTTTTGCTTGTAGCTGCAACGTTTTCTTTTTTTTTAAGCGCACGCTTGAACGAGCAATTAGCGCACGCTTTATTGGCACTCGCGCGCTTCTTTTCTTTTGATCGTGTATTCTGAACAGTCGATAGAATTTTGGGACACGAGTTTGGAACTAGATACTGCGTTTCAGTATAGTATTTCATGGCATTATAGCTTAAAATATCGACCAATCACCTTATAAAAGCGTTAACAGTTTAATTTATTACCAAATCTTTGTAAAATATAAGCAAACTGAGAAGCTATAAATTGGTAAAGTATATAACAACGTAATCGTAATGTACAAAAGTTTCTCAAATAGTGCAACAATAATATGCGCTATCAAAGACTGAATAAATAAATATATGTGTATATATATATATATATATACACACATATATTTATTTATATATATACACACATATATTTATTTATTCAGTCTTATATATATATATAGATGCACAAGCGCGCGCGCATACACATAATACATCACGAAATATGAATTTTCATAAAGCGTTAAAAATTCGCTTGCAAAATATCGCAAACAGAGAAAGTCGGTTATCCGTAGAATATTGGCTGAGAGAGAGTGAGAGAGAGTGAGAGAGAGAGAGAGAGAGAGAGAAAGAGAGAGAGGGACAGAGAGAAAAAGGGAGAGAGGAAAGAGAAAAGTATAATGAATCACCAAGGCAATTAGCCTTGAAAGGAAGTTACTCCAGCAGTATGGTCAGGAAAGTCAAGTAGGTAGTGGTGGTGGCGGATATACCGCCCACACACACACATACACACACACACACATATATACACATCAGAGAAAAAACAATCTTTAATCAAAGTACATTTTACGATTGCTATTTGCCACAAAAGAGGAAAAAAATAATCGGTAAAAAACTGGGATAGAGGAACATGCGCCACTCACCTTCGTACACCCAGTCTGGTACACCGTTGTAGATCGTGCCGAAGGCGCCGCTAGTTGTGATCTGGTAGTCCTCGGCAACTTCAGCTTGAGGTCGGTAATAGATGTTACTCTGTAAGACGTAGACGAGGCCGTTACCCTGAGGCGCCCAAACCACCAGCTGTAATCCTTGCGACTCGTTACTGGTCAGCAATGTCTCTTGTCTGCAATTCATCGAAAACCATTTGTTACTCGTTTCATATATTGTCATCGGTATTTTGTTATCAGATAGTAAAGCAAACGATTTAGATAAAATTGTTAATAATGTAACTTGCATGCACTTCAACGTAATAATAACAGTATTCCCGTAGTGATGTTAATTTACGAAAATGCAACGTTTTTTCAACGCAACTCAAAAGTTACATATTCGGGATTAGTTATATGTCAAGTATAATTTCAACGCAAAAACTACACACGCATATAAACTTTAAGGCGTTCTTTTTTAATAAGTTTATATAATTAGGAAACATGTAAATGTATTTCACAGGCAAACTGAAATTTGCATTCTAGTAGAATGTGGAGCGAGGGGCCGAAGTAGACGATATCAGCGTAGCGTCAGTCGTAAAAAAGGATAGCACAACACGGTGAAGAGTGGAATAAAGGCCAATGGATCGGTCGACTCGCGATAAAGAAATATCAGGCAGAAGTTTTTCGATTTCCAAGCTATGCGCACAGCTGTAAATATGCATGGAGTGAGCACACACACACACACACATACAATAAGAATAAGACTGCAACACGAGGCGACGTACTGGACGAAAAAGGCATAGTATTCATACGACGTGGAGTCGCTTCTTTCGCATATGACAAGCGTCGCATGAGCTTTGTGTATGTGTACCAGAAGAGAAGGGCACATTTTCCCCAGCGGCATTGTACGACGTATGTACGTGCCGAGTTGTACTCTGTGCATATTACACGGGGCAAGAGAGAGAGAGAGAGAGACGTAACTGCATTGTCCGGGAATTCCTGCGGGCCACTTCTCTAGCGCGCGCTAGCGAGGACGACGACGGAATAACGAGACACGCCGAACGAAAGAGAGAGGGAGACTGAAGAAGACTCTTATCTTTTTGCTTTGGCTTTGGTGCATTTTTCAGGACACCCTAAGGCGACGCACGCTCGCCTCAAACATCTCCAACGGACCTTTCCTTTCGAATTATTCATCGTTCGACGATTTTGACGTTGCCTTTCTATTATAACTGGTTTTTTCCACTTCGACTCAACGAGATGTGATTTTGCAATAAAACTTGGATTAATAACCTCGTTGTTTATTTACAAAGAGCATTTCACGCAACTTTTATAGCCCCGTGAAATTTAATTGATATTAAATGAGTTATAAAAGTGTCTAACAGCTTACTACGACTGCATTTATGTGATGAACTTATTAATCATTTTTTTAATGTAAATTCGATAAAATATAAAACATCAATAATGCTGCTTTGATGTGATCGAAGAACAATTGGTTTGTTTGAAAATTGTAATTGCGAAGCATCATTTCAAGCATAATGAACGTGTCATTATTCGATATATTTCATTGCGACGACAAAAGAGATGTGTGTGTGTGTGTGTGTATATATATATAAGCTTCGTTAATGAAGTCACGTCGTCATTGTAAATAACGTATTGACAAAGCACTGCAACTTATCAGACATCGAACAAGCTTTCACTATACTTTTTGGTATGGAAAAAAGACATATTGCATTTATAAATCAAGGCGTGGCATAATGGGACAATTTCAATCGGGAATTATCGGCAGGATGCCAATAAACAAGCGGATCGTCGGGGACCGAAGGTACAAGTAGCCCGGACGGCGGCGCGCCGCTCGAGTGACAAACGCTAAGAGGAATAAGATGAAGCGACGAGGTCTGCAGAGGGAGAGAGAGAGAGAGAGTGCTGGGAGAAGAAGAGCAGCCCAGCTATATAGAACGGTGAGAGAAGGAAGAGAGAGAGAAAAGGAGAAAAACGGGCCTGTCTGTCGTGGTCATTGCTCGCTGCAAGTACAAGGAACGAAAAAGAGGATTTATACAAGGGAGAGAGAAACGGAAAAGAAAAGGTCTCTCTAGGAACGGCGTGTAATGCATTTTATCCCAACTTCCCTCAACTGCTTACCGCTGCTGCTGCAGTCGCACCGAGAGCTGCTCCATAGAGCGAATAAACTCGATGCTCAGTTAAGCGTAAATTTGAAAAAGTGGCGCTATCGTTATATGTTTGTAGCTATATAATTTTTAGCTGTTGTTTTTTTTTCTCTGGCTTGTTGTAGGTGATCCAATAATCGTAAAATTAGTCGATGAAAAATGAGACAATTAGATTTTCATTCGTAGAAAGTACGAGGCAGTAGTGATTTAAATTCCGGAGTGCATTCGCATACCGACGACTCCTTAAGACAGCCAAGGGGAATTGGATTTTATTCGGCAGAAATGAAAACCATTTCGTCCAGCGAGAGGCGAGCTAATAGATCAAGTAGCGGGAGGCATAAATTGCTTGCGTTCTAAGTGAAAATTAAAGTTCGCGCGCACGCGCAAGTTGAGGAGAATGATTTGTGAAAATTGGTCGGCGTAACATCGTTAAGAAATGGAAGGGAAGCCTCCACCGCTGTGGGTTAGAAGAGGTGCTATGCTGCAGTTTAAAGTTGAGATTTACAAGTGGCGCATTCTTCACGAGAGAGGACTCACTTAAAGCAACGTCAGCGCGTAATATATAAATCCACGGATGAGAAAGTTGCTGCGGGCGGAAGACGAAGGGGCTATAGCGCGCATATATAAAAGTCATCCAAGAAGGGGATTAAATTTGCGTTCGCGCAGTTTGCAGTTTGCGGCTGTGGATGAAAATGCAAATCGAAATTTTAGCCGGAAATAAGTCTGAAATATGATTATATAACGTATAATGCGATAAGGCTCGCTCGCTTTGCGCGGTTACGGCTCGTTTACTTACAAAGTCTCCAAGTTCACGATCTTGTACTGGGCCAGGTATGTGTGACGAAATTGCTGAAACAGACGAGAAGCAAGAGACATCGTTAAATTCTTCATTCTCATTTAAATTCACTGTTGCGCATTTTTTGGTATATATGTATTACTCTGCCCTCTCAGAAAATGTCCCAAAGCGAAAGAAGTAGAGCGACAACTTATATCTTCTTCGTTCTGTCGTTCTCTCGTTCATGGAAACGACAACGGAGACTTTTTTAAATATCCCTCAGCTTTATCACCGACTCTACTCGCGTCTTTTATTAAATTTTGTATTCCACCCTTATTATAATATATATATATATATATATATATATATAAAGAATGTATGCACACTGTTGAGTCCCTTGGCGTTGGTTTGCTTTTTTTCTCACGTTATTCTCACTAACTTCTTATATAAGACATTCTTTTTTATTTTCCGTGCCGCCCAGGCGAACAATCGGACGGACATCGAATGGTCTAGTAAGCTTATTACAGTGCTCGCACTGCCTAGAAAGACAGACGAGCCATCATTACAGCCATAGCAACTGTACCTTTTCCTTACATAACATCTCTCTCCTTCCCTGCCGCCTTCTCTCGTGGACCGTTACACAATCAATATTCCTGCTTTTAAGGGAAAGAGAAAAGAAGCCTTGGGGAAACGCATGGTATATAAATTGGAGCAGTTTGTAATGACATTATTCAAATTAAATTTTAGTCACGTTTCGCGAATGACTGGAGAAAAGGAGGTGCAGAAAAAAAAAACATTATTAAAAAGTCGTGTTGGGAGATAAGCGCGCTCGATTTCCCTTCAATAAATTTAAAAGCTCGAGAGAGAGAGAGAGAGAGAGAGAGAGAGAGAGAGATACGTTGGCGACGCGATGCGTCAAGCGTCATCAATAATACTCGTCGATATACGTAGCGAGAGGGAAAAAGAGCGAGCGGGTGGGACGAGAGGATTCATAGCGACGCGTGCGCTATTTTGCCTCCATTAACTCTTTCACAGGAGGCTGAGCCATAAATCACGCGCGCGTACACTCGCCCCCTACGATAAGGATCGAAATAACGCCATTTTCACGCGGTGCGAATCATTGACGCGACGCAGCGGGGCTACCCATCGATTTTGCCGGAATATTTTTCCTACATATATGCATTTTCTAGCGTTCGGCTTTTACTTTTTTTTTGTCTTTCTCTTGCTCTATAGTCAAGTGCCCCGGGACTTTTTGTTCCGTCGGCCGCCATTTGAAATTCCGACCGGTCCACTGGTGTTCTCTCTCTCGTAGCTGCCGCGAGCGAAGTACCATATTCGATTGAATGCTTTAAATCTGGTTCATCATTGCTATTCGATCGGCGCGCGCGCATACACACGCACATATGCCTTTTCAGGACGAGAATAATACGAGTAGTAATGGCTTTTCAATAGCGCGCCTGACACTACCGTATGAATTCTTTCAAAAGCCAATATGTGTATCGGATATAGCCAAAGTTGACTGTTAACTAGAATTTCATCACACGAATTTGAGAAGCGAACAACGGATTTATTACTTAGGCTCTGCGCACAAAACTGATATAAACTGAAATTGCTTTTTTGTGCGAGGGAGCCCACCTACAAAAGAAAGAAAAGATTTAACCGTTTAGCTTGATGACGGCAATGGCGATGAAATGGCTGTGTCACCAGTGGATGAAAAAAAGACAGCGAGAATCTCCAAACGAGAGAAACTGCCCAGGACCGAACCATTTAACATTTCAACAAGCGCACTTCCAGAGAGATATATCCATCAAGGACTGCACTCAATTAAAAGCTGTTAAATTCATCAACGAGCCAGGGACACGCGGAATAAAAAGCCCAAAGCGGCAATTTCGCATCGAACGGGGAAAATAAAATGTTTGAAACCGAAACTGTTCGGAAAAAAGTAACCATAAATTCAATTGGAATTGTGCGAAATTACACGTACTAGGTCTATTTCAAAGTATCGTTATATATTTCGCGCGCAGAGGATATCCTCGCGAATGATTCGCGAGCGGGTAGACGTGATAATCGCTCGTCGACATAATGCCCGCCGCGCGAAATATCCCGCTGTGGGTGGAGAGAACTTCGTTTTACGAGTACCGTTAGATAATCGCGAATTACGTTCCGAATCGGATTGACCGACGACAATGTGGCTTTTGCACGCTCGAATTGCCATTGACTTTTTCGGTGGTCCGATATTTCCTCTTTTTTTTTTCTTCGCTTATAGGATTCGCTTTACGTTCAATTTAGTTGATTATCAGCTCATACGAAGCAAATGAATGTTCTATATTTTTAACGAACGGCGATATCAGTGAATCGTTAAGTCCATTTGTTCGGAAGATTTTAAATGCTCGCTTGCGAAGTGATCCGTCAATGACATAACGAGTAAAACTGAGACTTATTAGGAAAGCAAGCGGCGCGCTGCAGTCGACGCGCGGTCTTTTGTCTGAGAGCCCTGTAGTAAGGGGTGACGACGAGTAGTGAGCGCAAACAGGCAATTGTCGAGTCGGCTCGCGTACTCAATTAGTGCCCACCGCAAAAAGGCCTCGCCACAGTGATGCATTGAACATTCCAAACTCGCACTGCTCACGGCGAGCTTTTAAAGCTATTCCGAAGGCCAAATTAATTTTCGCCGACCTGACCCGTCGAAAATACTCTCTGCCTGTTGAAGAAGTATCAAGTGTTCTCCCACTCAACGCACTCAACGTGATAAGTAGCTGTGTTAGACGAACAATTAGCAATCTTTCTTGTACGATTAACGTTTCTTTTCTTTCTTTTTGTTTCGCGTAACGCTTCTCGGGTTTACGTCTCTCTACTGCTTTATGCTATAACACGTGAGCCTTCTCTGTACATATAATCCAAATCACAATAGCATCTAATCAGATTAGCCCGAAGCGTGGATTTGAGTATTAGCGGTCAATAATAGACCAAGGCTTCTATGTCCCTGTACGAAATTCGAAGCCGAGGCTTTGCTTTGCAATTCAATCATTAAATTTATACGCGGTGCGTTACAAGCTCGAAAGAACGACAGTGGCTTTCCAAATTTTACAAGCTCACGTAACTACAATCTTGTGTAAGTAGACAAGCACAAAAACAAAAGAGTCGTACTTGCTAGTTGTACACGCTTACGAGCATTAAAAAAATAATCTGACCCGTAAAAGTGATGAACTACTCGTAAAGCCTACTCATATCTGGCATTACGTCTTAATGCCATTGTGCGTTTGGTTTAATATGTATACGCGCATAATGTACGTTGTAAGAGATAGCGATACGCAAGTGCACGCGCCTTCGTTTTTTACGACATTTTTCATACACTGCTTTACGAGTTTTTTTTTGCATGACGCATACTGCTTCCGAGCTGTTTCTCTCTCTCTCTCTCTCTCTCTCTCTCTCTCTCTCTCTCTCTCACTCACTTGCGCGCGCGTATCTCCTATTCTTATTTCAGTATATATTCAACTCATTTTTTATTTTTGCGAGCTTCGTCATTTAAAACCGTCAAGTGCGGATCTGCAGTATCCTCCTTCTACCCTCCTTGCCATACAATCATTTTATCATGCATTATTTCGTACTTTGTTTTCTCTTGCAATTTTTTAATGTGTTTTCGTGGCTTCGTTGTACGTATATTCTCCTGACACAAAAATTCCATTAGAGTAAGAGCACATAAGAAGAACACTATTTTAAGAAAATCAAACGCAGTAAAAAGTTTTACGTTTTTGAAGTCGTCTTTTAAGTAACTGATGCTTTTTTAAGCAACCAGTTACTCAAATTGAGTAACAAATGTCAGTTCTTTTCCTGTGACAACTGAAGCCGAGTAAAACTTTCTTCCGTTGAACTTTTTTTCCCCAATTAGTAATGGAAAAGCAAAACGAAAAGAAGATTATTGTTGACGTTGCAACGCAAACTCGAGTAAACGACCGAAGTTTTAAGAACAAATTTGCATGAAACGTATATAGATAGCCCAACCAACTGTGTATACATCTGTTCTTGAGACTGGAGCAAAGCTGCTCTAGTTAGCCTATATTACAAAAGATAGCAGATATTTGAAGTTTTCGGAATGATCTTCAACGGTGTTGCTTGTTGCACAAGACCGCAGCACTGATATTTCCATCTCTCGGCCTTATTTGGCTAAAGATGAATAATGGCAGTAGCGATTCGAGGCAGCAGCAGGCCTATGCGAATGCTATAGAAGAGAAGAAATTCGAGCTCCGAGTTATAATGGTCGCGAGTGTAGAAGGCGCGCCGCCCTCCGTTTTCCCGATTTTGCATAAAGGTGCCGCAGCAGCAGCCCTCTCCCGATGAAATATCGCTGTTTCGGAATTCTCAGTCGCCGAGTGTTTCCGCGGCTTTATGACCTCCAATCTTCTACATTGAATTTCGCTCGTCTCTCTTATGGAAGTCATCTTTTTTCAAAGTAATGGATCACGTCAAGTTATTTGGTTTGACAACTTTGCTATGTAATGTGTGGTCAGATCGTCACGGATATGAGCAATACAGATTGATGTCGTTATAGAAAATATATGGCTTACATTATAGATACAGCGATTTTTCTTCCATATCTACGTTTTAATGAAAGTTATATTTTATTATATATTATTTCCTACTACCACTTTTTCATCGTCTGAAGGACTTGTGCAGTTACCACTTTGAACAGAAGCTATGCGATATTTAAAATTACTATGTCAACAGCAACGCTGGAAAATAATGAAACTTTCGGAATAGCCCATTATTTTCTTGGTTACTATGAAATTACAGTATTTTTCGCCTTGCAAATGTTAGGTTTTATAAAACACGTTTTGAAATCCAGCAGAGTAAAAAACTCAGTAATCATTCCAACTTTTTCTAAATTCATTTTTTTTGTCGCCTACTTTCAAATAAGAAACCGTAAAACAGAGAAAGCAATTTTTCTCTCCGAGAATGCTTTCAACGTATCTTTCTCTCTACATTTCTCGTCGACGCCAGAACGTCTCATTGCGCAAGTCTTTTTCGCTCTCGTAGGAAAATGTAGCAAACAAACAAGCAAATGTATGTATAACTC